CCCCGCGCGGGCGGCGGTGACATCACGGCCACGGCGGGAGGGGCGGCGCCCCGCGCGCATCACTTCCTCGGCGCCTCCCGCGGGCGGGCGGACAGACCGACGGACGGACGGACTGACGGTGGACGGCGGACGGCGGACGGGGGACAGGCTCAGGGTGGCGCGAGAGCGGGGGTGTGCGCCCCCGACCTTCGGCGACCCCGGCCCCATGGCCGGCCCGGCCCCGCCCGCCGCCGACGAGCTGCCCGGCCCGGCCCGGCGCCTCTACTCCAGGTAGGCTGGGAGGACCGGCGGGGACGGCGGGACGCGCGGGGACCCGCGGCCGGAGGCGGGAGGCCCTGAACAAAGGCTGCGGCGGGCGCGCAACGTGGCGGGGACGCTCCCTCCCTGCGGGCTGGGCTGGCGGCGGTGGGCGCGGGGGGGGGGGGGGGGTGCTAGGGTCGGGGTGGGGGGTGCTGGGGTGGGGGCGCCCAGAGTGAGGGAGGGGATGCAGAGGAAGGGGTCACCCCTGGTGGCGGGTGCGGGGGAGGAGGGGGTGCAGGGGTGGGGGGCACCGGGGGTGGGGGCCCTAGGCCTTCCGAGGCTTGTGCCCTTCTGTGTCCAGGATGAGCGGGTGGTCAGCCGGTGGTCAGGATGGTTGGCTGGGATGGGCTGCTGCTTGCTGGACCCCCCTCAGCCCCCCCACTGCCCTGGGACAGGGGAGGGAGACCTACAGCTTCACCAGCTGCGCTCCTGACAGCTGGGCCCCCTGGCATAGCAGGTCTGTGGAGGGGGGCTGCCGGGAGCTCCCTCCCAAGCCTGGCACCACCTCCCCATTGCCATGGTCTGGGTTCTCGGGAGGCAGCATGGCTGAAGGGACTGGGTTTCGTCATGGGTGGGGCCTTGTCCCCCATGGACCCACCATGAATCTGGGGTTCAGGGGACTGCAGGCTTGAATCTGGGTTGCAGAGCCAGCCAGCCAGCTGGGGTGTGTGCCTGCCTGAAAAGGCAGCTGCCTCCGGGCAGATTCATGGATGATGCCTGCGGTCTGTGCTTTGTCAGAGATGACACCTGCACGGCATGCCCGCGTGCTGACTCGGCCTGTCGAGGGTGTCGCACACGGTGATGCCAGGTGCCCGAGCTGGGTGGGCACAAGGTCCTCCCAGGGGAATGGACTCTGCCAGGGATGCCAGGGGCCTGGTACAGTCAGCATGAGTGCCGGGCAGGGGCAAGCCTGCCTGCCTCCCGGGCGCCTGACAGGTCCCCAGCTTGGATGGACATCATCATTCCTAGGACCTGGCGGCCTCCCCAGCTGCTGAGCCTTCAAGGGCCTAGCCTTGCCTAAGAGGATTCTCCAGCCCCGCTGGGCAGTGCATCAGCAGCAAACTTCCGTTGCACACCCCCCCCCCCCCGCCCCACGTGCAGAATGAGGCCCTGGTGGCGAGTGAAAAGGAGGCCTTGCCGCTCCTCCCACCTTGGTCCCTGTACCAGTGGTGAGAGACACAGACTCCATTGTGTGGTCCCGGGATTGAGTGCCGAGCCCCCCGGCCTGGCTCCTGGGCCCCATGTAGGGGAGGGGTGTGCGGGGGGTTTGCTGGCAGCTGACACTGGAGGCCCGCCCTAGAGGATCCCCTTCACAGCACCCCGGTGGGAAGGACAGGAGTCGACCCGGCAGCTACCGGCTGTGTGTGTGTGCACGTGTGTGTAGGGGCTTTAGCCCCGGGAGACCCTGCACAGCTGAGCATGGGGTCCCTATCGTGTAGTCCACATGCCCAGTCTCAATTTGGGAGTCTGGGGTGTGGGCCGGGGCTGGGGCCCAGCAGTAACACGCCAGACAGGACCCTAGCCTGGGGGAGCTGTCCTGGGCAGGGACAGAGCTCAGAGGGGATGCTGGGAGAGGCCCTGAGCCCAGCCTGGCCTCCTTGTAAGCTGAGAACTGAGTTGAGCTTGAAGGGGCAAGCCCAGCACGGATTTGGGGTGCGCAGCCCCAAGCCCTCCTGCAGGTCCATGAGGACACCCCGGGGGAGTTTGGGTAGTTGCAGCCAGCTGTGGGCAGGGCAGTTCCCCCTCAGAGCTGGCTTTTGGAGGCTGGCAGGAGGGGTGGGAGTCGGGGAACCGTGGGTGGGAGCATCCTGGACGGACGGGGGCTGTTAGCTGGAGAGGAGGGAACCGCTTCCTCGGATCCAGCACCCTTGGGCCACAGTGGCTCGGGGCTGGAGGAAGGCATCAGAAGGTCGTCCACCCCCTTGCGCTCAGGCCAGGGAAGCCCACCTGTGGCAGGGCAGCCGAGGGGTGTGGGCAGCCCAGCACGTAGATGTCCCATGACAGGGTCCGTCTGGTTCGACCGCTCTGCAGATGGTTGTTTGGGGGAATCTCTGGGCTAGGCCCAGCCCACTCCCAGCAGCTCCTTTCCCGTGCCAAATTCCTGCCTGGTGACATGGGGGTCTGGGGACATGGGCTTGGGAGGCACATTGAGAGGGACCTGAGCATGAGTGTGCCCATGGGCCCAACAAGTCCCTAGATGGGGCCCTGGGGAGGGGACAGGGTCGGGGAGGCAGAGCCAGATGGGGGCAGTTAATGCTCAGAACTCTGCTCTACTGTGCTGCGGGCCCACTCGCCTGGAGCAGGGGTTGGGGAGGGAGGGCCCGACGGGCCTGGGGGCGGGGAGTGCGGGGGATGGGCAGGTGGCCAAGAGGCCCCTGAAAGTGGGGAGGCCCTGGGGGTTCCTCTCCCCCACCTTCAGGCCAGCAGCTGAGTGCTCGTGGTGGGTGGTGAGCACCCCCACCGTGGGGTGACCTATTAGAGGAGTGCCCCAAACTCAGGCGGCTGGATAGGGGCCTCCCCAGGTGCAGGACGGGCGCGCTGCCATCTCCCCGCTCCGTGCGGCTCCTTCCACCATATCCCCAGGCACTGGCCGTGGGGGGCGTCTGGGGAGTAATGACCTGGCCCCAGGGCTCCCGAGAAACGCAACCCCCAGTGCTTCCCCAAGCTAGGCGACACACATGTCCCTCCCCCGGCAATTCCTGTTCCCACCACGCTCCCCACCCTATGCTGTCCTGAAATCTCCATGTGGAAGGGAGTCAGGATGGCTTTGCTTGGGGGGCAGCAGGATGGGGGTGAGCAGGGGTCCTGGAGCATCTGCTCGGTGGCCCAGACTGGGGGTGACATCCCTGGAGAGGGAGGACGGTGACTGCACTTAACAGAGAATGGGGTGAAGGGGGACACAGCCCCCGGTTAACCATGTGGGGTGGGAGCTAGGGGCCTGGCTTGGAGACCAGCTGAAGTGATCAGCACGGGAGGACTCCCCAGAGGCTGGTGGGGGCAGGAGCCTGATGGGGAGCAGGGCCGTTTGGTCCAAGAGAGGCTGGGCTGACGGCTTCTCCTGGGATACTGTGTTGGATGCCAAGGCCAGGCTGGGAGGGTGTGGGCGTGATGTGGTGGCCAGAATAGTGAGGCTGGCCACTGAGGAGTCGATAACCATTTTATTAACCGGTAAGCCTGTGGCGGGCGGCAGGAGCTTGGCAGACAGTATCCTGCCTCCTGGCCACTGTGGTCTGGCCACTGGGAAAGCTGGGCTGGTGGGCCCTTGTGAGGAAGAGTACGCTGTGCAGTCCCAGCATCGGGGTGGATCCGTGCAGGGGGATGTGGCCCCACCCACCCAGGCCTCCACAGACCCATCCCAGAGGTGTGGGGTCTGAGCTCTCCTGGGAAGGTGGAGGAGTCCAGGTCAACAATGAAGCATCCGTTTAGCCTGGATGACAAATCCCAGGTGGGGAGGCTACCCCTCCCAGGGTAAGGGTGGTGAGGCTGCCAGGGAGCTGAGACCACAGCCCTGGGGGCCCTGCGAACTCTGGCCAGCCCAGCCCAGCCCAGGGCTCCAGGGGGTCTTGTGCCCCGAGAGTGGAGCTCTTGGTGGCCCATGGGGTGGATAGGCCCCAGGCAGCCCTGCTGGGTGGATGTGTGGCTAGTGGGCAGGAAGGCCAGCTCCACAAACTGGCCCTGGAGTTGGTAGCCCAGGGCGGCTGCAGACCAGTCCATCCCTGGTTGTACGTGGGCGCATGCCAGGTGACAGGCCTGCAGAGGTGCTGTCAGGGGACAGAAGCTCCAGAATCTTCTTCACTGAGCAGGGAAGTGGGCCTGGCCAGGCTGGGTAGGTCTCAGGGAAGACAAGAGAGGGTAGCCTGCCCTTCAGGCAGGCCCTGGGAGGCAGAGTAGGGGGCCTGGGGTTGATCTGAGGGTGCAGGGTTTGGGGGTCCAGTTTGTTAATAGGAGCCAGATAAAAAGTAGGTGACCCAGGCCTGCCCTGTACCTCTCAGCTGAGCTGTCCTGAGGGGTAGACAGGGAGCATCAGCCGAAGCCTCTGGGCAGGGAGGAAAGTACTCGGTCTGGACACTCTGGAGAGCAGGCAGCCTGGGACCAGATCCCCCCACCTCTGTCCTCACCTGCCTGGCCCCTCCTGAGACTCAGCGCTGCCAGGCCCCTGCCCCCAGTGTGGGCAGGGCCTCCAGGGCTGATGCTGGCCTTGAGATCCTATATCTGGAATGGCCTTTGCCCTGGGCCTCCCATCCTCCCTCTTGTTCTCGGGTTCCTCCATCTGCTCCAACTCCAGGTAGGGTCGGGGTCAGAGGGAACCCCAGAACTGCACCCCCTTCCTCTTCCCAGGTCCAGAGCTGCACAGCCTTGGAGCCCTCTGCCACCCCAATGCCCGTTGCTGAGCTGGGCAAGTGGCCTGGCAGAGAGAGTGTCCCCCCACCCCGACCCCCCCGGGCACTGCCCTCCCTGCTGACGCTGCTGATCCCCGGCTCTGAGCTGCCCTGATCCCTTGATCCACCTCAGTCCCCGGGAGGCCCTGCACAGCCTGCCCAAGGACCTGGGGTCTCTTGGAGCCTAGGACACCAGAACCTTTGGTGCACCACTCTGGGGTGGGCAGAGGCAGGGGAACCACGAGGCCGGTGCCTCCCCGGGACCAGCAGCCAAGGCGGGGCGGGTGTTGGCGGGCCAGGAGGGAGGCCTGGAGCCCCGCCATGCCGGCTGCCTCCACAGAGGGCCAGCCTGTGGCCCTGAGCTTGGCGGAGAAGGCCGTGTGCAAGGTGGTGTATGGCGCCCCCCGCCCCCGCCCCCTGCTGCTGCCCGTGGGCCTGGAGCTGTGGCTCTACGTGCAGAAGATGCGTAACCTGCAGAGGAAGAGGTGCAGTGGGCACCCGGGCAGCTGGGAGGTGACCGGGGCGCGGGGCTGGAGGTCAAGGTGCCGTGGGAGGCTCTCGGGCTCAGTAGAGGGGGTGGGGCTCCCAGGCCGGACACCCTGCCTGTGGCCTCTCCAGGGGGTGTCCTCACGTTCCCGGGGCCTGGGTTAGACCCGCCCGTCTGTGACTCAGCATGGCTGCGCCGGACACCCCCTCAGTGGACCCCCCCAGGCCCTTCCCACACCAGAATCCTCCTTCGCTGTGGGTTCTCGGCAGGAATGCGGGGTCGGAGGCGGCCGCTCCCCCGGTGGAACCTGTCAGAGCCAGCAGGGCGAGCTCGGCTCTGGATGTGGCAGCGTCACAGACCCCAGTCCCCGGTCCTGCCAGGTCGCCTGGGAGGAGAGGTCGGTCCATCGTGTTAGACGGCACGGCGCCCAGCTGGGCAAGGACAAGTAGCCTTGATTAAGGAGCCCCATGTGTGGCAGTGGCCACAAGAGTGGGCTGCTGGGGTGGCATCTGGATGGCCCTTCCCAGAGGGTGGTGGGCAGGAGGCCCGAGACTCTGGATCCCGGCTCTTGGAGAGGCCCCCTGCGCTCTGCTCGATTCTGGAGCAGGCAGGCCGGTGCTGGGTCCCAGAGCCCACCCCTCCCTGGAGGAGCGACCCCGATGCTGGGGAGTCGAGGCTGGGCAAGGTGGGGGGCTTCCCCAGCAGAGAGCTCTGAGCCCGTGGGGTGTCGGGCGCTGGGCTCAGCGTCTCGGGGCTCACTGGCTGCACCCCTGCCTGTTTGATGTGTGGTGTTGGAAACGTTTAAAGTGCCTGTTTTCTTGACAATGCAGGGGTGAAGCGGGCAGGGCACTGTGGTTTGTATCAAGGGGGTGTTTCCTTAAATGGTTGAGAAGCACTGCCGTAGACAGGTGTGTTTGTTTGTTTGTTTGTTTGTTGAGGGGAGATGTGCGTTTCCCCCCGTAACTGCCGATCCCATCATGGCTCTAACGCAGCCCAGAGGGGGGGTGCCTTGGGGCACGAGGGCCGTTTGGTGTAGACATTTTCACTTCCCTGTAGGCTTTCCACAGACCCCAGTAATCAGGGTTGGCCCTCGGCCGTGCAGAACGTGCCACCCACTTTTCCAGGGCTGCATGTAGGGTCACCTGCCGGGGTGCCCTCCAGCTTGGGGCCCCACTCTCCCGTCCTAGGGCGGGGCAATGGCCTGGAGCCCGGAACCCATAGGACCAGCCCGAAGAAGGCGGAGGAGAAGTCTGAGGCTCTGAGTGGTGATGTGCCCTGCTCAGGACCCCACAGCAGGGAGGGCCAGAACCAGGGCCAGCCTGATTGAATGACTCCCACACACGAGGCCCCCCCCCCCCGACAGCCATGTGCTCGGGGCAGCTCGTCCAAGGCCCAGGGGCCCTGGGGCCGCCAGTGAGCGGGGCCCAGGCTAGCAGCTGGGGGGCCCGGACACCACCTCAGGGGGCAAGCAGGGCCCAAGGGTAAGGGGCTGCTTCTCTGATGCCCCTGGCCCAAAGGTTGGGGCAGGAGGGGCTGGTGAGCCTCCGGTGAGGGCGCTGGTGGTCACGTGGGGCCTTGGGCCCTTGGGGCTGGGCTGGGTTCACGGCCGGGGACCTGGAGCAGTTTCCCGGGGGTCGGGGTGGTCCTGGGATGTGGTCCTGTCTCGTCCTCCCGTGGCAGCGCCATGGGGGTGGGAGCTGCTGCTTGTCAGGGGGCCAGCTGAGCGCTCCTCAGCTCTCAGGGCTGGCTGACCCTTGGCTCGGACGCAGCCATGCCTCCCCCAAGAATGGGAGGCGAGGACAGAGGATGCCTGAGCCCGCAGTCCCCCATGGAGACCTTGGAGGGCGGGGGTGCACTCTAGGATGAGGGAGGGGTCAGGCCCTGCCCATGTGGCCTTGGCCAGCTCTCCGAACCTCTCTAAGCCTCGGTTGTCCTTGGTGAGGCTCAGGGCCCACGGCTGCTCTGGAAGAAGGATGTGGCACCGGGCCCAGGGGTGGCCCTCACCCAGGCGCCTGAGATTTCTCGGGAGGCTATGTTTGGAGCTTGGCCACTGTGGCCTGAGGGTCTTGCTGTGGTCACAGACTCACACCTTTGCCGGGGGCTCCTGAGCCGTGGTAGTGAGGGGTGGGCAGTGAGGTTTGGGCGTAGGTGAAGCACACAGGTGTGCCAGCCTCGGATGGCACACCAGTGGACCCGGCACCTGTGTCTGGGCACTGTGTGCACAGGCGTGGCATGGGTCACCGCCGTCCCAGGGCCTCCTGGTCCTCGTGACGACGGGGCGGGGAGCATGCGTCCCCTGCGTGACTGCATGAGGGGCAGGCTGTGACTTTTCTCCCCTCGCCCAGGATGGAGGCCTCGTGCCTGGAGCTCGCCCTGGAGGGGGAGCGTCTCTGCAAGGCCGGGGACTTCAAGGCGGGCGCAGCCTTCTTTGAGGCCGCGGTGCAGGTGGGCACCGAGGACCTGAAGACGCTGAGTGCCATCTACAGCCAACTGGGCAATGCCTACTTCTACCTGAAGGAGTACGCCCGGGCGCTGGAATACCACCGGCATGACCTGCTGCTGGCCCGGTGAGCGTGGCCGCCCTGCCTCAGCGAGCTCAGCTCCAAGGGACCCGAGCGGGTGCCGTGGACCTGGGAGAAGGGCTGTGGTCGGTCTGTCTGCCCGTGTGTGGGCGTGGCTGTGGCCCGCTATCCCGAGCGTGTCCGCGCGCGTGGGCCTGCCTCTGGGACTGGGTGGGGGGGGCGACCACCTGTGCTTCTGAGGGTCTCCACTCCCCTCTGGCCTCCAGGCCTTGGCTCAAGCTGCTTGCTCTCACCCCCGAACACCCTCCCTTGCTTGTCCCCCACCCCTGCTCCTCCTTCACACTGCAGTCACCACTCCGAGGCCCCGGGGGCCCCCTGAGAGGGAGTGGAGCTTCTTGGGGCTCCCCCCAGCCGTGCCCACAGGCTCTTCCCCGGCCGGCGAGCCCCAGACGGTGTCCTCAGCACCCAGACAGCTTGTTGAAACTTATTCACATGGCCGGGTCCCCCCTTCTCCCCGGCTCTCCCAGTCTCCATCCGGGCGCCTCCCCAGACCCGGGGATCTGCAGGCTGGGCCCCGCAGAGAAGTGACCCCAGCTGGGCTCCCTGCCCAGGGGGCTGCCTGAGGGGGCCCTGCCCGCCAGCCTCAGGACCCCTGCCCAGCGCTGCCCCAGTCAGCCCGGGGCTGGTCCTGCCAGGCCAACCCCACCCTTGCCCAGGCTCCCTGCTGAGTGCAGCATCCTGAGCCTGGCCCTCAGCCTGGCCGCTCACTGCTCCCTGCCCTCCAGGACCATCGGTGACCGCATGGGGGAGGCCAAGGCCAGCGGGAACCTGGGCAACACACTCAAGGTCCTGGGCCGCTTTGATGAGGCTGTCGTCTGCTGCCAACGGCACCTGGACATCGCCCAGGAGCAGGGGGACAAGGTCGGTCAGCGGCTCGCTGGGGGGCGGGCGCCCCCAACCTATGGCCCCATGCTGTCCCCCGTGGGAGGAAGATGGGAGGGTGGCCCACCCCAGCTGCCCAAGCTAGAGTCCCTAGCCCCCCATCTTCCGTGTCAGCCCTTCCTCTTACCGACCACCCCGCTCTGGGCTCCAGAGGGACACCGGGTGACGTGGCAGCCGGGGATGGAGCAGCTGTGGGCCCAGGCCTGTGCGGACACTTGACTGTCCTGCTCTGTGACCTCCCTCGTGACCCTGTGGGGTCAGCACAGACAAGGAAACAGGATGACTCTCCCCAAGTCACAGCTCAGGGGGGCCAGGCCCGGCTGGGAGCCCCTTCCTCCCTGCCCGGGCAGCAGAGACGAGAGGGTGCCCGCGCCAGGCGTGGCCACACCTCCCCTGCTGAGTCAGTCACTCGGGGTGTCCTCGGAGAGCGGCCATCACCTGCGAGCCCCCCCCAGGTCCTTGCCTCAGGGGCCACAGGGACCGGGGCCAGTGAGCTCCTCGGGGGCCAGGTCTGCAGAGGGTCCCCCAACCTCGGTGCCACCCCCAGGTCGGGGAGGCGAGGGCGCTGTACAACATCGGCAATGTGTACCACGCCAAGGGCAAGCAGCTGTCGTGGACCGCCACACAGGACCCCGGGCACCTGCCGCCCGATGTCCGGGAGCCGCTGCGCAGAGCCTCCGAGTTCTATGAGTGAGTGGGGCGGACCACGGTGTGTCCACGCTTTCCGTAGCACTTCCTGAGCCCCTGCTGCCGGCCACGGGGTGGGGCAGTCGCCCCAGGCACAGAGCGCCCACATCTGGGCCCATCAGCTCTCCTTCCCCACCCCCAACCTGCACCTGCCCTCAGTGTCTGGTGGGGGTCCACCAGACCCCCCCCGGCGTCCCCCACACATCAGTCATCCACAGCAGCGTGGAGAAGCCAGCGTGGTGCTAGAAAACATTTGGCTGCAAGAAGGCCAGGGATGTCGGGCTGAGTGTCTGTTTGTGGGAGCCTCCTGGGGCAGGTGAGCCCCTGACTGAGCCTCGGAGCGCACACGGCACCCGCTGGGGCACACTCTTTCTGGGAGGAGCCGAGCGGAGGCCACCGGCTCATCACCCTCTAGCCTGGGTGGGTGGGTGGTGGGTCACGGGGCCCCTGCTTCCCACGCACTGAGAGGGACATGGCTCAGACAGATGCGACCCCCAGGAGGAATCTGTCCCTGGTGAAGGAGCTGGGCGACCGGGCGGCCCAGGGCAGGGCCTATGGCAACCTAGGCAACACCCACTACCTGCTGGGGAGCTTCATGGAGGCCACGGCCTTCCACAAGGAGGTGAGTGTGCCGCGGGGCTCCCCAGCCATCTTGCTTGGTCTGTGCTTGGTGCGGGGTCCCGGGCTGCCCTCTCTGCACACGCAGACGTTGGGCTGGCTGCCCTGGGTGGGGGGGCTGCGTCTGCCATCCACCTTGGGTCCTGGGGCTGCTCTGTGACCACCCAGGTCTCGGGTCTGTGTCCTCAGCGCCTGGCCATTGCTAAGGAATTTGGAGACAAGGCGGCCGAGAGGAGGGCCTACAGCAACCTGGGGAACGCCCACATCTTCCTGGGGCGCTTTGACGTGGCCGCCGAGTACTACAAGTAGGCAGGCCTGCCCGCGCGCCCCCAGCCGCCCAGCCCAGCCCGGGGGAGGGGGGCCCACCTGGGCACCAGCCTAAGGTCAGAGGTGAGCCTGACCTCCCAGCCTCCCCAGGGGCCAGGTGGGGTGGGTTCTGGGCCACCCCAGAAGGGCAGACTGGCAAAGCCCATGTCCTGGGACTGCCAGGGACAAGAAGAACTACCATGCCCTTCGCTCGGTAAGTGCCGGCAGAAGCCGCCGTGTGCCGGGGACACAGCTGGTCTTGCCGAGGACCTCCCAGGGCCAGCTGTTGGGGGAACCCCAGGGCTGTCTTTGCTCTCCACGATGGCTCTGGGGCGCTGGGATAATCGCTCTTGTGTGGACTCAGAGCGTAAAGACCACGTGGGCTCTTGGGCGTCCCTGGCTCGTGCTGGGCTGCTCTGTGAGCCGTCTGCGTCCTGGCCTGAGTCGCAGAGACTGGGTCACCAGCCCCGGGTCCTGTGCTGAGCCCTGACACCCTGAGTCAGGACCCCGAGCTGGGGTGTGCTGTCCTCCGGTCCTCTGTGGAGACGCCTGTGGGACCCTGGGGCTGAGGTCACTGAGCAGGTGGACTGCATCGCCATCGCCCACTGTCCACCCCTCAGATGGGGGCCCCCCAGAAAAGGGGGTGCTGGAAACCCTCCTCCTCGGGGCTGACCCTCTGCCCTCTCTGCAGGAAGACGCTGCAGCTGTCCCGGCAGCTCAAGGATCAGGCGGTGGAGGCGCAGGCCTGCTACAGCCTGGGCAACACGTACACGCTGCTGCAAGACTACGAGCGCGCGGCCGAGTACCACCTGCGCCACCTGCTCATCGCCCAGGAGCTGGCTGACAGGTGCGCGTGGCGAGGACGCAGGGACGCGCAGGGTCAGGCCTGGACCTGGGGGCTCCAGACGGTCCTTGTGGCCTGAGCCGCAAGCTGCTCCCAGCAAGGCGCCGCCCTGCCCCTGACCGCCGAGAGACTCTGTGCAGGGCGGCCCACCTGGCCTCAGCCTCCCTCCGCTGCGGGGCCACGCCGTCCACTAAGTGGGACCAGGAGAGACTGGGTGGGCGCTGGGCCGGCCACTTGTGGCGACCCTGGGGATAGGCTGGCTGGGGGTCGGGCCCGCGTCACCAGGTCCATGGCCCCTTGAGCAGCCCTGTGTCTCTGAGGAGACACAGAAGTCTCAACACACGGCCACACACACAGGTGTGGCGTGGGCAGCGGCCGGGGCAGGGGCCTCGGAGCCAGGGCCGTGCGCCTCTCGCGGGGTGTGGGGCGGAGAGGGCTGCCCGCGGGCCAACCTGTCGGGAGGCTCGAAGTGGTCAGCCCTTTTGCTCTCGTGGGTGATGATGCTTTGGAACCAGATGGTGATGGCCGTGGATCATTGAGTGCGCAGAGCCCCTGGGCCTGCACTTGAGTGATTACATTTACATTTTGTGGTTTTTTCACCTTAATTAAAAGATTAATGATCTGAGGGACCGCCCCCTGCCCCCAAGGGTGGAGGGAGTCACGGGGGCGGGGGGGGGGGGGGGGGGGGGAGGGGTGCGGGGGGGAGCCTCACAGCCAGCAGGGGGCGAGCAAGGCCCCGCCAGGAGCTCCAGGCCCGCCCACTGCGCTCCTGTCAGGATGGGCCGGATGACCCGGAGGCCGGTGGGCAGGCTGGCGGGCCGCGGGCAGCACATGTGAACTCAGTTTCCCGCCCTGGCAGAGTGGGCGAGGGCCGGGCGTGCTGGAGTTTGGGGAACGCCTACGTGTCCATGGGGAGCCCGGCACAGGCCCTGACTTTCGCCAAGAAACACCTGGAGATCTCCCAGGAGGTGAGCCCGGCCTGCCCTGCGGCCAGTCCCCAGCCGCTGCCTTCGCTGGCCTTGGAGGCCCCCAGGCGCTGCCCAGCCCACCTGAGACCAGCCAGGTGCCTCTGTGCCCTCTGGCTCCTCCCTGGACGCTCCTCCATCCCTTCTAGGGTGTCGTGCGCTGGGCGTGCCTTCAGAGGCCCTGTGGCGGCTTATCTGCTGTAGCCAGGGGGTGGGGGAGGGGAGCAGGGGCCCGTTTTCCACCCGTAGAGCGTCAGCATTCCCTGTGCGCGGGCCCACGACGAGGTCCTGTGTCCCCCGATGGAACCGGGCCAGGCCAAGGTGGAAATGACCTGCCACAGGCGGCCCAGGGGCACAAAGGCATGGCCGCCCCTGGGCTCTTCCCCCTGGAACCCCCCAGCTGGATGCCTTCCTGGGGATGATGGGCAGGGTCTTCGAGGGCCGGTCCACCCGGGACCCTCCTACTATGGTCAGGTTGTCCCGGGTGGCCTCCAGCTTCCCAGTTCCTAGCCTGTCCCCTTCTTACCTCGGTCCCGTCCTCCTTGGCCCCAGTGATGTCACGTCCCCCCAGCCCACGCCCAGTACACTCCCAGACCCACCATAGTAACCCCATGCCTGTTGTGGGCAAGACCCATAGGAACCCAGGTGGTGGGGCAACAGGGAAGCTTGGGTCAGGAGAGGCCCCCAGCAGGGCCGGCCCCCACGGCCCCCTGAGCAGAGGCGGGAGCACGCCAGTGGCCCCAGGGCTCCATTCGAGGTCCGGCTGTGGCCTCCCACCATTTGGCTTGTTCTTGGGTGGTGCCCTCACTCCTCTGCAGCAGGGTCCTCCTTTTAAGCCTCTGCTCTGAGCTGGAGGCCTGGACGGGGCCGGAGGGGTGCCTGGGAGGCTCCAGGGACTGAGAAAGGTGGAGTCTGGGGCAGGCCACCTGCCTTTGGGAGTGGCACAGGGCTGGCTGCCTGAGGCCCCAGGCATTCCGGGCTTGTGAGGGGGGCTGCCTGGGGCCCATGTGGCCACCCTTACCCAGGGACAAACACCCAGACTCCATCCTTGAGGCATAGTGAGGCCTGGTTCCCTTGGAGGCCCAGGGCTCAGGGCCAGTCTGCCAGAGCCTCCCAGCCCACCTGCCCACTAACCTGGCCCTGCTTGGCTGTAGATCGGCGACCGCAATGGGGAGCTCACGGCCCGCATGAACGTGGCACAGCTGCAGCTGGTGCTGGGCCGGCTGACCAGCCCCGCGGCCACAGAGAAGCCGGACCTGGCTGGTTACGAGGCCCAAGGTGAGCTCCCAGGCTGGGTGGGCAGGGGTGTGGCAGGAGGGCCACCTGGGGTGCTTGGGCTTCTGGGTGCAGTTTACCAGGAGGTGGACTCTGTCCCCAAGCAGGAGAATGTCGGACAGAGCTGCCCAGTAAGGGTGGTCTGTCCCTGGGGGTGTCTGCATCGGCACCGCTGCTCGGCCCTGCTCCGCAGCGCCCAGTGGGGGTGGGAGGTGACCGGGTGTCCAGGGTGCTCAGGGCACAGACGGAGGAGCCCTGTTTCCCCGGGTCAAGTCAGGAGTCAGGAGATTGGAAAGCATGGGGAGAAAAGCGTTCAGGGGCAGAGACAGTGTGGACAAAGGCATAGCCTGAACGTGAGGCCTTCAGGCCTGTCCTTCTTGGTCTCTGGGGCAGCGAGGGCCTGTCGTCACCCTGAGCCCCCCTGGTTTATCACCTGGTGACACCATGGCCGACAAGGAGGACGAGGAGAGGGCGCTCACTGCCCCCGTCTCGGTGCTCCACACGCTCCGGGCCGAGGGCCGGGCTGGGGGACCGGAGGGGGAGGCCGCGTCAGCCAAGAGGCAGAGAGCAGTGTTCGGGGTGCTAAGCCAGTGAGGCCCGGGATGAGCCAAGGCAGCTGTAATGACCTCATTCACGGGCTGCTGGTCGCCCCATACGGGTCAGCATTGTTAGGCGCACAGGGGCACGTGGGAACAGAATGTTCCTTGCAAAGCAAGTGGATAAAAAGTATTGGGTCCAGGGAGGGGGGCCACCCTGAGCTGGCTTCCCAAGTGGCTGTAGGTGGGTGTGGGGCAGGCTCCGAGCAGGGAGCTAGCTGCCCCCTCCCCACCTGCACGCACCCCAACTTGTGGTTCTTGAGTTTTGGGGGAGTCTGGCCCCAATCCCCTCATGGCTGTGTCCCCGGGGGTGCCTGCCCTGCCCCAGCCTCCAGAGCTTCAGGCCTGCTGAGGAGAAGGCCGGGGGAGGCTCCAGGTTGTGGTGGAGGGGCTGCCGGGTTTCCCTGCCTAATGCCGGGGGTTTCTAAGCCTGGCCTGTCCCGGGAAATGGGGGGCACGCGTTGCTCCCACTCAGGGTGAGGACAGGAGTGAAGGTGCAAAGCCCTCTGGGACCCCCAGTCACCCTATTTTGGGGTGCTGTGGCTGAAGGGGGTGGGGTGGAGGAGGGCTCCCCCTTTACGCCCCTACCCTGCCCCAGGCTGTGTCAGACAGTGTCGACCCTTTGGGTGGGGTTTTTCTGAGGGTGGGCAGCTCTGCTTGGAGCCCCTGGCCCTGCGAGGCCCCCCTCTGAGGAAGCCAGCAGCAAGTGGGGGCAAGGCTGGGCCGGGCTTCTGGAAAGGCTCCCACGGGGGCGCAGCCAGCCCCAGGTTCTCCTGCCATTTTCCCTCTTTTCTGAGCTGGGGAAAGGCGGGGCACATCACGGGTGAACGGCTGGGCTGTGCTGGGAACAAGGCAGCTTCTGTCCTCCCCAGGCTGGCTCTGCTGCCCTGCCCCGTGCCCAGACCCTTCCCAGCCAGGGCCCCTGGAAGCCCCCTCCCCCGGCTGCCGGCGCTACACGGGCCGATCTCCAGAGCTGCCCGCTCAGGCCATGGAGGCAGGTGTGGGGGCCCTGGGCCGCTCTGGGGGCCTTCAGGCCCTGCAGTGCTCCTGCTGCAGGCGGGCGGACACCCTGAGTCTGGGCAGCCCTGGAGGAGACCCCCGCTCAGGTGAGCCTGGCAGGGGCAGGGCCTTGTGGAGGGGGCACCACAGGGCTCTCTTGCAGGGGCAGGATCACTCGCTCTCTGATTCCGTGCATGCACACGGAGCCTGGGTGGCGGCCTGGCCCAGTTTCCAGAACTGACCCTTTGGGGTAGGGATGGGGCACTTATGTGTACAGCCTGTCAGTTTGTGGGGGGGCGCTGAAGGGGGCCGGGGGAGTGGCAGTTTGTGGGTTAACTTTACCAGCCTTGCAGCCCCCATCCCAACAGAGACCCCAGAACGAGTCTGGGTGGACGTGGGCCCCTCCCTGCCGCTGCTGCCTGGGCCTGGGTCAGTCCCCCGAGGTCTCCTGCTGTGCCATGCCCCTGCCCTCTCTGGTGAGGGGCCCAGGGTGGATGGGTTTGTCAGATGGAGGTCCCACTGCACCCATCTGGGACGCGGAAGCGTGATCAGTTCATAAGCGGATGGAGCCAGCCCTGAGCCCTGGGGAGCTGGGCCTGGCTATCTTCTGTCCCACAGGGTATGGGCCGTCCATGGACACTGTGTGTGGCCACCGTAGCAGGTTGGGATGTACAGAGTGAATGTCTGAGCCACAGTTTGGGCTTCTGGCTCTGGCTAGAAGCCACAGTTTCGGCTTCGCCCAGTCCTGGCTAGCTCACCCCGTGATTTGACCCAGCTGTGCCCCATGGTCGTGGCCTGGGAACTGGGCCCACTGGTTGTCCTGCGGATAGTGCCTGGCAGGGATGAGGGCACTCCCTGGGGAGGGCTGAAGATGTGGACGCCTCCCTGTCCCTCTGCGCACTCAGCACGCGGCCTGCAGCCCGTTTGCAGGCCAGGCCCCTGTGACACACAGTCCTCACGTCTGTCCCTTCTCTGGCTGCTCCTGGCTCGACCTTCCGGGGCTTGCCACGTGGGCCTGACCCTGGCTCTGCCCCTCCAGGCCCTGTGACTGTGGCTGGAGGTCTCTTCTCTTGAGCCCCGGTACGCAGAGTCTTGGGAGGGCAGCCGGGCGTGACGGTGCCTGGGGAGCCACAGACAGGGCCCCACGTAATAAACAGGAAACTGCCTGCTCATCATCAGGGGGTGAGACTGGCCAAGGCGGCCAGAGGAGACGCGTGTGTGGCAAACAGTAGTGAACGGATAACACGCTACAGGTGTTGGGGAAGAAGGAACAGCTGTGAGGCTGGGTGTGAGTGTGCGTGGGCCGCGTGGGGCCGCCGTCTCCGTCAGCTCGGGCTGCAGAACGGAGCACCGCAGAACAGGCGGCTTAAAAATACGGGTATTTACTTCCGATGCTTCTGGAGGCTGGAGGTGTGAGAGCAGGGAGTCAGCAGGGTGGGGTCTGGGGTTGGAGGGAGCTCTGTGGTGTTTTCTTATAGGGGCACCCACCCCAACACTGGGGCCACCCTCATGACCTCAACTCAACCCTGATCACTTTTCAAGGCCCCGCTTCCTAATGTTATCACGTTGCAGTTTGGGTCTTCGACGTGGAACGTAGGGGACACAAACATTTGGTCCATAGCAGTGACATCTGAGCAAAGACTTGGAAGGGGAGGAGGGAGTGAGCCTGAACTTAAATGGAGGACAGCCGTGCAAAGGTCCTGGGGCCTGGGTAAGCCTGGGTGGGAGGAGCAATGCGGGGGGGTGCTCCTGTTCTGTGTAAGTCCCTCCCCATGCCGGGGGGCCCCTGCAGGGTGAACAGAGGAAGAAGATCTAACTCAGGCCCTGCGGGCATCTCTCTGGCCTGCCCCAGCATGGACAGGGGGCAAAGGGAGCAGGGAGCCTGGCAAGGTGCTGCTCGGATCCCAGCAAGATGAGGAGGGGTCAGATTATGGGTCTGTTTTGAAGGTGGAGCTGCTGGGATTTGGGAAGACACTGAAGGCAGGAAGGAGCTGGGGGACACAGCCAAGCAGTTAGAAAGCGGGTTTGCCCGCCTAAGTGGGACAAGCTGCACACGGGAGGGGCACATCGCGAGCCTGATAGGGCAGAAATGAATGATGACGAGGGTGCTGGTCAGACTCAGGCAGGAGTAGGGTGGTGCTCAGGGAAGTTTCCAGACCTTGCCCTCTGGGGTGGGAGGGACAGGAAGTGCGCTAGCTCCAGCCTGAATGCCCCAGTGAGGGCAGCCCACTCTCCAGACAGAGGGTGCATTTAGCTCAGAGGGCCATGAGGGGGCCCGCCCCAGAGCCGGACACAAGCTGGGTCTCAGAAGGGCATTTCAGCCTCCACCGCGGCCTGGGCCTGACTGTCCAGCCAGGCGGGGCCCAGCAGACAAGGTGGGGACATCGAATCAGGACCCCGGGTATCAGGGAGCAGCCAAGGAAGGGGCCGTCAGCCGGCCCGTGGCGGGAGATGGAACTAGCTTGTTGCTGGCTGTGGTGAGTAAAGGGGCCATGCACAGTGGCCTGCCCATCCTGACAGGGCCACTCGGCTGTCCCCGGAACCAAGGTGCTCCTCCATTACTGCCCCAGCCAGGCGCCGCCCCCAGGCACCAGTCGGTGTGGGACGGATCCTACTGTTTCTTCAGAGCTGCCCTTCTCTAGTCCAGGGTGGGCTGGACGGTGCCGGGGTGGGCGGTCCGCCCCGTCCAGTCCGGGGTGGGCTGGACGGTGCCGGGGTGGGCGGTCCGCCCCGTCCAGTCTGGGGGGGGCTGGATGGTGCCAGGGTGGGCGGTCCGCCCCGTCCAGTCCGGGGTGGGCTGGATGGCGTTGGGGTGGGTGCCCTTATGAGGAAACAAGCAGAGGGGAGCCCCCTCTGGACCTGCTCCAGCTCATTCGGCCGCACAACACGGGGCCAGGCTGCGTGCTCAGAGACGGCGCTCCCTGGCTCGGCACCTGGGCAATGCTTGCTGGCCAGGGGCTGTGTGCAGGGGGCCGGGGCAGGCTTGGCACTAACCATGGCAGCTGAAGGGATGGGGGAGGGGCGGCGGACAGCCCCAGATCCTGGGCCCAGGGAGCCACTGGCCGCCGTCTCCTGGTCAGGCTGCTGCAGCTGTCCCCTCCCTGGACTCCCGGGACAGCCGCCACCGACACCCTCCTCCGAGGATCACCGCTTTTCTACCCAAGGCCTCTAGAGAGTGGGGAACAGGGTGTGGCTTCCTCAGAACCCGGAGGCCAGGACAGGGAGAAGGGCTGGACACCTGCCCCGCTCGTAGGAAGCCCTGGGCGTTTGGTTTGGGCTGGTCTGAATGACACCCTGAACCAGCCCCTCTCCCTCCGGGGACCGTGTCTCGGGCAGCAGGTATGGGCCCAGGCTGGGGTCGGGGTGCCATGCTGAGGGCTCGCTGCCGCTATCTGCTGTGGGTGTCACACGTGGAGCTCAGCGCTGTGCTGGGGTGGCCACGGAGGGCAAGCGTTCCTCGCCACGCAGCCTGCAGGCGTCCACAGCACACCAGGCCCTGTAAGATGCTTCCCACGCGTTCCCTCTGCATTGCTGGTGACAGGCCCACGGGTCCGGTCTGACTGGTCACTGAGCTTGAGGGAGGGTAGTGGGTCCAGGGTCCGGGGCTGCCAAGACAGGACCCCTGGAGCATCCGCCCACACCAGAGGCCTCGCTCGCTCTACCTGCCGCGTTTCCTTGCCTCGCACAGCCCCACCTTTGCGCAAGGGCCCCCGGGGCACCCGGTGGGTGTGCAGCTGGAGGGGCGCTCGGCAGTGGGAGGACCTGGGCTGCCCATGTGCGTGTAGGTTGAGGGGTGAACGGAGTGCCACGGATCAGGGTCTGAGGCCCCATCTGCATGGAGGTAGGAAGGGCATTCCAGGAGAGGACTGCACAGAGGCCGGTGGGGAGGCCCCAGGCACGGGCAGGAGCTCAGACACTGGGCCTGTGGGGAGTACCAAGGCCAGATCCCGCCCAGGCCCTAGAGGGTCTGCCCCATCTCCACTGCTTGTCCAGTCGGGGGGTGTAAGGCCATGCAGGCACTGCGTCTGCCTCCATCGGGGACCATGAGATGGGAAGTTCCCCTGCCAGCCCCCGGAGTGCAGGCTGACAGCCCGACCCTTCCCGGAGAGCCCGGGCCTGGGCCAGCCCACCACTCGGCCAGGGCTCAGTGCCAGACTGACCGAGCCTGCTGTCTTCCAGGTGCCAGGCCCAAGAGGACACAGAGGCTGAGTGCAGAGACCTGGGGCCTGCTGAGGCTCCCCCTGGAGCGGGTGAGTGGGGCTCAGGGCGGGTGGCTGGGGCCCCCGGGGCCGGAGGGGCAGCCGCCTGCCGTTAGAAGCGGAGCGCGGCGGCGGGTTCCTGAGGCTGGTGCAGTGCTGGCCAAGCTGCCCCTGCCCACCCCGGCTCTTGTCTGTACCCATCCCCGCCACGGGAGACCAACGTGCCCTCTGCAGCCTGAGACGCTGGACCAGCCATCGTCCCCCAGAGAGGCCCCCACCAGGCCCCGTCCCCTCCCACTTCATCCCAGGGTCCCACCAGCTGTGTCCTCACACAGTGCAGGCCCCCAAGTCCCCAGTGTGCTGGCGGCCCCCACTCCTGTCTGCTCCCTGCCCACTCAGACTCTGCCCCGGGGGGAGCAGCTAGGCCTCGGCAAACCCCAGCCAACTGGAAGCTGGGCAGGGTAGGGCTCCAGGCCCACCCTCTACCTGCCAGAGGTGGGTGCTGTGTAGCCCTGGGGGAGTGAGCTAACCTCTCTGAGCCTCTGGGTCCTCCAGTGGGGCTGGGTTCGGTCGGGGGATCTGTTGGGGAACAAGGCTCAGGGCTGCCGTGGTCACTCATTGCTCAGTGTGGGGCCAGCCGTCTAGCTCCCAGCCCCTCTGGCACCCTGCCCTGCCTCTCCTCCCCACCCAGGCCCTCACCTCCTCCTGCCCCGACCCCTGAGTGCCTAGCTGTGTGTCTGTCGACAGGGCCCTGCATCCGCCAGCCCCCCGTAGGGTCCTGCGCCAGGGAGCTGACAGCCGCGCCCATGCCTGGCCTTCCTCCCCTCCCCAGGAGCAGAATGGAGACAGCCACCAGGTGGGGGAGTGGCGGGGGCCAGGCAGGGACGTGCTCCCTCTCCCCGTGAGGAGCAGGAAGTACCAGGAGGGGCTGGAGGCTGCTGAGAGGCCCCGAGAGGGCAGCCACTCCCCGCTGGACAGCGCGGACGTCCGGGTGCAGGTGCCTCGCACGGTAGGCGACTTCTCGGGTGCCATCCTGTGCAGCAGCCCTGGGCCGGGCCGGGCCCCCCACCCACCAGGGGCAGAGGCCACGGCTCTGTGCCGCCCCCAGTCCTGAGCGCAGGGCATTCGGTGCAGAGACAGCATGCCGCCGGTTGCATCCGGCCTCGGCAAGGCCCAGGCCACGGAGAAACTGGACGGAGGCCTCGCCGATGGGGTTCTGTAGCACAGCCTCAGGGGGGCGCAGGCCCTTGGGCCCGGCCGGCAGCCCTGTCCGGGTACACAGCATTCAGAGGTGGATGGACTGCCGGGGAGCTGGGGGAGGGAGGGATGGGCTGGGGGTCGGATTCAGACCGGTGGGACAGAGCAACGGGGGCCTCCGGCTCCTGGCAGGTGTCCCCCTGAGGAAGCTGGCCAGGGTTTGGGAGGCCCAGCCAAGCCCAGGTTCAGAGGTCAGCCTAGAATCCCCCTTCCCCCATGCAGAACACCTGGGTCCAAATCTCTGGGAATTAGTCTAAAAAACAGTTTCCTCTGAGGGCTTAATGAGCACCTTCCCAGCCTTTGAGGGGCGTGGGCGCCGTGCCGGGTATTCTTAGCCCCAGATGTCTGCTGTGCACCCATCTTTCCCACGAGCCTAGGAGGGCCTCTGCCAACCCCATTTGACCCCGGCACGGCCCTCCAGCCTGCCAGCCAGGGTCAGTGTCCGTGGAGTGAGAGGAGACGAGAGGCCGCAGGAGAGAGGGGCTACTGCCCACACTGTGTGTTTGGGGCCCCCAGCCCTCAGGGCAGGGGCCTTGCCACCATCACACGGGGCTTTGGGGTCTGAGAAGGTGTGGCTGGGTGAGGTCGAGGGCCCCGGGAGCTCCTCCTGGGGCAGGACATGGGGAGTGGGGCTGGGTTCGCCCCAAAGGTCGGGGTCCACCCAGAAAGCGCCTGGTAGGGGAGGGTCCCAAATGCCAGGGAACCACAGCAGGCTTTGGGACAGGAAGGCCTTTTCCACGTGGTAACCTGGCCCTAGCCGCCTTGGCGGCAGGGGGTGGGGGTGGGGGTGTGCCTTCTGCCAAATGTGAATGGTAGCCAATGCTCAGGCTTGCCACACGTCATGCCTTTACAGCAGTCCCAAGAGGGGAAACTGAGGCACAGGGCCGTGGAGAAGGTGGCCTGAGGGCACCCAGCTCGGAATGGTGGAGCTGGGGTTCCAAGGCCGGGGTTAGCTCCCGGAGCCCCAGCTCTGCCCCTCGGAGATGTAGCAGGGCTCCGGGCCATGGGGGGCGCCTTTGGAGGAAATTCCTATGGCAGAGTGCCAAGGCTGGCCACAGCCGGAGGCCTGGACCCCAGTGGCAGACTGGTCCCCCTGCCCTGAAGACACTGGTCCAGCTCCCTGCTGTCAGAACTGCGGGCCGGCCCTCCTCCCGGGGCTCTGAGCTCCCTGTAGGAGCGGGACCGAGAGTGCCCTGGGGGCTCCACATCCCCATCCCGTCCTCGCCTCCTGCTGAGGCTCCTAGCCAGTTCCCCCGACGCCCCAGGGTCGGCCCCCACTGGGCCCCCAGCCAGCCTGAGGAGGGTTGTCCTGGCGGCCGGCCAGAGGCCGAGGCTCCACTGACCGCCCAGTGCCTGGAAGGGACCCCGTGGCGAACGGCAGGGGCGGGGAGGGCGCTGTGGGCGGTGGTGGCCCCTGGGGCCGCTGTGTGGGGAGTGGCTGCACGACCCATGCCCATGGGAGAGGCCAGCATCCTTCTGGCTCCTCGGGGGGCTGTGGCGGCCCCGGCCTCGGGAGTCAGGGCTGAAGAAAGAGGCCGCTTCTCCTGGGCTGACCCAGCTTTGGAAGGAAGCCGGGCCCCTGTCAGCAGGAACAGTGCTCCCCAGACAGGTCCCATCGCCCTTGCCCCTCTGGCCTGACCACCCGTGGGCCGGAGCAGGAGCCCTCCGCGCTGGAAATAGTCTCTGAATGTTTACAGAGCGTGTGCGTGCGCGTCTGTGCCTCGTGCATGAGTGTGCGCCCGCCAGAGCGAGGGAGTGCAGTGGGGGGGCCGGGGCGGGGATGGCGCCCCCCCCCCCGGGGGGCCTATTTAAGCACTGAGATGACAGGGACGGCACAGACGCCACACGGCCGGCCGGGCTCGGGGACAGTGAGTGGTGCGCAGTGCCTGGCCCCCGCTGCTGGAGGGGAGCTGCGGATCCAGCGTGAGTGTGGGGCCCCGGGCACGGGGAGGCTCGGGGAGCACTCGGGCCGTGTGAAGCTGGATGGGGCGGGGGGTGGGGCAGAGCAGAGCTGTCCTCCTGGGGCTGTCAGGGTGGGCTCCAGCACCTCTGCTCCAGCCCAGCTGTCTCCCCCAGGCAGGCAGGGGTGCGAGGAGTTGGCGAGACCCAGGGCTGGAAGTCCTGCAGGCCAGAAGGAGCCAGAGTCAGGGGGCAAAGGAGAGTCTGGGACCCAGGGTGGCAGCCTACACGAGGGGAGCAGGGCCTCACCCTGCACACCTGTGGCCTCAGCCCCACATCCCCCCCAAATGAGGGAAGCCCCAGCCCTTCACAGGTGGCCCAGACAGCTCTGCTCTGGGGCCCTCTCTGCCCCACCCCAGCTACAGGGGTGATGAGGCCAGGAGAAGCTTCTGGGCAAACAGCACCTACTTCAGCTCCTTGAGCCCCGAGCTCAGCCCAGGGGAGGTTGGAGGAGTGCTGGGTGCCCATGTGTCTAGAGAAGAGGAGCCCCAGGGCTACACCTTTTCCAGGAGGGGCCTGGCTCCATTCACCTGGCCCACAGTCCACCTGGGGTCCCCTGCAGTGGGTGGTGCTGTGCTTACCCCCACCCCTGGCTGAACCTAGGGCCCCAAGGGACCAGTGAACAGACCTTGACCTTCTGGGGAGGCACCTGCACAGCCCCCACCAGGGCAGGGCTGATGCTCAGCCCTGAGCACCTCGCCAAGTGCAGCCCCCACCCCCCCACCCCCACCAGGGCCCCTCTGCACTCAGCACTAGCTTTCACTTTGCTCCGGGCTCCGCAGGACAGCAGAGCCCTGAGTTGGGGGGATCTTGAACTACCCCAGCCTTGGCTCTGGGCCTGCCCTGGGGGGACAGGGGTGGGGTCTCTGTCCTCCGAGCTGCCAGCTGCTGGCCCAGCTCATGGCATGGGCTGTGTCGGGACCACCCACTCAGCTGCCCCTCCCTGGGTCACTCTTGGCCTTCGGGGACCGTGCCACCCTGGGGGCCTAGGCTGGGCCTGTCTGGGGGGGGGTCCCCAGCCTGCCCCTTGCTTCCTTGTGGCCTTGGAGGTGTGCAGGCTCCCTTGCCCCAGTATCCACCTCTGCAGCGGGCTGGTAAGGGGTCATCAGGAGATCTGGGACCCAGCCAGCTGAGAGGTGGACGGGCCAGGGCTGGGCAGGGGGCACTGGCATCAGAGGGGAGGTGAAGGTGGCCTCTGGAAGCTGCCCCATCCACCAGTCAGCCCTCAGGGCCCTGGACCAGACGTGGTGAGGCTGGTGGGGGGACCAGCCGTGGCCCTGCCCTCCAGCCTCCCCTCCTATGGCTGTGTAAACTGAGGCCCAGAGGGGGAGTGTGTTTGCCAGTTGGGACTCGGCCAGGTCCGGTGGCCTGGTCTCCCACTTCCCATTCCCCCCTCCCTCTGAGAACCACCGTCCCCTCCCGTGATGGTCCCATCAGTGGGGTTTGCCTAGACCTAGCAGGTGGCCCCTGGGTCAGCCCTCCCCACCACCCAGGCTGCACACTGATGGCATCTCCCAGAGTCTCTGTGCTCCCCGTGTGTCCAGGCTCTGCCCCCCAGCCACCCAGAGCAGACCCTGGGCACCTCAAGCCAGCATGCAGAGGGAGAGGCTGGGGGATGTTAGCACCTTCTCTTTAGCCTGACCACCCCACACCCGGGGTCCTGGCCGCCACACATCTGTCCTCTGGGCCTGCCCACAGGTCTAGCACCCAAACCCCAGAAGAGGTGGGACTAGGGTAGAACACAGGAGCCCTCACCTCCCCCAACTGTGGCTCCTTGCCTTTGGTGATATGACTTGACTTTGCTGGCCCCGGATCCCTCACCACCACTGCCAGGGCCCTGGCACAGACCACTGTAATATGTAAAACAGGCAGCAGGGCTTCCTGCCTACCCAGGGTCTAGTCACGCACTCACTACTGGTTGATTTGTCCATTTGGCAGACACCGGTGAGTGCTGTGCTGGGTGCCTGGGCCCCAGAGGGGCAGGCACAGGTGGAGCTCATGGCAGCCGCTGACACAAGTGTGTGACAGAGTCCCACGGGGCAGGGGCTGGGGGCCGTGGGGCGCAGGGACGCTGCTGGGAAGCGGTGGTGACCGGGCAGGGCGGGGAGCACTCCAGGAGGGCAGGGGGGGTTGGGTAGCAGGGTGTGGGAGGACAGTGGAGGCCTGGACAGGGCTGATGGTGGGAGAAGAATGGGCAGGTGGGGTGAGGGTCCTGACCTTACCCCCGGCTGAGCAGCTCCCTCAGTGGTGTCCAGGGGTCTGAGGGCCTGGTGACCAGAGCCGCGCCACTGTGGCTGGGCCAGAGCCAATGCTGACTGCTGCTGCCCACCCACTCCCCCAGAGCATCCCTCGGGCCCCATCCTCTGACGAAGAGTGCTTCTTTGACCTGCTGAGCAAGTTCCAGAGCAGCCGAATGGACGACCAGCGCTGTCCCCTGGAGGAGGGCCAGCCCGGGGCCGCCGAGGCCACAGCTGCCCCCACCCCGGAGGAGAGGGTTGGTGAGTATCCCCCGTGGAGCTCTTCTTGTCCTTGCCTCGCTCCCTCCCTGCCCTCCCCAGTGCCCCTGGGAGCCCTTGCTTCTGGGGGGCGGGGCACACCAGCTGCAAAAGTGCCCCTTGTCACCACCTCGTCCCCCGCCTCGCCCAAAGCTGCATCCTGGGAAGCATGTCATCATCCCTGCCCTCCAGAACACACCATATCAGGGCGCATGGCGGGCTCAGGGCAGGCGTGGGAAGCCAGGCCTTCCTCCCGTCACCGAGGAGTCCCTGGGGGTGCGCATGGGGCCTGCAACAGGGACAACCTGGGGCAGCTGGGGTCTGGGGCCAGCAGAGACACCCCTGGGACTCCCATGCCCCTGGGCAGCATGGAGGGCGGGGCTGGGCTCAAGCTGACCCAGCCCGTGGGGGGCCCCCTCCCTCGACCTTGCCCCCACAGCCCAGCCCTCGCTGACGGCATCCCCGCAGACCGAGGAGCTCCTGGACCTCATTGCCAGCTCCCAGGGCCGCCGGCTGGACGACCAGCGGGCCAGCGTGGGCAGCCTGCCTGGGCTGCGTGTCACCCACAGCAACCTGGGCCGTCTGCGCGGGGACGGAGACCCACAGGAGCCGGGGGACGAGTTCTTCAACATGCTCATCAAGTGCCAGGTGGGCCTGCAGCTGGGGAGGCCGGAGGCGCTCACCGCCCCCCCCCGTGCCCACCCCTGCCCCGAGGCAGCTGGTGGAGGCTCCTCACGCCCGCGGCAGGCTCTGGCCCGTCCGTCTCAGGCTGGCTCTGCCAGTGTCACCAGGTGCCCCTTCCTGGGCCCCCCCTCCCGAAAGCCCTCCTCATCGGGCAGGAGCTCCAGCAGGGGGGCGCTGCCGTGGTGGGGTCCGGCCCCCTGCCCCCCAAGGCAGGGCAAGACGGCAGAGGGGTTTCAGGGACCCCGTGAAAGGCTGCAGGAGAAGCCGTGGCCTGGCTCACACGGGACGGTGCGGTTTCCAGATGTGACCTTTATTCCCACAGAGCACAGGAAAACGCGGCCCCAGGCGAGTCTGAAAAGCCTCAAAACCAGCCCCTGGAGAGAACCCCCGAGCCCCTGGCCCATATGCCCGCATGCTCCAGCAGCTGCAGCAGCTCCCAGCCCTCTGCTCCAGACCCTGCACGGAAGCCCAAAGGCCCCCCCAGCCCCCTGGCCTGATGGCCTGATGGGGGCCCCGGGGAGCTCCGCGCCTCAGGCTCAGGGAGCTGGTGGCCCCCAGTCCTGCCCCCGGGGCTCCTGAACACATCCCTGTCAGGTGGTGTTGGGCACAGTACGGAAGGCCAGCCAGCAGCCCCGTGCCCCGGCCTGCTCACCCCGTGCCTGGCGGTTACTCAGCCCTCCCTCCCGGGGTGGCCTGGGCAGAGGCTCCCAGCACTGCCCACGGAGCTGATCTTACCGGTAGTTGCAGGGAGAGCCGCTCGCTGGCCAGCAGCCCCTGCCTGGGTGTTACCCCTGAGACCACTGGGCCCCCGTGCTAGGCCGGCCCTCCAAGGCGGGGGAGGCCCAAGCTGCCAACCCACGTGTCTGTGTCCGCCCAGTCCTCCAGGATCGATGACCAGCGCTGCCCACCTCCTGACGTGCTGCCCCGCGGCCCCACCATGCCTGACGAGGACTTCTTCAGCCTCATCCAGAGGGTGCAGGCCAAGCGGATGGATGAGCAGCGGGTGGACCTCGCCGGGAGCCCCGAGCAGGAGGTGGGCGGGAGCCCCGAGCCCCGGCAGCCGTGCCAGTCTGGTGCCAGCTAAGATCCTGCAGCCACAGCCAGGCTGGCCCCACCCCTACTCGTGGCCTCGGGGCCGGGGGGCACGCCGTCCTCTGTGATGCCCACGGCCCCGCGAGAAGCCCATTCCTCTGGAGGCCATGGCTGACTGCAGGCCCTCTGGCCCTTCCCGTTGCGGCAGATGCTGGGCACACAGCCCCCACGCTGTCCCCCTCCCAGGGTGGCAGGCTCAGGCTTTGGCTGCCCCGGCGGGTGGGCATGCCTCTGTCCTGGACCAGCTCCCAGGTGGGACACGGCTTTCTGCAGGCCTGCCCGGCCCGGCCTTCTCCCTGCCCCCTCCCTGCCCCAGGTTCCAGCCTGCAGCTTGTTGGTCCAGACCCTCCATGGCCTCTCCCTGCCCCGCCCAGCTCCATCCCTCCATCCTGCCCGGCAAATGTGAAAACTGCTGCCTCCCCTGAGCCCCCAAAGGCCGCTCTGAAGCCTTTGCTGTGCGGTCTGCCAGCGACATGGACGTTTCTTTCCTCCCAGAGGGGGTCCCAGGGATGACAGAGCAGACACACTTGCCCCAGTCCCAGCCTCTTGCCCCCCCTCCCCCGCCTCCTCTGGGCTGGAGAAGGTAGAAGCCTGTGTCAGAAAGCCTGGAGCCTGATGAGGCAGTGCATGCAGGCCAGGTGCCCCCACGCACTGTCGCTGGGCCCTGGCACTCGGCCCCCAGCCCCAGCTGGCGCCCAGTCCTGAGCAGGGAGGCAAGGGGAAGGGTGGGGATGAGCCGTGACACCCCTCAACTCCAAGCCCCGAAGCCCAGGGACAGAACAGTCCTGGTCTGGAATGCCAGCCAGCAACGAGGTCTGCTCCCTGACCACACCAGGGCCAGGGGCAGCCGGCAGAAGCTTGGGGGGGTTCAGCTCAGCTCAACCCTGGGTCCCCAAATGAGCACCCAGCCCTCAGCTGGGAAGATGACATCACTGCCTTCTCCTGTGCGGAGGGTCCAGCCCCCACACATCGTCAGCCCATGGGATTGGGCAGGAGACTGCCTTGGCTCGCCACCAGCCCTCTGGTGAGCCCCTGGCCCCATGCCACAACCCCACAGCCCCCGGGGCATGGGGGGCACCTCCTCTTCAGGTGGTGCCCCAGCTGGGCTCCTTGGTCTTTCTCCGAGGCTCTCCCAAGCGTGGGGAGGCGGCCGGACCCCCACCCCGCAGTTCAACCTGGGGGCCCCGGGCCTGCTGCGACCATGCTCTGAAGGGTGTGGGTGGGAGCCCGGGGGCGGGGTCAGAGGCCAGAACACAGGCTTCTCCTGGGCCGCCCCACATACTTGAATGTACATGCATATTTATTGCTCATGCGTGTTTGCCATGCTGTCAGTGGGTCCTTTCCAACCCAAGAGGTACATTTTTTTTCTTTTTCCCAAAAAAATAAAGTCTGCCAAGTGAATGCTGTGTCAGAATTAGTGCTAAGGATGAGGGGATGTTGGTCCTTTGGGGGGCCCCAGGTGACTGACCTTACCTGGGTAAGCAAGCCTGCACTGTGCAAAGGGCCTGGGGCCACCACCTGCTCTAAGCCCCCGGCAATGGCACCAGCCAGCCACTTGGCGACAGGTTGGTTCTGTTGTTTTCAGCCCTGGGAGTGGCTGTCTGTCCTAACTGGACAAAGTCACACATTGTCCAGGCACGCACTTGCCTTTCCAGGCCTGACTCCTCACAGGCTGCAGACCTGTGGCCCACCTGCCCGGGACCTGCTCGGGGCCCCGGAGCAAGGGAGGTGTAGAGCGCCCACGACCTCACAGCCCTGACACCACCGGCCGATGAGTGCAATGGAGCCGTCTACAAAGAGGGGGAGCACACCCCCAAGCAGACACCCCAACCCCACAGCTGCTCTGTGGCACTGTGTCCCCAGGAGGACAGATGCGGGGCCTGGGAAGCAGGCAAGGCAGGGGGTGCCTCACTCACCTCACCTGTGGTGACCCGCTTGGCCTGGAGCACCCCACCTGACCGCAGGAGGCTGCACAGCAGGGTGGGAGTGGGGGGTCGGGCGAGTGGCATGGGGAGGGCAAAAGCTGGTCAGAAGGGAGGTCTGCAGGTAGGGGCTGCAGTCAGGACGCGCCCGCACAGGGAGGCACCCCCAGGGGCCCCAGGAGGCTGTCACTAAATCCCCCAACCCAGCAGTTCTCGGTGCTTTGGGAATCCTGGCGCTCTGAGAAGTCTCTGCAGGTAAATACCACAGGGTGCCACGTTGCCTCTCTATGGCTCCAGGAGCTATGGTTTTCCTGGGAAGCAATGGTGTGAACCACCTCAGTGGCTCTGGGAGTAGGGACCCCCCCTTGTTGGCTGGTACCTGTCCATGGGGTGCATTCATGGGTGAGTCTTTCACTATCTCTAGGCACTAACCCCAAGAGGGGCAACCCCTCCGGGGTCAGCAGGGCCTGGACATCAAGCATCAGAATACAGGAAATAGAAATATGGTCTCTACCCATGTCCACAGCCCGGGCCTCAGCTTCCCCATCTGTGAAGGGCAGGATTGGCCCGGGTTGCCCTCCTCTGTCCAGCTCTGCACTGTCAGGTCCGGTGGGGACCTGGGGACAGTGAGGTAGTCGGGCGCAGGGGCTGGCTCAGCCTCCAGGCCGACAGTCTCCGCAAATGGCACGGGAGGCTCTGAGGGGGAATAATAGGCGGTTGTTAGCCAGAGGAAAGACAGGGGGTAATCAAGTCAAAGCACCCAGTGCCTGCGCCCAGGAGAACAACGGCAGAGCCTGGGGTGCTGACGCAGGGCAGCAGTCAGCTCGGATCCTGCCAGGAGCTGCGAGACCGTGGCTGGTGATTAATAGTGAAGGTCACACTTCCGCAAATACACGCGCTCCCATAAACACAGGAACATCCTGAGCAGGCCGTCAAACAAGGCTGGGAGACAAACCGCATGCCCCTGGGGGGAGGGCACCACGTGGAGCACGCGGCCCACCGCGACTCCCACCCCCCTCGCCACAGCGGCCACCCAGCCCCGCTGTGGCCACAGGGAGCTGCCTGATTTGCTGACTCCGTTTGGCCAGCAGCCAAGGGTCAGGGCCGAGGGTGGCACTGGCTCACCAGCGCTGTCCAGGAGGTGTCGGGGGAAGGCAGGGGGCACAGGAGAAAGGGGGATCTATAGGACCTCCCCGTGTCTGGCCAGAGGAACAGGACCCATGGTGGGTGCTGCCCCCCAAGGAAGAACAGTGGCTGATCGGCCATGCCTTCCAGGCACCCTGCAGAGCACGTCCGCGCCGCCCCACACCTGGGCCACATCTTGTCTTCCTGCCCTTCCTCCTGACAGGGTGTCCCATTAGCATCTTCATCTAATGGGAAGGTGCAAGTTCAGAGGAGCAGAGGGACCGCTCAGGGCTACCGGCCACGGCGGGGGTTGGGGGCTCAGACTCCCTGTCCAGGCTCCCCACACAGACACAGCCGTGAGCGGCAAGTACAGGGCCCGTCCTCTGTGCAGAGCGACAGCGCAGGACCAGGACCAGCACCTGGCGGCGGTTCCTCGGAATCATTCTGACTCCGGAACCAGGGTCAACAAGAAGGCCCCAGGCCCCACCATCTCCGAGTGATGTGTTTATTGATAGAAAACAGGCCAGCCCAGAAGGGCCGAAGAATCTTCTGGAAGGGAGAAGACAGAGTCAGCTGGGCTCCATCTTGCCAGGATGAGTGGGGTCCTGGTCCTCACCCCCTTCTGGAGCAGTGGTGGATTTGGGGTTCCCGGCAGCCTCTAAAACCAGCTCTAGAGCCCCCTCGCCAGCCACTCGGCACACCTTCTCCCCTCTGGCCGCCAGGATTTCTTCAATATTCCTGAGAGAGAGGGCATCATGACACTCTCAGCCCCGAGCCCATCCTGCACTTTGGGTCTTCAAGTGCACCCAAGGGCACCCCAGGGCCAGGATGGAGCCGGAGCGTGGGGCCCCACGCTGGTGTGGCCATGAGGTCCCCGCACGCTGACCTCGTGAACCCTTCAGAGCCCCCAGAGGCAGCTGCTATTACTAACCCAATCTGAAGGGGAAGAGCCCCTCAGAAGTCCCACAGAACGGCCCAGGGCCACCGGCCAGGAGGCTCCTGCCCATGAGGGGTACACACTCCGCCTCACTCACACCCCCAGTCTGGTGTGATGACCGACCAGCCAGCGCGGACAGAGAACGCGAGTGACGCGCTAGGGCCCTGCTCTGGAGCTGACACTCTGCACCTCTGTGGGGACCAAGCAGCCACACGACAGAAGGGAGTCTGTGCTGCAGGACTCAGCCCAGCGTGCCCCTCACTTCAGGGGCGGCCTGGAGCCCGGACACGGACAGGCCGGCGGTGAGGGCACAGGTCCGGCAGCGAAGCAGGACCACAGGGGGCTGGTCCCATCCCCGCCCGCGTCGTTTGTGGTTTCCCCGAAACTCAAACCTAACAGCCCCTCCTGTACGCACAAGGCTGGGGAGGCGGGCTCCACGAGCCTCCCGACAGGAAGGGAGCCCCGCGGACGCGGGCTGGGGCCCCAACCCTGCAGGCCAGCCCCGGGCATGGGCTTGTCCCCCAACCCTGCCCACGGTCTCACCTCTTCCCGTCCAGGTCTGAGAACCAGCCCAGGTTGTCGGCGATGACGTGGTGCTTCTGGCAGCCGGGGCAGGTAACGATGACAACTCCCCGGTGATAGGCCAGTTTGGAGATGCGCTTGGAGGACCGGCTCCCACACACCTGGGGGACACCAGAGGCCCTGGTGACGCCTGTGCCTGGTCCCGCCCCTCAGGAGGACCCCGCCCCATCTGAGGATTAACTCCACCCCGGGGAGGGCCTCCTCCTTCCTCCTCCTAGACAGCCTACCTACCCCTGTGTGCCGGGCCCACCCCCGAGGCGAGCTCCACCCTTCTCCCGGAAAGGCCCCGCCCCCGAGGCCAGCTCCACCCCTCTCCCGGAAAGGCCCCGCCCCCGAGGCCAGCTCCACCCCTCCATACTGTCCTCCGCGCACGGGGAGCCTCTTCCCGGCCAGCACCAGACGCGGACCCAGCTTCGCACCCGTCGCACGCTCACCCACCCGTCGCACGCTCACCTTGCAAGTGTAGACAAGCTGGTAGTGCGCGGCCCCGGGCCCCGGCTCCGAGCTCAAACACCGCCAGCCCCAGACCCTGGCCCCGGTCTGCCTTCTCTCCGCAGCCCCCGGACCGCCCCCGCGTCCCCACAACCACCTCAGGCCCGGCCCCTGGGCTCGCACGCAGCTTAGTAGCGGCGGCACGAGGCCCAGCGCAGCCCACAGCATCCCGCCCTCCGACCTCGGCTGCCCCGCCCCGCCCCGCCCCGCCCCGCCCCGCGCGGCTGAAGCCGTGCTGCCGCCATCTTGGAAGCGGGCACGCGGCGTAAACGGCCCTTTCCGGCTTCCGTCCGCCGACTGGCAGGCCGTGCTCTGCTGCCCCCTGGGCGCGGGAGGTGCGCGCGCGGCTGGGACGTGTACGCGGGAGCGAGGCCAGCAGAGGCTACGGTACCGGGATCCCGGTCGTTTATTTATGGAACTGCATTTCTGACACTACTGCACGCATAGGTAGAGCACGCCTGTGCGAGTCCCGGTGCGTGCTCCCGGCGCGCTGGGCGGCTGCGCCCCGCCGGCCGGGCGCGGCGTCCTCCCGGCTGGGCTGGCTAGGAGCCCTCGGTGTCGGTGTTGTCGCTGCCCGTGGTGTTGTCCCAGTCCACCTCCCCCTGCCTCGAGCCGTGCTGCATCTTCCTGAGGGCGCGCTTCCTGCAGGGGCGAGCGCGTGTCCGCTGGGCCGCTGCGCCCCCTCCGCGGCCAGCCTTCCCGGAGCCCGCCCGGGGCCGCCCACCGCGCACCTGCGGTAGTTCTCGAAGCTCTCCTTGAGGCGCCGCCGCTCCTTCTCCGGGGGCTCCCCGCCGCTCAGGCCTGCGTCCTGGGGGAGGAGGGAGGCTCAGGCTCCTGCGACCGCACACCCCGTGGGGGAGCGCGGTGTGCTGTCCCGCCTCTCGGAGGGCAGGTCAGAGCCGGCACGCAGCCAGCTTGCCTGCGCTCCAAGCCCGTGCTCCTGCTGCCACAGTGCCCTGGGGCCTCGGAACACAGGCTTTCCGCGGCTGCCGCGTCCTGCCCACTCCCTCTGCCCGCTGCCTCATCCAAGAAGGGGGGACTCGGCTTCCTGTTCCAACCAGTGCACCCCAAGGGCCCACGGGCAGAGACCCTTGCCATCACCCCCAGGCATCCAGGTTGGGCAATCAGCCTTCCCGGGCTCGGTCACACGGAGGGCCATGCCAGCGGCGCCCTAGGGCAGCAGGGACCCCAGGGCAGCCTTACGTTGGAAGTCAGTGGAAGCTGCTCCTCCTGCAGAGCCACAAAGGGCTGCTGCGGGCTGTTCCTGTTGGCCGGGCTGCCTAGAAGAGAGAATTGGGCCTGTCGGTCCTACCCAGCTGCTGGGACCACGCTTAGCATGGCCAACACCTGGCCACCTCCTGTCCCCTGAAGCTGCCGGGCCAGTCCTGCATCATCTCCTGGGCTCACTTCAACCCCAAGAGGCCTCCCATTGTGTAGACAAGAGGACTGGAGCTCCCGACTCCCTCTGGGCAGGCAGAGGCTGCTGGAAGCCCACTAGGCAGTGCCACACCATCGAACTCTGCTCCCGGTGGGGGCTGGGGTACTGCAGCAGTTGGGAGCAGAACATTCCAAGCTATCTGGTCCCCTCAAAATTTGCCCCAGGCTCAGGACCCTCAGACAGAAGGTGCTCTGATGGGCTGGCCCCCCTAAACTGGCCAGGATGGGAGACTGGACATCTAGTCTCACTGACATCACGGGGGAGAGACCCAGACTCCGGTCTCTCCCTGAGGCTGGCACCTTCCCTTCCTCGGCCTCTGACCCAGAAGCCCGCCCCAGCTCCTTCAAGGGGCCACGCCACCCCTGGGTTGGGGCTCCCAGGGTCTCCCCTACCATTCACTACCTGCTGGGTCCTGCCCCGCCTGTCCCCATGTTGGGCTCCGTGGCCTGAAGCTCAGGTCTCTGGGCAGCGTTAGACTGACCTGCTCCCTCACTTCTGCACCAGCTGGTCCTCTTTTGCCTCCCTTGGAGGCTGGCGGCAGGCCTGAGGCTAAGGAGGTCTGTCTGGTTTCCCACGCCACCTCCCTGCCCGGACCTCCCCACCTCCCCTCTGACAGCCACCTTCAGAGTGAGCCCCTCAACCCCTTGCCACCTCTCGTCACCCCTCAGGCCATCTCCCTGCCACCTCTGCCTGGCCCTGAGACACGCCCCCTTCCCCACTCTGTTTGCACCTCCCACACTTGCTGGCCGACTTCCCCTGCGCCCTGCCCAAGAGGAAGCTCAGGGAAAGCAGGACGCCTCAGCCCTGCACTCCTGGGCCCAGAGTGGGCTCTGATGGAGGGACACGCTCTCAGCATCAGAGCTGGGGCATAGGCCCCACACACCTGGCTCTTGTTTGCTCACTGGGGCGCCTGGGGGGTTACTCGTCCCTCCAAGCCTCAGGGTCCCCATTTGTAAAGTAGGGTTGTGAAAGATCAGTGGGACAGGGCTCTACCCTGTCAGTACTGGCGCCAACTAAGGTGACAAGGTGGCCTTGACCAGACTCGTCCGTGAGTAGCTGCCCCCTCCTCACCTTTGTCTGAGAGCTGGACGGCCTCCAGGTCCAGGGGGAGTGAGAGCTTCCAGGGAGAGAGACGGGCATCCAGTTAGACTGCCACCCTCCAGGAACCCACCCAACTTGCCACGCTGTTCCTCAGAGACCTGGCAGGAAGGCCCGCCCCAAGGGCCAGATGGCAGCCAGCCTGCCCAGGTGAGGCCTGGGAGGAGAGCAGCTGGCCCAGCTCCCACAGGGAACGGTGGCCTGGAGCCCACCCTGAGGCTCACACTCACCTCCTGGGAGTTCCTGGGTGAGCTGTCCTCCAGGTCAGAGCTCTGTGGTCACAGAAGAGGGGTCGGTCAGCAGACTGTGGGGAAGCCCAGCCACCCCCAGGGCCTGGGGTGGGGTGGGGCTTGGTGAGGGGTCCCCGGCCAGCCCCTGTCCTCAGGCCCCTCTCCAGCCCACGGTTGGCCCTGGCCCCCGCCCAGAACACCCCTCCCTCCCCCTCCTGACACCCAGAGTGGCCTGCGGAGGAGGGCCCCTTACAGAGGACAGAAGGGGCTCGGGAAGGCCTGCGACCAGACCAGGGTCACCCTGGAGCAATAGCCGAGCCAGGCCTGGACCTGGGCTGCCTGGTGTCCCCTCCTCTGGGCTCTGGTGTCTCTGGGGACACACTTGCCCCTGAGGGCCAGTCCCCTGCACTCTACTGTGGCAGGGCTGCAGCTCTGACCAGCGTGCACAACAAAGGCCCCCCCAGCCCCTGGGAGGCCCACCAGGATGAGCGTGTCCAGCTGCTGCCGCTTGAGCCTGCCCTCCACGGCCAGCAGCTGGCCCTCACACTGGAAGAGCTGGAGTTGTAGCTCGTCTGCCTTCTCGGCCAGCTCCCGGACCTGCTTCCGCAGCGCGTCCTTCTCCTGCAGGCTCCGCGAGTGCTGTGCGTGCAGTTCCTCCCGCGTGGTGATGGCCTGTGGGGACGGCACAGGGCAGGCTCTGTCTGGGAGCTGGGCGGCCGCTGGGAGACCTCAGGCCGCCCCTGCCTCTCAGCCCGTGGTCAGTGCTTGAGGGTTTGCAGGAGCAGTAAGAGTTCCAAAGGACTCCCAGAACGTGAAGATAAAGCCTCAGGCCCCGATCCCACAATAGCCCCCCCCGCTGTCCCTGCGCCCTCCCCAAGTTCTCCATCCCAGTGCATGTCCAGCACGGGCTCACGCCCTTCACACGGCTTTTATCAGTCTGCCGTGTGACTTGGTATCAAGAACACGGTTGTTAATGGCCATGTCGTGTGCTTTATTGCGCCCATCCCCTCCACGCTCTCCGGCCAGACCACACCTGAGGACACAACTCTGACCCACACCGAGTGGCCCGCTGGGAGCCTGCCCGCTGCCTGGAGGCTAACCCACATCCCCTGGAGCCCTCGGCCCCAAACAGCCAGGACTTGATGAATCACTGAGAATCGCCTTCATTTGTGCCCCTGCTTCCGACTTAGGACCCACGGCAGAGAATCCTAGCCGCTCCCTTGGGCTGCCCGGCCCCAGCGTCCCTGGCTGGTGGCCTGCCTTTGGTGGCTACAGCGCTCTCCCCTCCTCTGCCTGCCCCGAGGGAAGGTGGCAGCCGGGCCCCCTGTCCTGGTCGTGCTGCTTCCCTCAAGGCAGGCCCCGCGCATGGGGAGGCTTTCCAACGTAGGACTGCAGGGCCAGAGGCTCCAAACACAGGCTGCCAGTCCCCTCCGGACGAGCACTGAAGCACCGGCTATAACCTGACCAGAAAGGGCCCCGCGTGACATGGCCGGAAGGTGGTGGAAAGCAGTGATGGGGATACAGTCCAGACGGGCTTCTGCCTCGGGGCCCCAGGAGCGCAGCCAGCCAGCCAAAGTGCCAATGGTGTTTGAACTTAAAAAAGCTGTTTGCTGGGGCGCCTGGGTGGCTCCATCGGGTGAGCATCCCACTCTTGATTTTGGCTCAGGTCATGGTCTCGGGGGTGGTGAGATCGAGCCCCACTCAGCGGGGAGTCTGCTTAGGATTCTCTCTCCCTCTGCCCCTCCCCACCACACGCGCTCTCTCTTGCTCTCTTTAAAGTAAATAAATCTTTAAAAAAATGAAAAAGCTATTTGCTAACGAGACAGCTTCCATTTTTATAAGACAAAAATGAAACTATACATATATTGAAAAGAATCTGAAGGTACAACCCCCCAGTGGAATAGTTTTCCTGGCAGTGGGGGAAGGGGTCGCCTTCACGATTGTTCACATTTTTCAAGGAGCTCTCGGACAAGTGCCCTCCCCCGAAAGGGCAAAGGGCAAGGCGCTGCGGCTCGGGGGAACACGCCCCACCCTGGGGTGGGAGGTGGCGAGGTGCCTACCTGGTCCCTCTCGATGGCCACCTCCTCCATCTGCTGCAGGATGGCCTCGATGCGGTCCTTGTACATCTTGGAGTCCTTCCGTAGGGCCAGGCACTGCAGCTCGAACATCTCTTTCTCCTCCACGCACTACGGGAGTCAGCAGCTAGCCCCCACCACCCGTTCTGGCCCCTGGTCAGTCAGGCCCAGTGGAGGGAGGGGGAGGCTGCTTGAGCCCCTGGGTCCCTGCCAACCCTGAACTTCCAGACCAAAGCCTGGGCCTGCCCATCCTGGGGGGGTACGGGCCAGGAGTGGGGTGAGGAGGCCAAGCGCCTGCACCTCCAGGAAGGGGTGAAGTCGGAGTGTGCGTTCCAGGGGCTGCGTGCACACAGGGCAGTCCCTCAGCCCACCCGGCCTGGCTTGGCCCAGGCTGAAGTCCACCTGCCCCGGTGGCATACCCGGGCACGCAGAGCCTCGCCCTGCCGCAGGTCCTTGCGCAGAGAGAGGATGGTGTTGGCTTGCTCTTGGTGGTCCCGCAGTGCCTGTCGCCAGTCCTCCTCCAGCACCTGGATATAGGGACTGCTCTTGTCTGGCTTCCCCTCCTGTGGGTGGTGAAGGGGAGAGAGTGGCAGAGAAGCAGCTAGACTTCAGGGGACCCTACTGTTGGCACCAGCATCCTGCCAGGCCCCTCCAGCTCCCATGAGCACTCACCCCGCCTGCACGGTGGCCCCCGGCCCCCGCACGTGCGCCTCACCTGCACGGTGGCCTCCAGCTCCCGCACGCGCGACTGCAGCAGTGTCTTCTCCTGCTGCAGTTCCCACATCAGCTCCTGGCTGGGCCGCTGCTCCATGGCGTGCCTGAGCTTCAGCGTGTGCTTGCGCTCCACCCTGCAGTCATCCTCCGCCTTCATGAGGCTGTGCTTTAGCCGCTCAATCTGCGGGGAGACCCTGTCAGCCGGCCAGCCTCGCCCCACGCCCCGCCACCCTCCAGCCACGGGTGCCAGGGCACCTCCAGCTGCAAGTCGCGGCTGCGCATGAGCGCGGCGCCCTTCTCCTCGCTCTGGCGGGCCAGGCGCATGGCCAGGTCATAGTTTTCATCCTTGCAACGCTTGAGCTCACGGCTGCCCGCCTCACATTCCTCCTTGAGCCGCTGCACGCGCTCCTGGTGCTTGCGGAGCAGGCTGTCCTTCACCCGCAGCTCCTTGATGAGGTCGTCCTTGGAGCTCAGCAGCTGGGTCAGGTCCTGCACTTTCCTCTGCAGCTTCAGCACCTCGCTCATCAGCAGCTGTGTCAGGCCCGACTCCCCGGATGCGTCTGCAGACAGCTGGGCCACGTCAGAGGGCCCGCCCGGCCCACGGCTGCCCTGCTGCACCCCCTCCTGGGCTCCAGGCTTGAGGGCCGGCCACCCCACTGCAGGAGGCTCGGGGCCCGGCCGAGGGGCCGCCCAAAGGTGCTGGTGCTCCCCTTCGAGGAAGCAGGCAGAGCTCCTGACTCACCTTGCGGCCCTGTCCCTGGCCCACCCCCAGGACAGCAGCCGTGAGGCCAGGCACCCTCCCCCTTCGGCTCATTTTGTCATGATCTTGATTGTGAGGCAAGAGGACATGCGTCCAGGCCAGGAAAGTGTGGCTTCGCCTGTTGCTGGGGCCAGCAGACACCCGTCCTTCCAGGAGCCGAAGCTTTGGTGGGGTCAGAGGGGTTCTGACCCAGGAACCCATGGGGGCCTCTGTCCCCCACCCCAGTATGGGTCTGCCTTCCTCCAGCAGAGAGAGAAGGAGCAGGGCGGAGCTGCTGCAATCCAGTGTGCCCCTTCCACCTCCTTTTGTCCCCAGTTTATCCATCAGGAGGCCAGCCATTAGCAGCCTGCCTGTGGGGTCCCAGGCCTCACCGATGATCATGGAGAAGACACGGGTGGGCTCCTTGCCCGTGACCTTCTTGTAGAGCTGTGGGTAGTACAGCTCCAGGCTCTCAAGGAAGGCCACGTAGCCCTTGTGGCCGGTCCGCTGCAGGATGTCCAGGAGCATGCCTGAAACCCACAGGACCTGGCTGGGGCCATGGCCATCCTGCCCACCCGCCCTGGGCTCTCCCTGGGGCCTCTGCTGCGCACGGAAGCACCACTGCTCCCAGCAGGAGGGACAAGGTATGGGGTGCTGGGGAGTGCCCGTTCCCATGCCTGAAGCTCCTGCATGAGGTGGCACTGACCCACTTTCCGCTTGCGGATGACTAGGTTGGGGTCACTGAGCACCTGCTCCTCGTCGTCGGGGTTCAGCACCTTGCACTGCCTCAGGTAGGGTGTGATGCGCGAGGGGTCGATGACGGAGATGAGCTTCACACGGAAGCTCTCCAGAGCATTCCAGCACTGGTCTTCGTTCTCGTAGTCTGACATGGCGGTGGCCGCGGCTGTGGGTGGTGGGAGAGCCGCTGGGAGGGGGTGTCCAGGACAGGGGTGCGGCCTCACCTGCCCCAGCCCTCCCTCCTCGCTGCTGGCGCTGTGACCTGGGGCACCAGCTCAGCCAGGGCGGCCCTCCCTGGGCCCTGCTGCCCGCCGCCCCTCCCCCCTGTGGGCTTTCCCTGTCTGTGGGTCGCCCTGATGAGAGTGGGGGGAGATGTGGAGGGCTCCAGGAATGGGTGGCGTCTGAGAACACTGCACGCCCCACATAGTGGCCCTGCTCTGGACCCGGCACTCCCCATCCCGGAAGTGTGGGGCTGGCGGGCCACCACCTCCTACCCACTGGCAGGGCCCCCCACACACGTGTGGGTAGGCAGGCACCCAGGCTGGGGCGGCAAGCCTGGGGCAGTGACCCACCCGCCCATGCGTGCGCGCCAGACAGGGCTGTGGGGGACTTCCTCCTTCCTGGACGTGGCAGCCGCTCAGAGCTTAGCCCCACCGCCTCCTCTCCTTCCGGTGGCCATCTGGTGGTGCAACAGTGGCACAGGCGGCTCGCTCGGGAAGGGTGACTGTGGACCGCCCACGGGAGAGTCAGGCCCGCCGCATCCGGAGGCCCGCTGCATCGCCCAAGGCCAGCCCCAGCGCCGCTCTGGCGCCCTCTGCAGGCTCTCAGGTCCTGGGCACCAGCCACCGTGGGGCTCTTCTCCCTTCCCAGATGAAGCCTGTTCCCACGCACTCAGGCTCCCCAACAAGGGGGCCATCCGTGTCAGGACCACCCACTGCTGCTTCCTTCCACCAGCGGGGGTGGGAACCACTCTCTTGAGGCCTGGGCCAAACCAGAAGCCTCCTCCTGGTGGCGGCGACGGAGACGCTGACCCGCCGCCACCTCAGAGCACCCTCACCCGGTGTAGGAACGTGGTTTCCAGCCCAGAGGGGCTAGACCACGCTCCCAGAGGTCCAGGTGGCAGCAGGCGGGGTCATTGCAGGAGTTTCTCTGACTTCCCATGGCCCTTGGTCATCCCATCCAGCCAGAGACACACACTAGCACTCAGTGGATGGCCCTTGGAACGTTCAGCCCGCTCCCTGCCTCTCCCGCCTAAAATCCACAAGTCCCACACCTGACACCCTGCTGCTAAGTCCATTGAGACGAACAAGCAGGTACCACGTGGCTGTGAAAGTGGACAGGCAGAAGAGTTGAGGCCACTTACTGCCCTTCTGGGGTAGTTGCCCCAGAACCTGGCTCCCTGCCCCAGGAGCCCTGAGCAGAGAGACAGGTGTCTTCCTGGCACCTTCAGAAAGGGCAGCAGCCCCGCCTACCTCAGGGTCCTGGAGGGGCACCTGCACAGTGGGACGCCAGTCAGCCTGGGCCAGCCCGATCCGATGAACAGGAGGAGGTGCTGCTGGCTGGCCGGCAGAGCCCGGGAGGAAAGTTGTGCACTTCCTGATGGTGCTGGTTAGCTCCACGGAGCCCGGCAGGTCCTGCCCAAGGGAGCCAGTCCCTGGGCCTGCCTTCTGATTCGTCTGCCTGGCAGGGCCCGGGAGGCGGGGCGGAGGAAAGTGGAAGTCTCGCTCAGAGGCCTGGAGGCCCAGCCCTGCGCCCACTAAGTGGAAGTGTGAGCAAAGACCCTCCCCAGAGCTGGAGGAGGTCAGTGCACTGTCCAGTCTGCTCTGGCCTGGACACAGGCTTCCAGAGGCTTCTCCAGCAGGGGTTGGCTGGGGACCAGCAGTGCAGGCAGCCTGCAAGGTGCAGGTGGGGATCCCAGGGCTTTGGGCCCAACTCTGGGCTCTCCGCCAGGGGCCCACACACGCAGCTGGCCAGCAAGGGGCCTTGATCACGAGGGCTGCAGTGTAGCATCCAGAGGGCACGTGGCTGGAGAGGCCGCTGCAGCCCCCAAAAGGCCAGGGGCTTGGCCACGCTTGCCCCACATGGCCACCAGCCCGCACCACAGCTAGCCCAGCACACCCCCGTCCCTTCCTGGAAGTGTCTCCCCTCAGCAAGCTCTCTCCACCCGGGACACACGGGACTGTGACAGCCGGCTCCCAGGACCCCGAGGCCACTCTCCATGGCCCCACAAACCAACCCCCAGGCCAATGCCTTGCCGGGGCAGCTGTGCTGGTTGGCCAGAGATGCCGGCTGCCAGGCTGAGGCAACAGCTAGGGAGAGGCCGGACAGGCAGCGCGGGTCCTGACCAGGGCTCCTGGCTCCACCTTCCCAAGGCAGCTGCCTTTTGCCTGACTGGCTCCCTGCCTGTGGGCTCTCCATCCTCAGTCCCTGGGCTTTGCCTCCAGTGCGTCTGAGTCACGGGGTGGCGGGCAGCCTGCACCCCCCTGCCCCCCGCAGGTCTCTGGGAGGACAGAGGCCGACATCATGCCTCCAGAAGCAGCCCGTCCTGGGCCTGGAGCGGTGACCACCGGTGTCCCCGTTTTGCAAAACAAAGTTAATAAAAGGTGTCTCTCTCACAGTGGGTGTTTGTAAAAATTCAACGACAGAAACATCATGTTTTCCATAACAGAAACTAGAAATCAGTAACAAAAAGCTAACTGGAAAATCCTTAAACATTCGAAAATTAAACAGAAACCTCTAAACAACCACAGGTCCAAAGAAGCCCCCAGGAAAAGTAGAAACGAGCCGAAAAAGCACTGGGCACAAACTAAAAAGCGAAAGCACGTTCACGAGGCCGTGTGGTGGTAGGTCAGTCCCAGCGGGTGCGGCACCCTGCGGGAGAGTCACATGCAGAGAACACAGGAACAACGCCTCTAGAACCAAGTGCCTCAAAGGCTGCACACCAAAACCAAGGCTGAGCATCCCTCAGAGCTGTGGAGGGTGCTGGGGCTTGGCATCTTGCCAAGCAGCGGCCGCTCAGGAGGAAGACCGCACTGGCCTGGGGCTGCTGCACGACTTGTGGGCAGCTTGGCTGCCGCTGGTTCCAGGGGCCCACCTCGGCTGGCAGTGTGGTCAGAAGGCAGCGAGGCGGGGTCCACCCCAGTCCCCGTGGCCGCACCAAGACCAGCGGCCACCTGGGAGCTCGTGGCAGGCCCCTTGGTCCGAGCCACAAGCATGTCTTGTGGAAAGGGCACCCCACATCCAACACTGAGGCCTGGGGTTCAGGGGGCTCCTCGGATCTCAGGGCCCAGCCAGCTGGCTCCCGACGTGGCCAGAGGAGGCCCCAACCCTCTGCACACTGCCCGGTCTCTCAGGGCAACATCACAAGAGCCTGGGGGCTTGCTTTTTAATAAAAAAAAATAAGCCATTCCTTTATTCCTTCAAACATCCCAATTTGTGCCTGAGGACCAGCCAAGCCCCTCTGGCCTCACAGTCCTGCTAGCGGAGCCTCCCCCAGTCTCCAGCTGCTTTGGCCTTCTCTGGAAGGGTCGGTGAGGGGCTCTCCGGGCAGGTGGGCTCACCAGGGTCCAGCATGGCTCCTGCCTCCTGGAATGCAAAGATGCCCTGATGGTGGGGATGCCCAGACTCCCAGCCAGACCCCATGGATGGTGCTGTAGGGCAGGAACCAAAGGTGGCACCATGCCCCCTTTGAGGGCACAGCAGAACCAGGTTGGCTGCCCCCTTGCAGTCCTCACAGGGGCCATGCTGAGGGCAGACCCTGGGGCCTGGGTGGGCTTCCAAAGGACCCCCCCCACCCCATTGGCATCCCCTCTGCGGACCCATCTGCCCTATTCCAGGACCCAGGACCTCTCAGGGCACGGCCCCCACCGTGCTCAGAGGAGCTGGCTCCTGTCTCCGGGGACCTGCGGACCTGGACAGAGTCCTTCCCCCCATGGGTTCTCCACCCCATGAACTCAACTAATCTGTGCTGAGGGCCTACTTGGTGCCTGTTGTCCGCACACTGAGGCCCCAGCAGCAAAAACATTACTCCCCATAAGGGCACACGTTCACGGCAGAGATGACAAATATACACATAGACCGTGTCAGCTGTAGAGAGCAGAGTGCCATTGAGACAGATGGACGCTGGGACAACAGCGCTGCCTCAGGAGAACGGTCATAGAGCATCTCTGAGGAGGCGACCACTGGGCAGAGATGTGATCGGACAAAGGGAATGAGCCTCCCAGACACAGAAGGAAGCTAGGCAGAGGGCCCAGCAATGCAAAGGCCCTGAGGCACATGTGTGCCAGCAAGAAGGAAGCAGAGAGCCTGGGGTGTGGAACCCAGTGGGTGAGGGCTGCACCTGGGGGAAGGGGATTAGATGGCCCTTCCCCTGGGGGCCTCCACAACCCTGGGCCTGCCCCCAGAAGCCTGGATATACCCACACCCCACCTAACACCATCACATTTGGTGCGAGTGAGCTCCTAAGGGCCAGCCTGCCCTGCATCTGGACAGCTGTTGGCCCCCACATGCCCAGAGCAGAGCCACGGGGAAGGCCCACGCTTACCCTGCGCTCACACCAGCCGCCTCCTCTTCCGGGCATGCCAGGCATGCCGGGTTCTCAGCACATCAAGGTTGTCAGAACCGTCCAAGCAGGAAGAGTCAGAGCCCTGCCCAGGGTCTGGGGCTCCCTGAAAACAAAACCCAGACAGAGAACAAGAGTGACTCCATAGCAGAACAGGCAGGGAAAAGTGGGGGCAGTAAGGAGTCACACCAGGAAGGCGGCTGCCAGGGATGTGCTGCGCCCCAGACCTGCCCCTGTAGACACACTGTGGCTTGCAGATGAACTGAGACTCCTGCAGGAGAGACACGGCCACACGCGGGCTCTGGCTCCCCACCAGCCCTCCGTCCCACTTGCGGACTCCAATCCCCTTGGTGATGCCAGGGAGCCAGCCTCCTGTGTCACGGTTCTCCCAGCCAGGCTTGGCAGGGCAGTGCCGAGAAACACAGGCAGATGACAGCGAAGAGCCTGCACGCAGGCCAGGGGACAGGAGGCCCTCCCCCCTCAGCCCCCAGCCACAAACCCTGCCTCCGCTGTCCTGACGGCGCAAAGCCCCAGCTGGGGAAGGGCCACCACCTGCAGGAGACCCCACAACCTCCCTGATGTGACACACGAGGTGGCCCGGCTCTCCTGCTGGCCCCAGGAACAGGGTCAGAGGACACTTGCTGGGAGCCCCGTGGGCACACGCAGCCACAGAGGACATGGGGACACCTTCCTGCGTGTTTGTATCAGGCTTCTTGCTAGGAAACAAGGAAAGCGGTTGGCCTCCACGGCTCAGCTCTTCTGGGGTACATGGTACCAGAGCTGCCAGCTGGAAGGATCTCGGCGTCCCCAGATGTGCAGAAACAAGGGCAGGCCCACCTCTATGGAGCTAGTACCCCAATGCAGGAGCCCGTATGTGCGCAGGGTGCACAGGGCCTGAGGTCACCCGCTCCCTCAGGCAAGGCTTTGTAGTGGGGGCGGCAGCCCCAAGAGGGGCCAAGGGGTTTCGTGAGTGTAGAGGTTCCTTCCTCTGTTTTCCACACTGACCTCAAGGGAGGGCCACATCCGCACAGACTGAACAGGCCCGGAGCCAGCTTCCTCCTCCCCAGCAACCAGTGGGCCAGCCCTGCTGGCCGAACTCCCACCCACAACTGGGTGGGGGCGCTGCAGACGGCCACGGGGGAGCTGGGGGGGGAGGGCCTCTGTGCCCACGGCCGCCTACCTGAATGGGGATGGTGGCTGCTGGCCCTGCCCAAGGACCACTTGTGGAGCAGCCATCAGTGAGCTCCAACTCCCCCAGGTCGTCCTCGCTCTCCAGCTCAGCCCTTGTGGCCACCGACAGGGTGGTGTGGACGCCGTGGGGAGACAGTGTGGCCAGGAGTGCAGGGAGAGTGAAGGCTGCCAGGAACCGTGCCTTCAGCAGCAGGTAGGCCGGGCTGTCCTGCAGCTGCCTCCGCACCTGCCCCAGCGAGGCCTGCAGGGCTCCGGCTGCCGCACTGGGCACGAGGGAGGTGGCTCTCCGCTCCAAAGCCTTCTTGTGGAGCAGGAGTCCAGACAGGGCCCGTAGGCTGCACAAGGCTGGGGGCTGGTAGGGCAGCCTGCTCCCTAGTGGGGGCACGCACACCCCCTGCCGTCCCTGCAGCCAATCCCGCACGGCTGCCTCACTCTCCTGGGACAGGAGGCCCAGGTCCAGGGCACCCCTCTCAGGCCCAGGCCGGGGTAGGGGTGGCCTCTCTAGGCCCAGAGGCCCCACAAGTCCCCCTGGCTCCGGGGACCCCGGTGTCCCTCCTGGGCCACTCCCAGGGCTAGTGCCAGCTTGCAGAGGAGGCTGGCTGGACCACGGGGGTTTCGCTTCAGGGTGGTCAGCCAGAAGTGTGGCCTGGGAGGGTATCCTGGGCGCAGCTATTTCCCTGGCCACTTGGGCCTCTCCAGGGAAGGAAGGTCCCCCAGGGGCACGGGCCACGTCACTGCCCACTTCCACAGAACTTTGGGATTGGCAAAGCATCGGAAGGGTCGAGAGGTCTGCCCTGGGGGGAGAATCTGAGTCTGTGTCCACGTTGGCCGGGGGCTGCCCGGGGTGGCTCAGCCCAGGGAGCCTGGGGCCCTGGCCTACCTGCATCCTAGGTAGGGAGGACGGCAGAGTCACGGACAGGCCCTTGGGATCAGAGGTCCCTGGCGCCCCAGGAAGGCCCACCACGGCTGGCACAGGGAGCAGCCCCTGGGCTGTGAGCACCCAGGTGACAGGCAGAGGCGTGCTGGCTGCCACGTGAGGCCCACCCTTGTGCATGCCCAGAGCTGGTGTCAGGCTGAGGGACTGGACAGGCAGCTGAATGGGGCTGGGGGCTGCTGGGAGAAAGAGTGGTGCCTCAGGCAGGCCCTGCTTCCGGGACGTGGCAGGAGCCTGAGACTGTCCCAGGCCACCCTGATGGCCACTCACAAGGACCCGGCTGGGAACCGGAGCTCTGGAGGCAGCAGGGGCAGCCTCCGTGGAGGCCAGGGTGCGGTCCAAGACTGGCAGGGTCAAAGCCCTCTCGTCCTTGCCTGAAGTACTCAGCCCCGCTCCTGCAGATATCCCAGGCCCAGAGAGCGCCGTGTCTGTGGCAGCGGGGCCCGGGGCTGAGGGGGTGGGGGGCGGCTGCGGTAGACGGGGCTGGAGGATCAGTGGCGAGGACAGCAGCAGCTGTGGTGGGAGAGGCACGGTGCCTGGGGTAGCGGCCTTCCTGGCCCGGGCCTCCCGAAGCCGCTTCTCCCGGAGCAGCTCGGAGACGGTCTTGGGCTTGGGCCGAGGACCACACGGAGCTGGCGGGGGCGCCGGTGGGCTGGACTCGGCACGGGAGGGCTGTAAAGCCCTGCTCCCTTTGTGGCCGGTGCTCTGCTTTGAAGCTTCTCGTGCTGGCGGATTCCGGAAACTGTGGCCTGCAGGGAAGACACAACACACATGTGGATGAGCTCCATGCGTGCGGACCGGAGACAGGCCTCCCCCATGTCCCATCGGAGGGCCCTCCTGGAGGGCGGGCAGCTGCTGGGAGTACAGGGCAGGAGCTTTGGCATCTGATCTGCACGTCCCCCTCCTGGAGGGCGGGCAGCTGCTGGGAGTACAGGGCAGGAGCTTTGGCATCTGATCTGCACAGCTCCTCGAGCTCCTGCTGCAGCCAGGGCAGCAGGGCCTGCCAGGTACCGGCCTCCAGACCCATGCCTTCGGTATCTTCAAAACAACCACCGCTGGGCACCACCGTCCTCCTCGCGTGGTCTCCCAGGCCCCCAGAGCCTCGCACGATGCTGCTGGTGTGGGGAGGCCGGTGGCAGCCAGCAGCAGAGGCCGCTCCCGGATGCCCGGGGCTGGCTTACGTGCAGGGTAGGTACGAGCTTGAGCTGCCTCTGCCCACTCCCGCCTGCCACGCTTCTGTCCCTGCCGTGGGATTCGGACAAGATCTGTCAGCAGGGCCACAGCTGTGCTACTCAAAACCCGAAATCCAACACCCCTTTACCGTTAGGTTAGACGGTCCAGACAGAAAGAGAGAGAGTACCTGGGGAGTCCCGCGATGAAGACATCTGAAAAACAAAAGTGTGCGCCTCGGGGAAGTTCCAGGGCCCAGACCCACTCTTCTCTACCTGCAGCAAAGCCTTCCTTCTGCTCTCACCTGCACTGGGAGCAAGGCCCAAGCACCAGGGCCGGCCTCCCTCCCTCCCCACATCCTCCTACAAGCACCACTGGGTGAGCTCATCATGGTGAGGTCAGCCCTATGTGGGATTTGAGGAAGAGGCAGGAGCTTGGCTCCCCAGGCAGAAGGACTCGGGGTCTCTGGGGCCTGGATGGCACCACAGGGCCAACCTGGTCGTTCTGTCATTCCCTTCAGTTGTAAACGGACCCAGGAACGCGACGGACCCCACGGACCCCATACCTGGCATCCCACCCCAGCAAGGCCAATGCCCAGAGCAGTAGATGTCCAAGAGCTTGGAGGCCTCCACGCAGGGGCGGCACGGTACCAGCTCTGCCCCCTCCCACCCCGACATGTTGTGAAGCCCTCAGGGCTCCAAGCAGATGGGTGGACACCTCCTAGAAGGGTTGCCAAAAGCCAACAGGACTGCTCTCAGGGGCTGGACCAGCCTGTAGGGGGACTCAGGAATGCCTCCTGTCTCTTACTCTCCGGCTGGACAGCTGCTACCCACCCCAGCACTGGCCTTGCCGTGTCGGGAAGAGGAGGGAGAGTGGCAGAAACCAGGTGAGCCTGTGCCGGGTGCTCACTCCCTACTTCTCACCTGGAGGAGCCCAGGCACTGGGTCCCGAGTGCCAGTCTGGAGCAGGGCAGGGGTCTGGGCCTTCCTCTCTCGAACGACCTCCATGCAGCCAGCAGTGTCAATCTGGAACAGCTGAGGGACACGCATGACACACGCATGACACACGCATGACAAGAGCCTGTCCCTCTTCCCCGTCCAGGACCAAGATGACAAGGGCGTCTGCGATGAACTTGAGCCAGCTCTGACCACTGCTCGGGGTAGGTCCGGAGCCTGGCACAGCCCCTCAAGGCCATGGCCCCTTTGCTCAGCCCCTGCCTGGCCTCAGAGCCTAGGTGCATCGGAGCAGAGCTCCCTCCGGGCCGAGGTCTCCTTCCTCTGAGCTTCCATTTACGCACCGGGGTCCCAGCACCCCCGTCCCTTCTCAGGATAGGGTTTAACAGATGGGGGCAAGGACAGGGCTGTCCCTTCCACGCTGACTGGCCTACTAAGTGTTGCAAGCCACCGAAAGACCCTTTCCAAAGGTCTGAAACTTCAAAAACTTAGACTTTAAAAAGTGAATCCATCTTCACCCAAGGAAAACCAAGCATAAGACAGAAAAGCTGTGCCTTACGGGGCTTCTCACCTGGATAAAAACAGTGAACACAGGGGTGCTGGCCAGCCGGGCGTCTTGCAGCTGCTTCCTGATGCCATCAGCTGAGGAGACAGAGGCACACATGCGCGGTTACCAAGATCCCTCTCCCTGAGGCCCCAAAGAACCCCGCATCCATCTGCCGCCATGCTCAGCCAGAAGGAAGGGCAGGAGCCCAGAGGGCAGGCCGGCCCTGACTGGCCTGTGGAGCCCCCCTCCCCCCAGCCCCGAGAACACGACCAGCTCTCCAGAAACCTGCACGCAGGCACCGTGCACCCGAGCCCCGAGAAGACCCTTGCTAAGGCCCAAATGGCTGGTCATTCCCAGACTGTCCCTCGTGTGCTAAGCAAGTCAGAGACAAAACCCATACAGCCCTCCAGGGGGATGCTTTCTAGAAAAATGAGATTGGCACATGGGTCCCTCCCTGTGCACCCCCTCCCCAGCAGGGTCACCCTGCATCTGCCCTGTGTCTCCCCCACCCCAAACCCACAGGAGGCTCTCAAAGGAGCCCTGGGGCAGTACCTCGAGTGTGCACGACGGCAGGCCTCCGGGGGGTGCAGGGCAGGACAACGTCGCCCACCCACGGGCTCATGGCCACCAGAAGCTGACGCTCAATGAGCCTCCTCTGCAGGGCGTGTCCCCGCCACTGCCGCCTGTTCCCGATCGTCCTGTGCCACAGCCGCCGTACATGGGGCCCGGCCACACCACTGTCACTGGGGCTGGCCCCCAGGGACGGGCTGAGCGGGCACGGTTGCCTCAGTTTCTCCTTCTGTGTAAGGAAGAAAGACACCTGGGCTTCCCAGTCAGGCTGGGCTCCAGGGCTGCCCATGGCCCCCCACACCATCCTCCACTCCTTCCCTGGACTGGGGAGGGGCCCTGGGCCGACAGGGCGGTGGCAGTGGGCGGCGACGGGGGGCCAGCTCCTACCAGTGTCTGGCGCCGGCGGGCTGTGTTGGTCCTGAGCACCTGCAGCACTGTCTCCAGCGGCACCTTCAGCAGACGGCTCCCACTCTGACAAAAAGACGGTGTGAGGCTGGACACGTGGGAAGCCCTGGTGCAGGGCCTGCAGAGGCAGCACGCACGCCCCTGCGCCCGGGTCCCAAAGCGGGGTGGCGGAAGCACTCTGAGGCATAACGGCCTCAGGAGGGTCCCTAAGGCCTGGCCACCCACCTGCCTGCCCGGCTCGGCTGCAGCCAGCACCAGCAGAGGGCCCCTGCTCCCCCGGCCAGCCCCCCGAGCCGACGGCACCGCAGGGGCTGGCGTGTGCAGTCTGCCCGGCTGCCTGGACAGCCCGCTGTCCCCTCAGGTGCCACAGTCTCCGATCTCTCCCAGGACAGGCCAGCCTGCTCACCGCAACTCCGCACACAGCCAGAGCCAGGGAGGCGGCCAGGGCCCTGACAGCTCGGACGCCGACCGGGACAGGCATACACAGGGCCGGTGGACAGTGGGACCCTGCACAGGAGAGGTGTCTGGACTTCCGCGAGCCAGGAGAACACCCTCCTGCTTGCTGCCCCCTGCCGACCCCCGCTCAGGGACACACAGGTCAGAAATGGCTCCAAGTCCGTGGCCCCACCCGGCAGGGCCCCTGCACGGCTTGTAAAGCAAACCTGGGGAAGTAGAGGCTGCTGCTCTGGACACGAGTCTCCTGTGCACCAGAAGCGAACGTTCTCTGGAGCCAGGACGGGTGTCTGGCCCACCGCACCCAGAACGCAGCTGACGCGAGCGCAGGCCGGCCCGCTGTGTCTCAGCACCAGCTAAGTGACCCCCGAGCAGCCGTGTGGGGTGCACTGGGGTCTGGGGCCTACCTTGTCTGCCAGCTCCTCTGAGCTCGAGAGGTGCGTGTCCGCCGAGCCCGGGTGCCCGATGCCTCTCGTGCTGGTGCTGTGGGTCCCGGAGGGCGTGTGCGTCTGGCCCGCCTCCTCTGCAGGAGCCGAGGCTGTGGGGCAAGCAGCTCTGCTGTCCTGAGCCTCGCTGGAGGCCCTGGGAGGGCCGGGGGAGGCGGCACGGCGTCCCGGCCAGCCCCCGGCTCCCCCTCCGCACAGCTCACTGGCGCTCTGCCTGGCAGGCACCCACAGGTCCATGTCCGGCACGGTGTGCTGTGCTGACGGCAGCGCCTGGCCACCTGCCCCGGCCTCCGGGGCTTCCTCTGGCTCCGAGTCCTCGCTGCTGCTGTCCCCGCTGCTGGAGCTCCACCGCAGGCTGCCAAGGGGCCGCCGCCGCCGCCTCCTGCCCCGACTCTGCTGCTTCTGTGGGGAAGGGCTAATTGGAGTCCTCGGCCGCCCAGGGCTCATGGACCAGGGACAGCAAGCAGGCGGGCCAGCCCTTTGGGGAGAAACCCCAAGCAGGCTTGGACACGGCGCGCTGGGAGCACGACCCCCCGCTCCCCCGAACGCTCTGAGGTGACAGCAGCTGTCGGAGAGGCTAGGGCTCTCTGCCCTTGACTTCCAGGAACAAGAGACGCCAGGGCCAGAAACCAGATGTCCCTCCTCCCCTCTCCGCCCGGCAGTGATGCTGGTCCCACGGGTACAGGGCCTTCGACTAACTTTTGGTGAAGCCTCACCCTGACCATGATCTTCCACTTGCTCAGACACTGGGAGCCCGTCCGATGGGGTAGTTCAGAAGCTATTTTTGCCCAGTGACCTACAAAAGCAAAACAACGTGGAAGTTGCTTCCCATGGTCTTTGACGACACGTTTACAGCCTGAACAAGAGGCTCTTCTCGCAGATGCGTGGTCTCCCGTAGAAGACCTGCACCGTGTTCCGTGGGAACACGTGCTCCACTGCACGCTGCTCCCCACGTCGGAGAAGCTCAGTGACAAGTGGGCCTTCGGATTCTCAACGGATAATCAGCCCTTTAGCAAGACTCTAGAAAACACACAGACAAGAAGGAAAAAACCATCTGCATTTATGTAAACACAGCCCCTGCGACCCTGCCACACCCCGGCTTCTACACCAAACGTGGCAAACTATTCTCTCTCCCGACCCCACAGGCGGGAGGACACTGGTGCCTTGTTTTTAGGGCAGTGTGACTCCGTGCCACACTCAGGATTCTGCACACACTTGAACAACACCACATCTAGGGTCTGTTCCTGAGGAGATGCTGCAGATAATGAGCAGATGCAGTGACCAAGCCCTTCGCTCCTTCCAGGAGCAAAAGGGGCAGAAATGAGAAACAACAGAAACATCCGTCAAAACATAGGTGGCTGAGGAAGTTCTGTGCTCTTTCTCAGGGAGACAGGATGTGACTATTGACAACAACGGGAGAACAAAGGACGCATGAAGACAGAAAAACGTTCACAACGGACAACAGAATGCTAAGTGGAAAGTGGTGGACTCCGTAAACTCACACCGAGTGACTCAACTTTAAAAAAAGCTGCCCTAGAAATGGGCGAGAGAGCGGGCTGCGCAGACGCACGTGGCCGCCAGCAGCCCTCTCCAGGAGAGGAGTGGAGTGACGGCGCTCCTGAACTTTGCATCCCGACCGTTCGGCAGTGCGCAAGGGAGAGAAGCTGCTGCCCGCCGAGCCGGGGAGAAGCTGGGGACAGGAGGGCAGCTGGGGTCGCCGCGAGCCGTGCCTCCTGGGGGCTCAGGGCCTGCAGAGGCCCAGGACTCACCAACACCATACTTCTCGATCAGCTCAAGCAGCTTCCCCTCTTCACTTGCATTCCACCGTCCCTTTTTCAAGCTGAAGTGCAGCCGTCTGAGGTACCTGAAAGCGGCAAGGACACAAGGGTGTTTCGGGCGCCAGAATGCCCTCCCGAGGCTGTCCCCGTTCCCGCGGCTGTCCCCATGCCGGCAAGGGCTCCCGAGACCCGGCAACAAAAGCTCAGGGGATGAACAGAAAACACAGAATAACTGAACTTCATGAAAATTAAAACCTTGATGTGTCTCACAGGACGCCATCGAGAAAGACGGGCAGATGAGACCTCGGATAAGGGACTTGTAGCCGAACACGTATCAACTCACACAAACCGTGACACAAAGACAACTCGGTTTTTTTAACTGGGTGAACGACAAAAACAGATGTTTCTCCAGAGAAGACATGCAAAGGGCCGGTCAACACACAAAGATGCTCAATGCCAGGAGCTGTCAGGGAGCCACGAATGGAAGCCACCGAAACGCCACCTCACAGTCCACGCCTGCGGGAGCCGGGGTTCATGGGGGCTGGTGAGGGTGTCTCCTATGGGGGCACAGGGCAGGGCTGCCGCTGCGGGAAACCACGGCATCACATGCCCTGAAAACCCCACTCGCAGGCACACATCCAAGAGCAACGAGCGTGCCCGTTCACACAGACGCTCCCGTTGCCAAGGCGAACCCACGAGGCGGGGGTGGTGGAGTCAGGACTTCATGCACTTATCTTTTTAGTCCTCTCTACACCCAATGCGGGGCTCGAACCCATGGCCCCAAGATCAAGAGTTGGGCACTCCACTGACCACGCCAACCAGGCGCCCCAGGGTTTCGTCGTTAAGACCAAACGGTACTCTAGTGTCCGTCCAGCTTGAGAACTTTTGTCATCAACCTGTTCCTCCACTGACACAGTCAGTTCCCGCCATGTGGCCCCGTGACCAGCGCGGCTACGACCACACGTGTAGGTGCCCGTGTGAAGCCTGGCTTCCGGTTCCCGCAGGCGGGCAGCAGTTCGCCGGCCAACAGCGCGGTTCCCTGGCTAGCTGCCCAAGGAAGCGGCACCGCACCACGCACGCTCCGCACCCTCATCTGCACTTGCCCTTTTGAGCGGCCTTAAAACCACCGTCCTGCCGCACGCGAGGTGGCATCTCGCTGCTGCTCTCCCTGTGTTTCTGTAACGACTAATGACGCTGAGGCCTGTCTCGTGTGCTCTCTGGAGAAAGGTCTATTCGAGCCCTTGTCCCTTTCCTCGATTGTTTGTTGTTGTTGGGAAACAGCGTTTCTCTGGGGGGTGGTCACTGTGTTCTGAAGTTGCCTGGGGTGACAGCTGCACGGCTCACCAACAACAGTAACCCCCCAGAACCCCTCACAGGAGTATGTTGCACGACATACAGATTATGTTGTCAGGAACCATTAAAAAAAAAAATCAGGCTGAAAAAAGAACATTGCCAAAGCAGCCTTCCAGAGACCTTGCCGTCAGGGGTCTGGAACAGGAGCTTCAACAACAGAGTCAGGGAAACGCCCCCTGGGCCACCTCAGGTTGAGCCCATACAAAAGTCTGCTTCGAAAAAACCAACAGGCATCCTGCTTCCTGACCAGACACCCCGGCTACGCAGGGCTCCCAGGTCACCCCAGCCTCGGCCAGCAAATCCCCTGGGGCTGCAGGCTGCTCGCCCACCCTCTGGCCTACCCGGAAGCAACCCCAGCAAGGCCTCCCTCACCCAGCGAGGTCCAACTCACCGATCTCGGCACTGGGCATCGCTCCTACCTGGCACCTCTTCCCGGATTTTAAACCAATCCTGCTCCCCATATTTGGCAACTGCTCGAAGCAACTTCTGCAGTAAAGGACAGCGAACAAGTAAGGCCTCTACAGGCAGCTGTAAACTCCCCAGACCGCATCAGTCCATTTCAGAAGGGACAGTGGGCGCCGAGGCTCACAATCCCGGAGTACGGCTCTCCTTGGCTTCTGCGACTGTATACTCACCGCGTCTTCCTCTGGGGCCCAGAACCCCTTCTTCAGGCTGGGGTCCAAGCTCTTGGTCCACCGATAGATGAGCTGCATGGAGTCTCTCCCTTCCATGTAGTAGACAACTGGGGACAAAGGGGCCTGATGGGCACCGCGCTTCCTGGGTCACTCAGCAAGGAGCTGCTCTGGTTACTAGGTCATTGGGCCGTGGGGTGCAGGGGCTGGGTGACCCCGGATGTCCCCCTCCAGCCCCTCAAGCCTGCATGACTGAGCTGCCTCCACCTGTGAGGGGCCTTGGGTCCGGGGGCTTGCAAGCCTCAGCGGGGGGCACAGGGAGCAGGACCCACGCGGACACTCACTTCTCCGGTAGGGGATGTGGCTGCCGACGCGCATCTCCTGGACAAGCTGGGTGAGCAGGCGGTCCTCCTCCCGTGTCCACTCCTTGCGCTTCAGAGCCTTGTTGTGCTGCTGGTACTTCTGCAGGCACTGGAAGGCGCTGCGGTTGGTCTTCCGGGGCCCCAAGACCAAAGCAAAGTGGGTGTTACTGGGTGTGCACCCCCCGCAGAGGGACAGCCAGGGTGCTGTGAACCAACGACCTTATTGCCCCTAGCAGACCCTGCAGGGACAGTGGAGAGCCTGACAGAAGGAGGCCGCGAAGCACCAGTCTGCACGTTCAGACACACAGCGTGTCCAGAAAAGCCTGTTAACACTGCACTCACATGACCCCAGAGCGACACTGGAGTCCTCAGTGGGCACCGCCAGCTCAGCGGCCTGAAGGAGCCTCCCTGCAGAGCACGCACCTCTGATGACGTAGGGGCTGCACAGCGGCCCTATTCCTGGGGCCCCAACGGGCCTCTCTGGGGATGCCACCCTAGGGAGAGCTCCGGACTGACTGTATCTCGGCCTCCATATGGGCTCCAGCTCAGCACATAAACCACCAGTCTCCATGGTAGACGCGGTCACCCAAGCCTGTCCCCTCACTCATCCCCTTATGGGGAAAGTATTTCCCAAAAGCTAATCGATGTGATTTGAACTTTTTTCCTAAAGAAAACACTTGAGTTACAGAAAATGTGTATGGCTGGACACATGCAGTCTGCATGCCTATGAGATTTGGGTTTGGTGACGTCTTTTAAGACACAACACCAAAAGCATGGTCCTTGAAAGAACAGATCAGCTGGACTCGACTAAGACTAAGAACTTTTGCTCAGTGGAAGACGTCAGAAAAATGAGAAGACAAGCCGCAGACAAGAAAAAATGCTCGTAAGACATGTCTGGTAAAAGCTGTTCTCCCAAATACACAAGACTTTAAAACTCGGCAAGGAGCACCTGGGTGGCTCAGTCGGTTGAGCATCTGCCTTCAGCTCGGGTCATGATCCCAGGGTCCTGGGATCGAGTCCCACATCGGGCTCCCTGCTCAGCGGGGAGCCTACCGCTTCCCCTGCTTGTGCTGTTTCTCTGACAGATAAATAAATAAGACATTTAAAAAAAAAAAAAAAACTCAGCAAAAAAACGGTCTGATTAAAAATAAACCAAAAACCTACACAGACACTTAGTCAAAGAAAACATGCAAATGAGAGCTAAAGCAGCCCGTGTCTGTCATCACAGAGATGCAGAAGCGCATGCGACACTAACACACGCCTGTGAGCACAGCCTGAGTCTGGAGCCCAGACGCCACCACAGGCTGGTGAGGGTGCAGGGCAGCAGGACCCTTGCTTGTGGCCGGGGGGGCACAGCACGGGGCGGCCACTCTGGAGAACAGACCCAAACATCCTCTCAGCATATGACCGCTCCTTGGTGTTTACCCAAAGGACCTGAACACTCACATTCACACAAACGCCTGGGCACAGATGTTAACAGCACCTTCACAACTGCCAAATCCTGGAAACGACCAAGATGCCCTCAGCAGGTGGAGAGACAAAGTGAGATGCATCCAGACAACGGGGTGTTTTTAGTGCTAAAAAGGAACACGTGGGCAGGCCGGGAAAAGGCCCGGAGACACCTCAGTTCCCGAAAGGAGGAAGCTGCAGGGACAGGCCCCCAGCTCTGGGCGGCCCTGGAAGAGGCACAGCAGAGGTGGCAGAGCACTAGTCTGCAGGAGGCTGCCCCGCGGACACGTGTCCCCGTGCACTGTGCAAGCCCACATGGGGCGGCCCCCCAGCACCGCAGCCCTGACGTGCACATCGGCTCTGGATGCGGCGGTGTGTCAGCACAGACCCGTCCTCGGTTGAACAGAGGCACCGTTCTGGGAAGGAATGATGCTGGTTGGGGGCGAAGGACACAAGGGGAGTCTCCGCCCCTTCCTCTCACTTTTACCGAGAACCAACGCTGCTCTAAACCAAAACCCTAAATAAAACCCCAGAAACTAAGAAAACAAAGACTAAAAACGACTTTAAAAGCCCAACTTACCAACCGTACAAAGCGTAAGCGTACATGCGCCAGCTTACTCAGCAGCTCAGTTTGTGAAACACAACTAGTAGAAACGCGGGGTGGGGGGGGGGGGCGTGCCTTTCTAATGCTGGCACAGTGCTCCAGCCAAGCAGCCCTACAGACTGAGCTTGGCAGGACAGACGGACCATCTGCCACCCTCGGGTCTATGCTGATCTCTGGGCAGCTTCAGTTTAATCGGTTCGCTGCGAGCGTGTGCCTGTCTGTAAGAGCGCTCCATTCAAACACGGGGACTTTACTCATCACCCTCTCAGGCCGTGAGCCAGTGAAATTCAAACAGAGCACAACACAAAGGATTCCTGAGACACCTAACCACGTACAGATGAGAAGAACCTTCCTACACAAACTAAGGTTTGATGGGGTGGCAAAGGGTCCTAGTTCACAGTGAGCTGTTCTCAGAGAGGCGAGCTTCCAACACCTTCATGGTGCAGACAGAGGCTGAGTGGAACTCTTGGTCCTCACCTTAGAAATGAAGAAACCACAAGAACCCAGAGAAAACCGGGAAGAGCGTTCCCCTCAAAACCCATCAGAACCAACTCCTGACTTGATGGAAATAACGAAGACCCAGATAAGACAGGCCCTGGGAGGGAGGTGGAAGACGAGTGAGCACTCGGAGACAGATGGAGGCTGAGGAGCCAGAAGCCTCCAGAGATGTGGCCCAGAGAGGGATGGAGAGGCTGTTCTCCCTGTAGGCCACACCCTCAAGAGCGGCGTGATGAAGCAATCTGCCGGCTCCCAGTACTGGGCTGTGATACCCAGCCCGTGGCGACCCCAAGCCCGCCCAGCCTCCCAGCCGTGCACCCGAGGCCCCTCCGGTCCTCACCCCCAGCTCCTTGGCGATCTTCTGCCACTGCAGATGGCCATGCTTGGCCGCAAGGGCCTTCAGCTGGTCTACCTCCTGCCCGCTCCACTCCTGCTTGTTTATGCTCGGGTGCTCGAAGTTCTGCCAGAACTTCCGGATCTCCTCCGCACTGCGGCCACCCTCAAACTGCACCAACAGAGAAACCCAACCTGCAGGGGCTGTTGCTCGCGGACGGCTGGCGGCTTGGCACCCGGGGAGAAGTGGGGTCCCAGCCCAGGTTGCCAGGACTCACACACCCAGAAGTGGGGGGTCGGCTCGAAGCACGAAGCCTGAACCTTCACACTCATCCGTCTCTAAAAAGGCAGCTCACCCCAGCGGGGCAGGCCTGACACTCGCCTGCCCAGAGGCTTCGCAGCAGGTCTGGTGGCCACCAAGGACTTAGCCTGACTGCCTGAATCTGACCTTGCCGATCCCAGCCCACGCCCTCGGCCGCCAGGACAGCCGTGAGCCGCCATCGGCCCAGTGTTGCCCCAACTTACGTTAACGTTAGAAATCTTCTCCCAGTCGTGGCTGTCCAGCCTGTTCCCCAGCAAGGCCTCCTCTGGGAGCTGCCTGGAGATAAGGACAGGCTGCCAGGGTCACACCGGGCCTTCCGTGCCTCTCCCCAGGCCACAGCCTCCCTGTAAGACCCAGCTCACCGAATGTCCTGGACTTCCCTCTCCGCCTCCCTGCTCTGCTTCTCCAGGACCTGCCTCTCTGCCTCACTCGTCACCCTACTCCGTTTCTGGTGCAAGTACTCAAGCCTATAGGGCAGGCAGAGACACCAGGGTTACCCACGTCACGGCTGTGCTCGGGGGGCGGGGAGGGGTGGGTGTCTTGGGGCCAGTGCGGTTTCCCTGAGTACTCAGGCATGCACATCACTCCATAGAATGAAGCCGCGTGTCAGGGAGCACACATTGGAGCCTGGCTCCAAATCCAAGCCTGCCTTGTGCAGGCAGGAGGCTGCCCGGCTTCCCGCCCACAGGAAGCAACGACACTCCCTCTCCTGCTGTCACTGCAGTTGCGAAGACACAGACAGTAATTTAGACCGCTGGTTCGGCATCCCGGCTGCCTGCCTTGGACCCAGCACGCAGGGAGGTGTTCTGCGGGCAGCCTGATGACAAAGCCACGGCCTACTTAAGCCTGCGGTTGGCCCTTCTGAAGTCCGGGAAGAAGAAAGCCATCCCTGAAGCAAATCCTGACCGACACATCAAGACTTGAGACTAGGGGCAGCCCCTGGGACCCCTGGCCCAGCCCCAGGTGCTGTGATTTGGTCGCGTGGTATCACCCCAGCACAACATAAAAAGTCTCATGCACGGTCCGCATTCAGACCAGAGAAACCGCCCGAGCTGCATGACTGACCGCGGCCACTCGGCCTGCCCAGTTCTCGCATGCCCGACCTCGAGCCCAGCTGCCTCTTTGGGGAAAAGTTCCAGGGATCAGCTCCTCTTCCACTGGGAGCAGGGGACGCAGCTGCACTGAGTGTCTGTGACAAAGCATCCAACCCGGACTCCCTCGCTCGCCGGGGAGGCCGACGTCCATGACTGCGCTCGGACTTACTTCAGTAACTTGGGCTGAAGCAGGCGCTGCAGGCGGTCGCTCACCACTGATCTTCGGAGCAAGGCCTTTTCCCAGTTTTTCCCTAACGAGAAATAATGACATCAGCAACGCCTTCCCCTACTTTCATGTGAGGAAACTGTGGGCACATGACCAGGCCAGGGCCACAGAGATGGCAGGTGGGCTGGGCTGTGGGCCTAGGGCCCTCTGTCCAGCAAGCAGGATGCCCTGGTCCAAGCTCACAGCTGGGCCCGTGGGGCTGGGTGTTCAGGGATGAAAAGGGAGACAAGACAGTGAGCTGTGCGGATGGTGGCCCCAGGTGGCCTGGGACAGGCAAGGGCTTTGAGGGGCCAGTCCCAGTGGTCAGGGCCCGAAGGAGCCCACAGAGCCACAGGAGGGCATCTGAGGAGAGGCAGGGCTGTGGTGCTGAGGCCCCGGCCTGGGCACTTACACTTAGTCACCAGGAGCTCCTCGAAAGCCTTGATGCCCTGGGCAGCCTTCTCCCGCGTCTCTTCATTGGCAGGAGGCCCCTGCCAGACAAAGCAGTGTCACACCATAGACAGAACCCCAGGTATGCTCACCTCACGGGCCAAGCATGTCCCGGTGGGGCCTCACTAAGACTCTGGAGCCCTTTCCCTCAGCCTCCTCGAGCAGTTTGGCCATGTGGGAGGCCTGGCACCAGATACTTGGGCCCAGAGCTACTCCCTGGTGAGTGGCTGGGGGCCGTGAGGAGCATGGGGCGGGCTCAGTGGCTCCAAAGGACCTCGCTACCAGGCCACCACAATTCTGCCAAGCTGCCCCACCCATGGTGCCACCTCTTACAGAAATGCCCCCAGGGTTCATCTGTGGAGCTGAGATCAGCTTGCCACATTCCAAGGCTGGAGACCCTGACTTTCACGACTGGCAACCAGAAAAAGTTTGAAAGGGGCTGGAGAATATTATCCTGAACAACCCAAGTGAATTCACAACAGCCACAGCAGGTATGGAAATGAGAGCTCCTTCCCGTGCAGCCTGACCCCCCTCTCCGCCCTCCCTAATGAGAGCAGAACCCCTGCTACTCACCACTCCGGTCACTCTGTCCTTGAAGTACGGTTTCATGAAGTGCCCTATGTACAGATTCGGGGGCAGGCTCTTGCCGTCCTTCACCTTGGAGCCTTTGGATCCTGCCAGGTCACACATGATCTCCTCCTGTGGCAGATACAAAGGGCCCATCTGGGGTCAGGCAGCAGCGACTCCCTTTGTGAATGGGACCTGGGCAGTCAGGGAACAGACAGAGCTCAAAGCCCTATTCTGGGGTGTCTGGCCATGGGGGTTCTGAAGGCCAGGCCCTGTCCTACCTGCTGCTCCTGGTTCTGAGCCAGTAGGAGGCTGACCTCCACCAGCCTCTCCTGGATGACCTCCTGGTAGACCATGTTCAACTGCAGGCAGGTCTCTGGGTCTTCAGGAAGGGTCTTTTCCTTGGGGTCATCCTCACCATTGCTGGCCTCACCCCACCTCTCCTCTTCCTGGTTACAAGCGGGAAACTGCAGGTGAGGAAGGAGGCATACAGATGCTGCCCCACCTCGTGACCCAGGGCAGCACAACGAGCCTCTGAGCTCACGCTCCGGTCCCTGGGCCAGCAGGAGACCACCCTGATGTGGGACTGTGTCCAGCATATGCACGTTCCACAACTTAAGACAAAAGAAACAAACATCTGGAAATATATCTTGGGTGGGAAAGCACGAAAAGCTAAATACTATCTACTTTCTGCAATAAATGCTCCTATGGAACTCGAGGCTCAGAATGGGCTTGTGTGCTCTTGTCACTGGCAGGGAACGGTGAGCCCCAACACGTCTGAGGATGGCCACTGCAGCAGCAGCAGGACTAAAACCCAGGAACAATCCGCAGGACCGTCAAGCGAAGAACTATGGTAAATCTAAGCCAAGAGCACTACCTGGCCGTTAAAAATCAGAATCAACTCTGTACCTGCTGCCTTCATTAAAAGACAAAAAAACAAATTGTAAAAATTCTCCAAATTAACATGAAATTCTAAAGTAAAAAGTAGAAATAAAAACTGGCCTGACTGAGGGACTATGTGCCAGGCACCGTCCTGGACAATCACACACGCGGACTAACTTGCGCTGTGACTACCCCACTGCACGCTGGAAACTGAGGCAGACAACTAAGCTACAAAGGGCCAGACCCAGGCAGCACACTCAAAACCTTCCACGCGTGACGCCATGCCCAGACACATACGCGTTACAGAGAGGTTAGGAAAGTCAGGAGCCATGAATGCCAAACCTCGGACAGATGTTATTCTAGGAACAATTTTAATTTTGGCGACAGATACTTTGTGACGCTATGTTTCCGGTAACAAACACCCGGAAAAACCGAGATGTGCTCAGAGCACTCCCTGCTTGGTCTTGGGCCCACTGGCAGGGTGGTGTCTGCCTTGGTGGGCACCACAAACAGCCCAGGCCAGTAGTTACCGAGCCTGGGGAACCAGCAGCTTCCGAGTCCTCCTCTGGCAGTGAATCTGTGGGAACACAAGCACACCGTGTGAGTGACCAGCAACAGAATTGCGTATCTGCTAAAGAGATGACCAGCAGGTACGGCACAGGGTTTTTCCTGATGGCCACGGGCGGGGGAGGGGCTGAAAGGCCTCAGGACAAAACCGGACCTTCCTTCGCCACCAGCCAGTGGCTGAGCGCTACTCACTGACTAGGCAAGACAGGCCCTGAACCGAGGGCAGGGTCAGCCAGAGAGAGAAGACGTGCCAGGACCATGAGGGGAGGCCTCGAAGGAGCCAGCCCCGTCCTGGGGGTGCTGGAGTTAGTCAGGGGCGGGGGCATGGCTGAGGCCCTGATTACAGGTGAAAGGCAGGCCCTGGCGTAGTCCTAAACTCAGAAACAGCCTCAGAGCTGCACCTGGTGCCAGGGAGAGGCCTGAGGGCCCAGTTTCTCGTAGATTCTGACCATGTGGGCAGGCCTCCTCCAATCAGAGCTGTGGTGAGGGGCCTCAGGGCCCAGGGGAGCACCAAGGACAGCACGTGGGGGTGACTCTCAGCTGCCAGCATGGTGGCAGCAGACAAGCTGAGCTCTGGAACCTCTGATGCCTGAGGACAGCCCGCCAACCTCCCGAGACAGCGCGCTCACTCACAGCCAGCAGGTCCTCAGCCAACTGAGGAGCGCTACTGGGCCATCTCGGGGAGTGAGGGCAAAGGTCAGTGTGGCCGAGCACCACGTTCGTCCGGAGGGCAGGTGGATGGGCTCCAGCTGTGGCCTGTGAAAGCTCACCTGCGTCAGAATCCAACGTGAGACCAGACTCCGAGACCCCCACTCCGATGCCCGAGGAAGTGGGATCCAAAATCCTCTCGAGCTCCGCGATCTCCTTTGCTATCTTCTCTCTTTCGGCGTCTACGTCCATGACTTCTACCTGCCACTGGGACAGATCACAGGATTTCACAGACCCGTCCCTCACACGTGCACGCCCGTCAGGGGACGACAGAAGGCTGACGGAAGCAGGCGGTCCCGCTCGGGGGAGCCCTGGACCATTGACCTGACACCGCCCACACCCGCGAAAACACCCACCGTTTGCTCCCCGGGGGCGCTGAAGCCATGTGGACATGGCGTGCCCGCTCCGAGGCTGTGACCTACGGGGGCAGACAGATGGGCTCCAACATGGCCCCAGAGCCTGGTCTCTGCCTTCCACGGCCCGACCGGTCACCTGGGGCAGACACGGCAGGGTGTCATCGCTAAGTCACCAGAGCACAAGGACGAGGCCCAGGCCCTGGGAAACCTGAACCCAGGAGCACAGCGCAAGGCACGGCCTGTCCCGGGGACGCAGGTGGCAGGGTGTGGCGCCGGGAAGGACGCCCCCAGAGAGCAGGGTCCCCCGCGTCTACAAGGGCGCCAGTCCGGGAGGCCAAAACGGGGCAGAGAGCCGGGAAGAGAAGGGGGCTCATGAGGCTCCGCGGAGGGCCAGCACAGGAGCTCCGCACGGACCCGGGGCCGGAGGCCAAGCCAGAGAAGGACCCCGCCGCAGCCGCCGCGCGGGCTTCAGCCGGTCCCGCGGCGCTGGGTGCACACTCCGAGCGCGAGTGAGCCGAACCGGCCGAAAGCCCGGCCCCCCGGCCCCGCTCCTCCCGCCACGGCCCGGCCCCGTGCCCGGCCACCGCGCTGCCGCCCTCACCCTCAGCCAGCGCCAGCGCGAGCGCCACCGCCCCCCACACTTCCGGCGGCCGCACAACCGGAAGTCCCGCCCCGCGGCCTCAGCGCGGGGCACGCCGGGACGGGGTCGGCGAGCGGGCGAGTGCTGCCCTCGCGCGGCCGCCCCCGGGACTGCCGAGCGCTGGCCCGGGCGGGGGTGGTCGGCCGGGCGGGACCTCAGCATCGCCGAAACTCGCTCGCTCGTTTCTGCCTGTGCTGACTATATCCGGGGCTGTTGTTGCGCAGCCAGTGAGCAAGGTGGCCAAGGGCTCAGTGCTGCCGCGGCCTGGCCCGGGGCAGGCGTCGCGCAGGACCGGAGCCCGCCCCAGCCCCCGGTCCCCACGCCCAGCGCGTACCTCTAGTCCGTCTGGGAGGCCGCTCTTGGCCGAGCGGGGCCGGCCGGCAGTTGCTCCTCCTAGGGGCGTGTGCGGGGCGGGGGCAGAGCAGGGGCGCCACCCCCAGAGCGCGGTGCGTCTCAGGGATGGGGGGCGGGTAAGGCTGCCTGGGGCTCGGAAGGGCAGCCAGTGTCCGCTGGAAACCAGCAGTGCGCCTTCCCCTGGTGGACAGAGCAGGCGGAGATTGCAGGACGAGGCATGGGGTAAGGGACGCCCCCGAGAGCCAGATAGGAGAAACAGACGGGTTGCACGGGGCTGGAAATCCAGAGGCAGAGCTGGACGTCCACACAATTTAAGTGTCTTACCGTGAGCGCTCCAAACACACGGGGGACAGCAGGAAGAGCCTATGTGTGCACCGGGCCGCTTGCTTCATCTAGACCCTTCCGGCGCCCGCAGCCCCTCTGCCTGCCCTTGCAGAGGTCAGGGCTGGCTCAAGCGCAGCATCAGTAGGTGGAACACCCCAGGGGTGCTCTGGGTGCACATCCTGCACCCCCTTAAAATGCTGTGCCTGCATGCAGGGCTGTAGCTGGAGGCATCCTCCCAGGAAGCCCCGTTCCTGCACCCAGAAGAGAACCGCATCCTAGCACTTTCCTAATAGGACGCCAGAGCTCCGAACCCACTTCTCACCAACAGGCTGGAGTATGAGGTGACGTTTCCCAGTTTAAATGTCTTTTAAAAAAATTCAACCACGTGACTGAAGAATGCTCCAGTACTAGATTCCAATCTGTCCAACTCCAAAACAGGCAGCTCTGATGTCTAGTGTGCGGGCCACTGTGGTCAGGCCCAGGCAGCCCTGGTCTGAGTCTACCCTTGACCCCACAGGCCATGGGACTGATGCTGAATTTATCAGCACAAATCACCCCTTACGACTAGATGCATGCCCTAAAGCCAAAAGACAGTACCATGATTCTCAAGCATAAAGACCTGGTTAAATCATAAAAAAAGTACAGTTCATATAAGTTTTACAATTTATTAAATATGAAAACTGTCAATTTGAACAGAAGGGAAAAAGGAAGTTTACTTAAAAAAAATAACGTCTACAGAAAAATAGGCAAAAAGGCACGTAGTGCATGTTCTGCCTTCCCTATGTGGGGGAGCAGTTGGAAAGGCACTGTGGACAAGCCTTGTGCTAACACAGGGAGGCTCTGCACACTCTAAATTCCTGAATTCTAAACTTCATTGTATAAAACCCCACTTGAAACATGTATCAAAACCCTCCAGCCAAAGCAGTTTTTCAAACCCACGGCCCACATGTGCATTGAGATAGCTGCACACAGTGGCCCACCTGGGTGACCCGGGGCCCCGTGTGGGGCAACCGCGCTCAGGTCTCCCGGGGCAGGCACCTCCCGCAGGCCCGCAGGAGTGGACTCCAAGCCAGCAGGGGCACCAGGTGAGGTCGGAGAGGCATTAGGGCCCTTCTGAGGCAACCACTCACTGCGGCTCCCCTGCTTTCTCTCCTGTCGAAATTAAGGACGAGCAATTGACTTATTTTATAATTAACGTTCCACAATGACAACGGAAAACACTCATTATAGAACTGTGGTTTTCAGGTTTAGTAACTTCAAAAAATCACTGGCTTCTATAGAAACGTCTTCCGATAGAACGTTAGTCCGTGGAGTAGCTGGAGCTCCCCCAGAAGGCTTGCGGAGAAGCCGCTGCGGCTCTCACGCGGGGGTTGCTTCTCCCTGCAGCGCGCTGCTCACACTGTGTGGTCATGAAATTAGCGTGTCATGATAAGTATCTTTACCACGGTGAGGACGACATATTTAAAGACACAATGGCATTTCCAAATCCAGTGAGCACGGACATCCGGGTGTGAGCGGAGCTGTGACCCGGAAGCACCTCAGGGTTCTCAAGACTCCTCCTCCTCATCTTTAATTTCAGAAATTCTGTCTATAGATTTAAGGATTTCAGCAACCAGATTCAACGTTTCAGCTCCAGAAACCAGCTGCCTAAAATGGAAACGTGGACGTTACAGGCCTGCTACCGCGACTGTCCGACGGCCCCGACAGAAGCCAGAAAACAGCTCCTGGGGTGTCTGGTGGCCGCCGCTCTTCCCCGGAGGGGCCCAGCCCCGTGGCAGGCAGACAGGGCGCTCACGGGGAGCAACAGAGCGGCTATTTCTGGGGTGGGGGGGTCTCCTGCAAACTCATCTGCTTCTTATGACGGGAGGGAAACACTGTTACTCCTCTCCGTGCACAACTGAGGTGTTCGGCAGGTGAGGGAGCTGGGACTCTGATCTGAGGTTAGTGCTCTGGTAAAACCAGTGATTACCACAAAGACGGTTCGAGAGCCTGCTGGTCTGGCACACGACATGCGGCCTCGGGGTTACCAGCACCATCAAGTGCACCTCTGCTCCCGGAGCCCCGTCTGCCGCACGTGGTGTGGTCATGGTCTCAAACACCAAGCTGAAGACCGCCCCCCAGGCCTGCCGGCCATCTCTGCCTCACCCCTGTCCCATGTCCAGGCACCTTCAGCTCCCCCACACTCACTTTATTGAGGAGTGGGCATTGTTCATGACGACGCGGAGGTTCTGCAAGGCCACGTCGGTGTTCTGCCTCACCACCGACAGGCTGGCGCCCTGGCCAGACCGCAAGGCTTCATTCTCACGCTTGAAGTTGGAGACCTGCGCCTGGCGGTGGGCGAGAGCAGTAAAGCACCTTGACGGCTGCACGAGAGAGCATCTGAGAGGCAGCACGAGCCCAGCTGAGGCTGGCAGCCTCGGCACAGGCGGTGAGGGGACGGGGGCTGGCCCTCACCGTGGGCATCTCCTGAGGGGGCTCTCGAGGGAGCCGGGCTTCCTCTGTCCTTCAGTCTGCCCTCAGCACTCATCCACAGAAGTGGGAAATTCGTGCCAGGGTCCGTGCTGTCCCAGACAATACAGTACATGCCCACCACCCTCCTGCTAAGCAGAGAAAACAGGGCTGGGGGGAGAGCCGGTGTGGCCTGACTGCGGAGCCGCCAGTGTTGGGAGGCTCCTGGACCCTGTGCCCACGCTGTCCAGTCACCTGGAGCAAGCTGATCTCCTGTTTCAGCTTCATGACATGGTTTTCTGCCTTCACAGCCCGTTTCTGTCACCAAAAAAAAAAAAAAAAGGGCATCAGCACTGTGTAACACGGCGAGACACGAATATGGAATGAAGGCGGGCTCTGCCCCCACCCAGGGGCCTCTGGCTCTCACGAACCGGCAGGTCGGCCCATTGTGAGGGACCCCTCCCTGGCGCCGTGCCCCTGCAGGCTGACAGCAGAGGAGGGGGCACACCCGGCTCGACACAATGCCCCCCAGGCCCCCATACCGTCATCAGCTCCAGGTTCTGCTCCACCTGCTGGACCACTGACTCCAGATCGTGGTAGTCACTTTCCTCCTTGATCATTTTGGCTTCCAGCTTCCGCTCCAATGTCCTCACCCTGGGGACAGAGAAGACCAAGCTGTCGATCCCTCAAGTGTCTCATTCTCAGAATTCATCTGAGAGGCAGTTACGTGGGGCGGGGCAGATAAACGCCACGAGGGCGCCAGGCCTCGGGAGGCCGAACGGAGGCGTCAGCCGCAGAGCGCGCTCCTCAGCTGGCTCGCCATCCACCGCTCTGCTGCTTTTAGCAAGCGCGACCGTGTGGGCTGGGTATTTGAAATCAACTTTCACTCAGCACACGAGGAACGTGTGATGCTGATGACCCACAGACAATGAAAGCCAAGCTTGGTTCCACCCCCAACGCTTCGTTATTGACGTTTGAAGCGCAGCGCTGACTCAAAGCTTACGTACATTTCTGTTTGAGTCTCAGAGAAGCTCTGAACCTCAGTCAGCTTTCTTCTCAGCTTAGAATTTTCATCTTTTAGCTGCAGAGGAAGAAAATCCTTATTAGAAACTCTGTGTCTCACTCAAAAGGAGTCTACACCTCTGCAAACTGGCTCTGGAACGTCTCGATAAATGAACGTTGTAGAGAGTCAACCTACTGTTTGCTTATAATGAAAAACCACGAGTGGAGGAGTCTCCCTTTAAAGGCCTCTGGTCATGAACGCCAATTTTACTCCCACTCTCTTTTAAGTGATAATCATCTCTAAACGTATTTCTTCTTAGAACAGAGCGAAACGTCCCTGAGCCGATGCCTGAAGCGGACCCTTTCCTGACGGGGGGCCCTCGGAGGGTCTCCACGGGTCCTGCCTGAGACGGGCCGCACCCCACCGCCCCGCACACTGCTCTTCCAGGGGCACGTCACACGCGGAATCTGTCAATTCGGGAGACGGCCGCACCACAGACCACCTTGTCCTTGGAGCCGAGACCCCAGGCCACCAAGGCCACCGGAGGCTCCAGGTCGCCTGCGTGCGCGCTGCAGAGACCCCTCACTTACTGCTTCGTAGCTTATCTGCAGTGTCCGCAAGTGCCTGTCTCCCAGAGACTCTCCGTGGGCTGCGAAATCTGCGTCGGGGCTCCCCGCCGGAGAGGCGCGCGAGTCAGAGTCGCTCCGTGTCCACGGGGGCAGCGTCTTGGGCGCCACCGGCTCCGACGCGGCAGAGAAAAAGGAGACGTACGTGCTGCAGGGTGACGTGCTGGCGGCGACCCCGGGGGAGCAGGTCTGCTCCACAGCGGAGGGCAGGTAGGCCCCGTCCCACCCGCCGTCCTCACCCTCGTCTGTGTCCTCGTCCAGAAGATCGCCGGCCCCCGTAGGGTCTTCAAAAAATGGCTGCTGATATTCTAAGCCATACCCCATGGTCTGGGAGGTCGGGGAGTTGCGGCCAAGCCCCAGTGAGTGTCTCGTGGCTTCCTAAAGAAAACAGTCGGAGGCATGGGTCAGACCCAGAAGCCGCCGGAGGCCTGTCTTCTGAGGGGCTCAGCAGTGGAACTGTGGAACTCCCAGGAAAGAGGAGGGCTCCCAGCAGCTTCTCCACCCGACGTTCCCGTCAGCTTGAGCTGCGGGCTCCCTCTGCCCCCCCAGCGCCTGCAGCGTATCCCACGTCGGAAGAGAGATGTCCTCCGGACGTTTCTCTGTGTATGGTCATCGCAGACGATGCCTTGGATCTACCTTTGAATAAATCCTGTTGTTGGTTGTATCGTCTCCTGACAGGCTGAGGTTCTTGGTTTTCAGAAACTCTTTAAAGGAGAATGGATTGGCCTCTGCAAGATCTTCAAGTTTATCGTCTAAAACAATATGACACAACACAATTGCAAAACACCTCTCAAGTCATTGACAAGAAGCTTCCCTGTTAGTTTCTTTTTCTAAAACACAACCACATCTAAATTCAGGACCGCCACCCTCCTCTTCCCACCAGAATTCAGTGACACTAGGAAATGAAAAACCTAGCCAATAAAACAGATCTACTTTCACATTCTGGAGTTCTCCTTCCCAGGGGCACCTGGCTGGCTTGGTCAGTAGAACGGGTGACTCTTCACCTTGGGGTAGTTTACTTATGAATTCTCCTTCCCACTCCCAACCCCCTGGTTCCTGCTCCTTGCTGCCCATGGAGATCTCTGGGATCTCTGGGATGACAATGCACCTCCACTCCCACACAGACTCAGTTGGCCTGGGACATAACCTGCGCTGGGGGCCGTCCAAGAGTTCCAACAGTGCCGCCAGGTTGGGGATCACTGCTCCACCTCTATCCATTTCCCTGCTCACCCATCCTTCCCTTCTCTCTTTCCCTACCTCCTTTCCGCTCTCCCAGTAACGACCATCTGAGCCCAGGCGCCAACCCTGTGCAAAGTTTTCTAGCCCATGCTGCCTCTTCAGACCCCTTTGGTGTGCCTTCCCACATCGCTGTCATGCACATCAGGCTCATCTGTCCTTGTACCCTCTCTCTCTCTACCTTGGGGCCAAGACTGAATCTGTGGGACTCCACCCCCACTTGGCACACTGATTATATGCTGTCAAACTGACAACCAGCCACAGGGCATGTGCTTGGCGCTTTGTGTTGGGTAGAAGGGAGAGAGAATTGCCCAACTACCCTACCTCCAAAATGTGTCTCTTGGGCTCCTGGCAGACCTTGCTTAGTACACTTCCCCTTTCCGTAGCCAAAATCTGCAAAGAGACGTGATCACAGAGGCCTCTGTGACAACTTGTTTTCAACGCAGGGTCTCTATCGCAGTAATTCTTACAGGCTGGGGAACTTTTCAAACACAAGCTCCCAGCTCCTACCCATGGAGACGGTATGGCTTCCGCGGGCCCTGGCATGCGTGATTCAGAAAAAGCTCCCGGTAGGCTTTGATGACCAGCCTGGCTACGCATACCCTCCTCTGTCTTGTGAAACCTTCTGAATACCCTCACGGGTTGCCATTCTCCTCTGAGACCCTGATGAGACCCCACCTAAAGGCTCGCCCCACACCCTGGACACCCTGCAGCATAACTGCTCTGGGGAGAGTGACAGTGAACTAAAAAGCCGGCCACTGCCCAGCAGCTCCTTTGCCTCACCCCCAACCCCCACGAAGGAGTGGCTTACGGTGCTCCCGCTGGGCATACCTCTCTTTTGGCACTTACCATCCCACACTGGGAGTGTCTGTGTTGGGGAGGGGGCTCCCCAAGGCCAGACTGCGAGCTCCTGGCTGGCGGGGCCGCTCTGCACCTGTGCGTTCCCAGGGGCCGGACCACAGCGGCACTCGGCGGCCCATCGCTGGGTCAGGGAGCGAGTTAAGACTACAGCGAGGTCCCTACAGGCAGTGCCGGCTGGGGGCTCCCTGAGGCTTGTCTCTCACCTGTGTCTCCCACGGAAGCTAGCACCGGGCTGGGCACATAGCACATAAACGTCGGCCGAATGCCGAAGAAGTGGGAGTCCAGGTCCCTGCCATGGGGGCGCTCACAGTCTAGCTGGGGGAGACAAGAGCGGCGCTCATAGAACGCTGGAGCTGCAACAACAACGACAGCGATTGGCCGCGCGGCCTGCGGCCCGCCTCACCTGCAGCCCGGCCCGGCGGGGCGGGGGCGGCCCCGGGGCCCGGCGGGCTCGGCCCCGCCGCCCGGCCCGGCCGCTCACCGTCCGGAATGACGAGGCTCCGGGCTCGCGACAGCGGGGGGACGCCCGGGCGGCGCGCAAAGCCCGCCATCGCCGCGGGCCCGGCGGCGCCGGCCCTCCCTAGCCTGGCAGCGGCGGCTCCATGACCCCGGCTCCGCCTCGGCCGCGGCCCGAGTCGCCCACCCGCGTCGCCCGCCGCCCGGCCGCCGCTCCCAGCCTCTCGCTGCGGCTTCCGCTCCCGGCACCGGAAGCGAGCGCCCGAACGCCGAGGGCTGCCGCCGTAGGGGCGGGGCGTCGGGGGCGGGGTCGGAAGTGACGACAGAAGCAGGGGGCGGAGACCCAAGATGGCGGCTATGGTTTTGGCGACGGCGCGGCTGCTGCTGCTGCGCGGCTCCGGCTCGTGGCGCCGCTCGCGGCTGAGGTGAGCCGGGTGCGTGTCGGGGGCCGGCCGGGGGCCGGGGCGGCGGGCGTCCGACCGGACGCTCAACCTCTGGCTTCCCCACGCGCGGACGGGGTGCCGCTGGCTCGGGCTCGGGCTTCGGGACCCCGGCCTTGTCTCCGAGGCGCTGAGGGCGCTTCCCTGCCGGGGGCCCCGGGTGCGGGCCCCGAGCCCCATTCGCCTGACCGCTCCCGGGCCGCTGGGTCCTCTCCGGGCCGATGGGGCCCGTCGGAGGCCACGCGTCACCTCCGCCCCGGCCCGGTCCTGCCGCGGGCCCCCTTGTGAGGCCGAGCCCGCGGGGCTTCCGTGCCCCGGGCCGTCGCGCTTTCTCCGCGCCCACTCGCTCTCCCGCCTTCTCGGCCTCAGGCACGTCCCCTCGGGCCACAGTTGGGGGCGGCCCGTCCCTGTACGCCGGCAAAGCCGGAGCGGTCGTGTAAACGCCTCCAACTTAAGGTGGGGTCCGGCGATCGACGGGGTAGCAGGAGAGTCTGACTTCGGGGGGGTGCCGAGGGGGTCGCCTTTAGCCGCCGAGAGATGGGGAATGAGAGCAGGGGCAGCCGCCGGGGAAAGCGCAGGGAAGAGCCGGCCAGAACGGGAAGGGCGGAAGCTTTGGTGGTAAGCCACCAGGTGTGGTCAAGGATCGGACCAGCGGGCCACTGGGGCTGGGACCTTGCGGGGGTGGTGGAGAGCACTCTAAGACGCGAGTCTGGGGAGAGAGCTGGAGTCCAGACCGCGCAGGGCCTTCCGGGCCCGTTCAGGGGTGGAAGTTAAGGCCCAAAGAACTGACCGACTTGCCGCAGGCCCCTGGGCCGAGCCAGGATTCGTACCCAGCAGCGGTGTTCCCGATCACTCCCGAGTGTTGTCTCGAGGTGTCTAGAAACAAATCTAACAGAGAGGGGCACATCCAGTTTTCACGTGGACAAAACGTGACTGACTGGGCCCAGGTGGTCACCACGGGCTCGGTGGCCTCGCGTCTGTTGTAACTGGGTAACTTCTGCGTTCAGGTCCGGAGCTGCCCCACACAGACAGTTCAGTAGTGGCAGTGCCTACCCCAGCACCCCGCTCTCATCCCCCTTACCGGGAGTGCCTGAGCCTGTTTTTGCCACAGTCGATGGACAGGAAAAGTTTGAAACCAAAGTCACCACGCTGGATAATGGGCTTCGCGTGGCCTCCCAAAACAAGTTCGGACAATTTTGTACAGTAGGAAGTAAGTACTCTTGGTGGTGGTGTGGGTCATCCCATTTGTTTTCACGCCCACGTGCTTCAGTCGATTGTTATGCTTTATACGTCATCTGAGAATTGTGTCCTGAGTGGAAGAGTACGGCATAGACCCTGGAGACAGTACACAAAGCACGAACCACCCCGTTGGTGGTGGGCTTTTTCCCCTTTCTACCTTCATAGAAACCTAACACTTTTCCACCGTAAATATGAAGCATACGACTCTGTCAGTGTCAACATGGGTGTGTGCAGCTGGGGAGACGTAGCCCAGGTAGTGGACACGTCGTCACCCTCACGTAATTAGGTCAGCCTGTCTGATCACATTCAGTTTTAAAGGTTTCTCTTGATTAAATCACCCTAAAACCTCCCCTTTTCAACGTTTGGCTTAACCTGTCAATTTTCTTTTTATTGCCAGTTCTTATTAATTCAGGATCAAGATACGAAGCAAAATATCTTAGTGGAATTGCTCACTTTTTGGAAAAATTGGCATTTTCGGTCAGTGTCCTGTTTGTAATCTTTGAGCCTATACTTGAAAAGAGTCTATCAAGTTTTACTTTTTTTAGAATGGTTATTTTAATAAGTGACTAAGCTGCTAAGATAATGCTACTAAAAGATCTTTAGATTAAGAGATAATTTGATTTCACATGTTTTCAAAGTAAACATAAATTTTTTTCTTGGATAACATATTTTAGAGGTTGTTTTGGGTTGCATATTTAGGTTTACTTATTTATTTTTAATAGTCGACGGATCGATTTAACAGCAAAGATGAAATCCTGCTTACGTTGGAAAAGCACGGGGGTATTTGTGACTGCCAGACATCAAGGTACGCCAGCGTATTTTGCATCCACGTGGAACTGTGGTTCTTATCCTTGGTCAGAGTCCCACTGAAACCTACCCCCTGGAGAGGCTTGTGGAGGTTGGGGTGAGAAGTGAGCCTGGCCTAGGCCGGGTTGGGTGGAGAATTTGGTGGGGGAAACATGCAGGCAGCAGCATTTAGAGCAGAGAACACGTTGGAGGGCCAGGCAATTCCCAGAGACTGCCAGCTGGGCACTAGGGATGCAGCAGGCCCTGTCCCCACTATGCTCACAGATCTGGCAGAGGGCTGCACCACAGGTAATGGATACAAGAGCCAGAAACCAAGACTGGTGGGGCACAGGCAACTAACCTGGTCTGGAGTCAGGAAAGGAGTGATAAACTCATCATTGGACTGGTCTTGAAGGAGTTTGCCAGACCAACTGAGGGGAGGAGGTGGCGCAGAACAGCACGGGGAGAGGCTCAGCCAGGAAGAGGCAGTGGTCTTTTTGGGGACAGGGAGAGGTCCAGTATGTAGCCAGCACACAGATGGAGGGGCGCTGTGGATAGGGCAGGTGGTGTTTGTCTGCCACATGTGGCCTGTCCCGCAGCCACATAAGGCCGTGCATACTGCATGTTGACTGTGAGTCGGGGCAGCTGATGCTCAGGAAGCACGTGATAAAAAGGCCCCCATGGCAGGGGGCCTGTGCTTGTGGAAATGTCTCAGGATGGCTCTTGTCCATCTTGGCTGGGCAGCTGCTGTCACTCCGGTGCGTGCTGGAAGTTGTCCTGTAAGGTGGGACATAGCGAGTGTGTGCTGGTCCTCAGTGCAGGGGGGGGGGGGGGGGATCAGCCCCCGTTGGTGTGTATCTGTGGTGACCTCAGTGCCTCATGTTGTTGCTTCTTTCCAGGGACACCACCATGTATGCTGTGTCTGCTGACTCTAAAGGCCTGGACACGGTGGTTGGGTTGCTGGCTGACGTGGTCCTGCACCCCAGGTTCACAGGTGGGCCCAGGGCCGTGTGAGGGGGCTAGGGGCTGGGCCCTTGGGAGGCACGTGGAAGCACTGCCCTGAGGAAGAGCGTTGTATGCAGCCCTTGAGCTCAGCTACCAGTGAGTTGGCACGATTTCCTTGGAAATAACGCTGATGGTCAGAAAAGTCCTTCAATGAGCTCAGTACTTTGACATAACTTTGTGCCTTTTGACGTTTTTAGTTAAATTGGGTCTTTCATTTTTCCTCTTTTTTTTTTCTTTTAAGTTTTTATTTACTAACTTAAGTACTCTCTACACCCAACGTGGGGCTCAAACTCACAACCCCGAGATCAAGAGTCGCACGCTCCTCTGACAGAGCCAGCCAGGCAGCCCTGGGTCTTTCACTTCTGAAAGGCATTTCAGACTGTCTTTAAACACCGGGCTGGTGCGCCACCGGAAGCTTCCACGCCCCTGTGTCCATCCCCTTCCTTGGCCTGGTGGTGGCAGGACTTTGAATTCTGTGCCCGCAGTGGGCCGGAGAGGGCCCTGCTGCCCGTTGCTGCCGCCCTGGCTGTGCTCTGGTCATGTCAGCCTGGCCTTGTAGTTCTTCCAGTACTTACTCCAGGTTGCTGATGAAGTGGCAGCCGTGATGCCGGATGGTGCCTCTTTTGTAAACACCTTCCCATTCCACGTGACTGTCCTCACAGCAGCCCTCTGGGGAGATGGGCCAGGGGCCTGAGTGCCTCTCTTGGGAAGGAAGCCGGGGCTCGGGGCAGGTCAGGTGGCTAAGCTGGACAAGAGGCCCAATGCCTCCAGGCCCTGCCCCCTCACTCACACGAGTGCCCCCAGGTCTACCCCAGATGAAGGCCGAGGAGACTGCCGGTGTCTGCCAGCCAGTGACCCTTGGCCCAGCCTGGCAGCCTAGGCCCAGGGCCATTTCCCTCCTGGCTGGTACGGTCTGAGCCTTGTCTGGGTTCTTTGCAGATGAAGAAATTGAGATGACCCGAATGGCTGTCCAGTTTGAGCTGGAGGACCTTGACATGCGGCCTGACCCAGAACCGCTTCTCACGGAGATGATTCATGAGGTACTAGAAAGCCCGGAAGCACCCGCCTTCGCGGCCCTCCCAACATCAGCATAGTTGAGGGGGCTTGTCTGCCTCCCTGAGGCTATTCACAGGTTATAGGTGTGGACAGAAGATTCTTAATTCTCAAACCTGCAATGTATGCAAGTGTTTCACGTTCTTATTCTTAACAGTAATGAGATCTTTATCCATTTCTAGAATGAGCTTTTTATTTTACGTGGGTTTTTTTGAGATTTCATTCTGGAGAGAGAGATTTTACTGCTTTTGTAAGCAAACAAAATCGCTCCTGCCAAATTAGCAAAGCTAAGCAACCGTGAGCTTTTCCTGCCACAGCTGGGGTCATGGCAGGCCCAGCACGGGGGAGGAGACCTGACCGTGGCCTCTCTGTCACTTGTGTTTCTTCCTTCTTTTGTTAGGCTGCTTATCGGGAAAACACAGTTGGCCTGCACCGTTTCTGCCCCACAGAAAACATAGCAAAGATTGATCGAGAAGTGCTTCATTCATACCTGAGAAACTACTACACCCCCGACCGCATGGTGCTGGCTGGAGTCGGGGTGGAGCATGAGCACCTGGTGGAATGTGCCAGAAAGTACCTCCTGGGAACCCGACCAGCCTGGGGATGTGAGAGGGCTGTGGACGTTGACAGATCGGTAGCACAGTACACTGGGGGGGTTGTCAAGGTAAAGCCAAGATGGGGTATGTGTGCTTTCTTTACTTTGTTTTTGGTACGTTCTCAGCTTTATCCCACAGGTGTTACAATGAGCTGTGCATTCGTGGCTTTATCATAATACACATTGTGGTGTCAGGGCAGGACGTGTTCCTTGTTTAAAGCTGAGAACTTGTTAAGAATGAGTTTAGGGGCGCCTCGTGGCTCAGTCGGTTAAGTGTCTGCCTTCGGCTCGGGTCATGGTCCCAGGGTCCTGGGGTTGAGCCCTGCATTGGGCTCCCTGCTCTGCGGGGAGCCTGCTTCTCCCTCCCCCTCTGTGCTCTCTTTCTCTCCCTCTCTCCCTCTCAGGTAAATGAGTAAAATCTTTAAAAAGAAAAAAAAAATGATTGCGTTTAGTTTCACTGGAAGGTTAAAGGATCATTCTTTCTTCTAGAGGGAGTTTACTGATGTGCGTGTATGATTTCTGTAGAACCATGATGGGGTCTTTTGCCTTTTTTTTTCCTCAAAGTAGGCTCCGCACCCAGCACGGAGCCCAGTGTGGGGCTTGAACACACAGCCCTGAGATCAAAAGTTGGGACACTCAACTGACAAGCCACCCAGGCGCCCCGCTAGAACTGTCTGTAGGCTGATCTGACCCGAGAGGTTTTTGAGGCCTGCTTGTCTTCCGTGTGGGTACACCATTCACTCTCTTTGCTTATAGCTGGAAAGAGACATGTCCAACGTCAGTCTGGGCCCTGCCCCGTTCCCTGAGCTCACGCACATCATGATAGGACTGGAGAGCTGTTCCTTTTTGGTAAGTCCCAGCCGGGTCCTACCACATCCTAGAGCCGGGTGTCACCTCCCGGCCAAGCTCTGCCCTCATGTCTCCCGCAGGAGGAAGATTTCATCCCCTTCGCCGTCCTGAACATGATGATGGGGGGTGGCGGCTCCTTCTCAGCCGGTGGGCCTGGCAAAGGCATGTTTACCAGGCTCTACCTTAACGTGCTCAACAGGTAGGTTGGATTCCTTTCACCTGGCTGTCCCCAGGGTCACCAGGCCCAGCTGAAGGTGCTTTTGGACTGTGACACCACCTTCCAGGTGTCCCTTTGTCCCTGCTCCCTACAGGCACCACTGGATGTACAACGCGACCTCGTACCACCACAGCTATGAGGATACGGGCCTCCTGTGCGTGCACGCCAGTGCCGACCCCAGGCAGGTGAGCCCCGGCCCCTGCTTCCTGTGCAGCTCACGTCCCCGGACACAGAGCTGGTTTCTTGGAGCAGGGGTGTCATTGTCTGAATCGGAAGAGACAGACCGTTAGGTCCAGATCACACTCTTCATCTTTCCCTTTTCCCCAAAGGTTCGAGAAATGGTGGAAATCCTCACGAAGGAATTTATTTTAATGGCTGGAACTGTGGATGTGGTAAGTACAGCACAGAGCTGACTCCCAACATCCCCCACGGTGTCGGCAGGTTAGAGAACACAGTGTGGGCGTGGCTGGCCTCTGCTCCCAGCACCGCCAACATCCCAGCAGGACAGTGCAGCCCCCCACGGTGTCGGCAGGTTAGAGAACACGGTGTGGGCATGGCTGGCCTCTGTGCTCCCAGCACCGCCAACATCCCACCAGAACAGTGTAGCCCCGGGGTGACCCAGACCTACAGCTGAGCCCCTCCCCTGCTCCCTGGTCTCAGCACCGAGAACAGTTGTCGCCCCGCCAGCACTGGGCCTGCTCACACCTGCCTGGCCCCGGCCCTCCTGGAAGAAGTGGTACAGAGCGGTCTCGTGTGTCCTTTTCAGCCACCCTGCAGAACCATGGGAATTAAAGCCACATCGCACAGGATGAGCGGGCCTCTCGGGGTGGTTTCCGAGCTCTCCCCTAACTTCCATTTTACGTTTTATTTTGCTTTTTTGGTTTTGTTCTGTTTTTGAAGATTTTAGTTTTAAGGTAATCTTTCTCCATAGCATGGGGCTGGAACTCACAACCCCAAGACCGAGAGCTCCGTGCTCTGTGGACTGAGCCTGCTGGGCGCCCTGAACTCCATTTTGTGTTTTAACCTAAGTCTTTGTTTCCTTGTTTCTTTGGCTTAGTTTTTGTCATCTTACGTATTTAGAGATCTTGTTTCTTCCTGGACTAGCACTGGTACAAATAAACAGGGTCTGTATGCACGCGCATAGGAGGCCTGGGAGGAGAGGCCCAGCGTGTGGGCCGAGTTGGCGCACGGCCTTCACCTATGGATCTTTCCTGCTCAGTCCCTGCTTTTTGCAATGATCACATATTCCCTTTTTAGTCAGAAAAATAAGCTTTTTAAAAAAAGTATTTCAAAAAAGTAATTTTACAAAAACGTATTTAAAAATCTGTTGGGGGCATTCCATTAGTGGCCTGCTAGGAAGTACTTCCTGTTAATGTGAAGCTGATTTGAGGTAAGTTGTAAGTATTTGCCCGGAGTTGGCAAAATAGAAAGGACTCGTCTGCAATTAGGAGTCCTCTTGCTTAGACGGCGACGCGGAATCTCTGCAGCCGGCCCGTCTTCCAGCACGTGTGCTGCTTTCGCCAGCCGCTCCCGTCGCTCACCCGGCCGTGTTTCCCCGCCCTCCGGTTTCAGGCTGAGCTTTGTGGACGGAACTTGCCGGAGTCCCATTGTTGTCAGTTTCACACTTGGTCAGAGAGGCTCGAGGCCCAGACTTGGTAGATCGAGCTGGTCCCCTCAGAATTTCCCCGGGGGCACGCCCTGTGCCTGGGGTCTGCGTGGAGCCCCTGACTCTTGGATTTGTCTTCCTTGTGACGTGGCCGTGACTGGGTGACGGTGTGTGAGCTGTTGTGAACCGAACCGTGTGACTTGGTGGTTGAATCCCAGGTGGAGCTGGAGCGGGCCAAGACGCAGCTGATGTCCATGCTCATGATGAACCTGGAGTCCAGGCCTGTGATCTTTGAGGACGTAGGGAGACAGGTGCTGGCGACCCGTTCCAGGAAGCTGCCTCACGAGCTGTGCGCCCTCATCCGTGAGTACCTTGCTGGGGGCACAGATCGGGCTCCCTCCTTTCCCTCCCAGGAGACTGCCACAGACCTGTTTACCTGTGGCTCCTGCACCCGTGAGCCCTCACCCTGGACCAGCCCTGCCTTGTGTCCCTGAGTACCGACCCCTGTGACCCCAGGTTTTCACCCCGTATAAAGGGGCCTTTCACCACCGCTCCAGGTTTCTAAGCCGACTCGGTGAGCTGATGGAAATGCTCCACACGGGGCTCGCGTGGTGGTGCCCTCTGTGACTTGAGCCCAGGTTTCCATGGCCTGCTGTGAGTGAACTACAGGAAGTCCCTGAATTTCTCTGTGTGTCCCGCTGTGGGGGACAAGTCTACGCTTCCATCAGCTCAAAGGGTCCGTGACCCCACAAGGGTTAGGCCAGTGGTTCTTTGGTGACGATTGTTACCTCGTGGCAGCTCCAGCATGCATCCTGTCCACAGGTGCATCCTTACCCCCACCCCCCACCCCGGAAGCCCCTCAGACCATGGAACACAACAGTACCCGATCTCCCTAAGGCTTCATCTTCTGTAGCAAAACCAAGCTACTGGTCAGTGTGTTCCCACGGTGCATTTTTGTGCCCACACAAGCTGTGGTCCCAGGTCCTTCCTCGGGAGGCTGGGCTGCGCGAGCGGCTGCCACCCTACGAAGCCCCGGGAGGGGGTGTTTTTTCCATCCCCGCAGCCTCTCCCTGTGGGTAGCTCTGCAGACAAGGAGCTGTTCCATTATAGGTGTGTCAACTTCTCTGGGCGGGCACATGTCTGCATTTGAAAATCCTTTTAAACCACTGTTACTTCCCCGTTTACCAAGAAAAACCCGATATTTCACCTTCACAGTATAGTCCACACAGCTGAATCTGGACCCTCTAGAGTCTGCAGCCTGGCCTCAGACCCCCAGGGCCTTGAGGGGCCGCAGCCACACACGGAGACGGAGTCTGTGCAGGAGGCGGGCAATCCCCTGAGGTATTTTTGTCCCCTGTGCCAGGCAGCGTGAAGCCGGAAGACATCCGGAGAGTTGCCTCTCAGATGCTTCGCAGGAAGCCCGCAGTGGCGGCCCTGGGTGATCTGAGCGACCTGCCAGCCTACGAGCACATCCAGGCGGCGTTGTCCAGCAGAGACGGGCGCCTGCCCAGGATCTACCGGCTCTTCCGCTAGAGGCGGCTGGACACGCGGCCCAACTGCGGCTGCAGGAGCCACGTGTGTTCATATGTTTCTCTGTGGGTGTGAGTTCACTGCAAAGACTCATAAATGGTGCAAACCATGGGACTCTTAAACTTGGACAAATTTAATGTCGCTGAGCACAGCTCAGTTTCCGGTTCTTTGCTGTTGAATAGGCCACTCGGTGGAATAAAGGTTTGCCCTCGCCGTGGCTAGAAACCAGTGGAATGCAAGAAGGTTCAAGGCCAACTGTTGTCAGGGAGCAGGTCAGCGTTCTTCCTGCCGTCCTGCGCTCCTGGAGATCAGCAGTGCCACACTGTCTCCCCACAGTCAGCCCCCGGGGCAGGGCAGGAGCCCCTGGTCTGCTTCGTGGAGCGTTTTTCTCAGCACAGTTTTCCTTCACCTTCAGTAAGGATGGGGTGTCTCCAGCAGCAGCAGCATCCCTGAAACAGCTGGAAGCGGGCAAGTGGGGTGTCTCCCTGAGGGTCATCCAATCGGACCCAACATTGCGAGGTCTCGTCCTTTAATTGTTCTGATTGCGGGCATGTCTGAGCGCACAGGGCGGGAGGCACACTCAGTGGCCGGTGGGGAGAGCAAAGCCGGGAATGTGCTGGAAGGTGAAGGTGCACTAGATTCAGCCGGTGTGCATGGCCGTGTCAGGAGTGCCGCAGGGCCCGGTGACTGGTAACACGGGCTAGCTTTGTTAGCTTTGTGGTTCTCCAACATGAATGCATGTAGAGTCCCCAGGGGCCCTTGTGGGCCACCTCTTGTAGCTGCAGGGCTGCTGCTGTCCCCAGCATTCGGCAGCTGGGGAGAGAGCCTGCCACGCAGCCTCGGCCGCACAGGCAGGAGGGCAGGGCTGTTCCGAGATCGACATGTAAATGTTACTTCGGTTATTTAATCCACTTATTCTGCCGGAGCCCATCATCCTGTTTAGGTGTCTTTCCAGCACATGTGCCAACGGCTACATTTGCTGGGGTGGGGGGGTGCACAACAGGGATGCCAGGCCCTCCATGCCCGCTGGGGTGGGGCCCGAGGGAGACGAGCCTGAGTTGGAGGGCGGGTGGGCAGCAGTGTGGACTGTCTTGTTGTTTCTGTGGTTACCCCAGGGGGAGGGCAGCACCCAGGGGAGATAGAGGGCAGGAGTTTGTCCGTACTGCAGGCATGCAGTGGGGTGGGGGGTGGGGGGGGCAGAGCTCGTGAAGACATGAGGCCTGGGTGGATGTTGGGGCCAGCCGAAGCGCTGCCCAGACCCAGGGTCAGGAAGCTGGTGCTAACCTGCCTGTCCTACTTCCCCACTGGCTTCTCCCCTGACCCTGTCATGGCCTGGCACCTCTGCTACCCTTGGCATGCAGCCGTGCCCCCTCCCTGTTCTCGGCCCCACGCAGCCTTTAGGGTTGGCTGCCGCAGGCTCAGCAGGTGCCCGAGGGAGGCCTGGTGCGAGCAGAGTGCACGGAGGCGATGAGAGCCGGGTCATGAAAACCACCCTCATGCTGTGCTTCTCGATTCTTGGTGAAGCTGGTTTTCAGAGACTGGTCCATGTCTTCATTCATCTGACTTTTAACCTGACTTTCTAAGTGAAACCTGTTCATCTCAAATCTCCTGGCTGCTCTTAAGGGAGTGGCCTGACTTGGGACCCGTGACCCCTCAGGTGTGTGTCAACGATCCCCACAGACACCAAGCCCCGTCTCAAGCCAGACTCCATGCTGCGCCATCACTTTGTCCTGTCAGTCAGAGATGGTGCCTGGGAAGATGCATAAAAATGCCTCCTCTCCAGGCCCCTCACCGCAAAAATCTGTAACAGACATTTTCAGATCATGATTCAAAACTCAACAGCACGTTTCTTTGAGTAAAATTTTATACAGTCAAGTTTCTTGAAGTCCGATGGGGTTGACTGGACCTTCTCGTGAACAGACTCTCCCCTCTGTGTCAGAGACCGGGTGTGCCTGGTTCCGTGTTGTGGAAGTGGGCACTAATAAAGGGGGTACACATGCCCTGTGGAAGTGACTTCGTTTCCTCCACTCAGGTCTGGGGTGTCCCCTTCTCCCTTAAAAGCTCCCCTCCAGCCAGCCCCACGGTTGAGGTGGCAGCTGGGTGCAGAGCAGATGGCCCCGGGGAGCCACAGTGTACCCCAAACTTCCTGCCATTGAACTGGACACCCTTGTTTTCTGAGAACATCAGGAGAACAGGCTCAGTGTACAGATGATCTCTTTCTAGGACTCGATCTTTGGCCAGAAAGAGTTTAAGATTTAATGTATGGATTTATTTAAAAATATAAATATGGAAAAATAAATAAAAGACTAGACTGAGTGCCCCTTGGTTTTCCCACATTCAGAGCCTGTCTTTAGAAGCCATCATGGGCAGTCACGCACTCAGCCCTCGAAGAAAGAAGAGACCCGGAATGTGGTGGGGACACCCTAAGCTTCCCCTGCTTTCTCTGGCCAGGAAGTGCGCTACTTATGTTAATGCTATTTGAGGCTGGCGATGTGTATGCAATGGTCTTAAGTCACCAAAACCAGAAGAGGAGAGGGAGGTGGCTTCGTGGCTGGATGGGCCGGGCCAGCCCCGCAAGATGAGAGGCGGCCCTGAAACAGGCCAGACCGCCTTGTCCCAGCAGGACCGTGTTCCCTTCTTGGAAGTCGGCTGGTTCTGGCCTGACCAGCCGGGCCTGGGCTCGGTCCTCGTGTGCACCGGTGGGACAGAGACCACCCCCCCTCAGCCGCCTGACCCCGAGCACCTTATCTCTTTGGTACCGGGCCCGCTGTGCTCAGGGGGGAAGGGCACCTCCCAGTTTGCACTGGAGGGGCTGCTGGGAGGCTGCCAACCCCGGCTCTGGGTGCGCAGGCCGCTCCAGGCACCCCCCCACCCAAACGCCTGCCTCCCGGGACCGCATGTGTGGCCGGCGCGGGGCCTGACGGGACGTGCTGTAAATGAGCGTGGCTGGTGTGGTTCCGGGCGGGGGCACCGGTGCCTCAGTACCGCCTGGCCGGTCTGCTGGCCTCCCCGTGGGGTTCTTGGTAAGAAAGCGTGTCAGTCTCGAGCAGTGGTTCGTCGGCAGCCCAAAAAGGAGTCCCACACAGCAACCTCTTCCGTCTTTAGGGGCTTTTGATCAAGTAACCTCCCGGTGGAGGTGCCAGAGGCCCTTGGGCAGACCTCAAGAAACAGTACAAATAGTACTCGAGTGCTGATTCTTCAGAGCCTGCTGTCTCTGAATTTCTTTGGAAATCCGTCTTTTAATTCCTATTAAGTACAGTTCTCGGTCAAACTTGCCGGCAGCTAGCGGGATGCTGTGGAGGAAAGAGTGTCAGCCGGGAGGGCCGGCTGCTTCCGCAGCCTCCGGGAGGCCGACTCTGCCGCCCAGTCCCTGCGGGCCGCTGGGACCCACCGCGTACCGAGCGTGACCACCACTGCCCGCGAGCAGAGCCCCCTCCGGAGCCCGGGCCAGGCCCGGCCGCATGCGTGTCAGGAAGAGCCGGTCAGCCCTGACCCTCACTTCAGATCAGGAATCCCGCCCCCCCGCCCCCGGGGCCCCGAGGGCAGGACACGTGAGGACATGTGGCCAGGGTACTGACTTGTCTCTCCCCGGCCTCACTTTCACCCGGAACAGGCCGTACACGGGGCGATGGTCAGACGTCTTGATGCCAGGGCAGGAGGAATACTTGATGGGACAGATGTCACCCTTGTGGCGGCTTCTGTACATGACGCGGTCCTGCAGAAAAGAGCCCACAGACAGGGGCCCAGATGCTGCACAGTTTTGCTGCAGGGCTCGGCCTGCGGGCCTGTCACCTCAGCCGTGCTTGAGCAGAGTCCTCGCGTCAGATCCGCCCGCCCCCGCCGGAGCCTGTTCCTGGAGCCCCTCCCCCGAGCCCAGTGTGGGCACCCAGGGTGGAGGGGGTGGAGGCAGGAGCTCGACCAAGTGAGAGCGTCGGGCGTGTGCCTCGCAGTCCCGGGACCAGCAGATGACCCTCAGAAGGGCCTCTGTCGGAGGGCACTGCCCCCAACCCCAGCAGTCTCGGAGAGGTGCAGTCACTAGCCCGGAGCGGCTCAGGCCCGAGTCTGACCGCACCCTGCAGGCCCCGCAGCTCGTGGGCGCTGCCCTCACGGCCAACCTCAGTCCTCGGCCCACGTTCCAAAGCGCGAGCGGACCCAGACTTCGGCCGCAGAGCCGGGCTGGCGCCAGGGGCGTGCTCACCGTGTAAGAGGGGGTCCTCTGCTTGGAGGTGGTGTCGTAGGAGTCCTTCCCAATGTCGAACTTGTATGATGGAAGGAAGTGGATGTCCGGCTCCTGGAAACCCTTGAAGATGGACCCTGGAACAGTCACAGCCCCATGTCAACCCCGCAGGCTGTGCCTTCTTGGGGGTGGGGAGGCCACACCTCCTCCCTGAGACCTCACCTTTCTTCATCTCCTGGGTGAGCTGGTCATGCTGGAGCAGGGCAGACACCTTCTCTCCCAGGTCCTGCTTCAGGATGGCCTCCACAGCCACACGCCCACCGCTCAGACGGAAGTTGAAGTCTCCAAACCAGAACACCCCATCGAACCGGGTGGTGACATCCGCTGGCCAAAATGGGAAAGCGTGTGAGTCCGGCCCTCCGTGCTGCCTTAGCGACAGGGACTGGTCTGTGTCCAGCCAGAGCCACAGGCAAGGACTCCCCAGGGAAGGGGGCGCAGCCCATGGGGGTTGTGCCCTGCAGCCTCCTGGGTCGACAGTCGGGGTCACGATTCTCTCTCAAACAGCAACAGCCATCCGGGGACGCATGGCGCCCTCACGCTCACAGGAGCCCACACTTGCCACGCACGCCGCCTCCGCCATGGCGCCGGCCCACGGGGCAGCCAGGGGGCAGGGGGGCCTGGGGGGGGGCGGGGGGGAGGATGCAGAGCCGGGCTGGAGAGGCCAGGCTCCTCGTGAAAGCAGCCGCCAAATGCGCCGACGGGGTCACAGCTCCAGCGCCAGGCCTCAGCGGTTTTATTTCCATTGGCTAGTCTAGACTTTTCTGACCTTGATTCTCAAAAGCTCTCAAAGTTTACTTTCACCAAAGTACCCAGAGAAAAAGGCGGTGGCGCGCGGACGGGGGCTCACCAGCGTCCGAGCGGAAGGGGCTGGTGTCGGGCACGCTCTTGGGCAGGGCCAGGCCCTGGACGGTTCTGCTATAGTCCAGCAGCCTCTCGCTCACCTTCCCGTCTCCGGCTGTGAGAACAGAGCGTGGGGGGCCTCTCCAGCAAGGCTTGAGGACACGGGACACCTAGGCGGTCACCGCCCCCCCCAGCGTGCTCTACCACAGCATCTGCGGCGGCCCGCCCCCCCCCCCGGGTACTCTCGCCCTGAGCCCCATGCCCTCTGCCACACCAGCCTCCTCAGCGCCCAGACCGGAGCTGAGCGCTACCGGAGGACACCGTCTCAGCGGGGCGGGGCCTCTGCCTTCCAGACTCTCCCGGTGGACACGGGGGGAGCGGTGTCCCTAGCGCCTGGAACTTACAGGTGAAGTGGGACGTGATGAAGAGGAAGGAGGTGCCAAAGAAGGTGAAGCTGACGCCCAGGGCCCCCTTGGTCTTGATATGAGATACGATGCGCGTGGTCACCGTGGAGCTCTCCACCTCTGCGGGATGGAGGGGCAAGGCTGACACGGCCGCCCCTGCCCGCCCCATGCGCACCTGCTGGGTGGGGGTGCCCAGGGCACCGGCGCAGAGCAGAGCGGCCCGCCTACCTGAGCAGAACCAGATGAGGTCCCTGCGGATGAGCACGGACATGTAGAGCGCCCCGTGGGCCGCTGAGTACAGTGTGACGTAGTGGGGGCCCAGCGTCTCCTGCAGGCGCGTCTCCCACTCCCGCCTGCAGAGGGAAGCCAGGAGAGCCTGGGAAGGGGGCTGGAACCTCCCAGACCCGCCACCCCTCACCCTGCAGCCCAGACAGCCCCGCCATCGGGCCTCGTCCCGCAGGGAGTGTGGCGGACCGACAAGCAACACGAGGTTCCCTGGGCGGCTTCCAGGCCGGTGGTCTCCCACTACCCTGGGGGCCTGGAGCCTGGCCCCTTCCCCTGGGTCAGGGGCACCTGCGCACGGCAGGCCTCCTGCGGCTGCCTGAGGGGTGGGACGCCCGGGCCCTGCCCTCGCCCTGCAAACCCCAGCCGTGCAGCCAAGGCGCTGCGGACCTAGGACCCCGCGGAGGGGTCGGGCTTGAGCCGGGGCTCCCGCAGCTTTTCACTGCTGTTCTTAGATCAGCAGTGAGTCAACAAGAAGTGAAGCTCATTTATTCTAAGTTCTCTGGGCCGCCCACAGACCAGGAAGCGGTTCTGGTGGGCAGCCCCAGCCTGCTGTGGCCTCGGGCCTCGCCCCACATGGGGCTCTCGGGCCACAGCAGCTTCGGCCCCGAAGGCCGACCTCAGCGCCGTTCCCAGGGACCGGGGGGGCTGACGGGCTGGGCAGACATGGGGCAGGGGTGCACCTTACCTGTCGGAGCAGCCCTCCTGGACCCCAACGACGTACAGGTCCTGGGCGTAGTCGGCCTCGGCGGGCAGCAGGAGCTCGTCCAGGTTTGGGGGCAGCTCCTGCGAAGAACCGTGTATAGCAAGAGGCTCCCGCAGAGCCAGCAGCCCCGGCCTCTCCTGCAGCACGGGGACCAGCGCTGCCCGTGGGACGCGTCCAGGGGAGCCTCAGGTCTGGGCAGGCCGCCCTCCACCCCAGTTGGTCACCGCCACGCCTGCATCTGTGCCGCGCCCTCGCCACGCGGCCCGTGCCCCCAGATGCACTCCGGGTGGGGAGGTGGTGCTGCCCGGGCCGGGCAGCCCTCAGGGCCCTGGACGAGAGCGCCGTCCCATGGACAGCGGTGCCACCGGCCTGGGCACCTGCCTCCTTCAGCCCGAGGGAGAATCCCTTCTGTCTCCTCCTGGGGGCTGTGTCGTCAGGGCCCCTGGTTCTTCAGCCAAACTGTGCTGGTAGCGGCTCTGCCTTGTTTCCCCCGCAGCGCCCACCCCCCAGTGCCAGCCTGGGGCACCACTGTGTGGAGGGACGGGCCTTCTGTGATGCCACCATGACAACCACCGCGCCCCTCGCCCTGCCCAGGGGCGTGCTGGGCAGTCCACGCCCGGCCCCCAGAAGTCGGAGCACATGTGGGGGACGGAGACTGCCGGCCCGGGGACAGTCCTTGCTGCGAGGAGGGAGGCCCGGGGAGAGACGGCTGAGCTGGAGACAAAGCCACCTGCACAGTGTCCAGGGGCCCCCGGGAGCACAGGCCAGAGATGAGGGTGCAGACCTCTGGCCTGTGCGTGGTCAGGACACAAAGCACCCGTCTTGGCAGAGCGGCTGGAGGCCTCTGCTGTCACCTCCTCACAGAAGCTGCCGAGTGAACGTAACCCAGGGTGACCCCAAGGTGACAAGGACCAGACCAGGCTGTGCAGGCTCCCGGACGGTCACGGCTGGCCCAGCGGTGGGGTGTGGACAGGGGGAGGTTGTGCGTGGGGGCGGGGGCTCTAGGGAAATCTCTGTTCCCTTCAAATCCGCCTTGAGCCTAAAGCTATCCTAAAAACAAACATGCACGTGTAAGGAAACCACATGTTCCGTCCCCAGGCAGTGGGGAGGCGGGTGAGGCAGGGGCCTTCCGGGTGCCCCAGGTGTTGGGGAGAGGCCAAGCAGACGGTGTGCGGCGCGGAGGCCCCAGGAGAGAACCCGAGTGGGAGTGGGCGGCTTACCTTCTGGCCCTGCATGTTCCAGGTGGCCACGAAGAGGGCCATGTTGCGGTCTGGGAAGTACCGGGCCAGCTCCTCTGCCCCCATCAGTGCCCCGCTCGCCAGGAGACTCCCCTCCAGGTAGCTCCTGTGGAGAGAGGGTGGCCGGAAGTCGAGGGTCTGAACGGGCAGACCCAGGGAGGGGCCAGGTGCAGGGACACACCTGCCGGGCACACCTGCAACCTCAGGCCCCCGCAGTTGGGTGGAACGCGTTTCCGGGAGGCTCTCCCAGAGCTGGGGTTTCCTGAGAGCCCACGGGTTGGCAGGAGGCATAGCGCGATGGTCCACTGCCCTCTTGGAAAACCCGCTGTGTTCACAATTCTACAAACACCAGCACGCGTTCAACTTTTCGGTCGCCTCCTGAGACCAAGGACTTGAAGGTGACATCTGGGCTCTTGGCCCTGGACGGCAGCGGCCTGGGGCGACGCGCGCCCTGGGCCAGGGGCTTGCCTCCACCTCAGCGTGGCCTCGGGGGCCCTGAAAGCTACAGGGGGCACGTCCACCCTCACGACAACCGCCGGTCACAACTCGTTTCAGGAGTTCCGGAGCACGGCATGCGCACGCTTACAGCCCCGGCCCCGGCCCTGTCGGGCTCCGCGGACAGCGGCGCGAGCCCGTGCGGCCACAGAGCTTCATCCGCGGACCGCAGAGGCTGAGTGTCCTGTAATTTTCACGTATCGTGAAACAGTAGCACCATCTTCTCAGCCATGAGAAAACCGTCCTCAGCCGACGGACCGAACAAAAAAGGGCTAAGACTGTGTTTGGGCCCTTGTCCGGCTGGTGGCCTCGTGGCTGCTCTTTCCTGCACAGGTGGACGAGCCCAGCACGGGCACACAGGCCCGGTCACCCATGCTAGGGCGCGACCCCAGCCTCCCCGTGTCACCTCTCCTCTTGCACGGTGTCCACCTGTGGCCGCCTCAGTCTTTCTCCAACTGTCTGTGGTCCTCCTTTTGCTGGGAGCTCTCCTTCCAGAACCTTCTTCCAACCCAGCTTGAGATCAGTCAGGACACTCCTGGAATCAGTACCCAGGCAATGGCCATTCCTGTATTTGGTCTTTTAGTGCCATCCATCTGCTGCAGACACTGACCGCCCGTCCCCCTGCACACCCAGAGGGGGGCTCCATCGTCCCCTGAGTGTTGGTCATATCAGAGGCTGATTAGACTCCATTCCTATGTCCTGGCAGATGTACCCCAATAAGCTCCGTGGGTCCTATCCCTACTCCAGTGACGCCAAGATGGTGGCCTGATCAGTCCACAAGAACAGCCCTCATTGTCAGCCATCACCCTGCTGGCCGCGTGCAAATGAGGGCTCTTTCAAAGTGCTCTTTCCAGCACCCGGGGTGGCTGATTGTTCCTTCTGAGGCCCCCCCTTGTTCCCAGCAGGCAGGGCTGTCCAGTCCCGTCTGTCAGGGGTAGGCCAAGGGGGCTGTGTGCCAAGTCCTGGCAGCCGGGCACTGTGGTGCAGGAAGACGGGGGGGCGGGGAGGTGGGCTGCAGAGGGGGTGGGGTCCGAACACTGGGGTGGACCACCAGGTGCCTCTGATCGCACCTGGCTTCCGCCTTCTCCCCACACCGCGCCCCTCCACGCTGCCCCGCACACACCTCCCCCGCCGTCCTCCACCTTCCGGAACGTGGGAGAACCTTTCCCCTGCGGCCGCTCGGCCCGGCCCCGCCACCGCGGCTTACCCGGGCTTCATAATGGATGGCTCGTTCGGCAGCGTCCTTGAGAAACAACCAGTCCAACGTCTGTTAACAAGACACCCCGAGTACTGTCCAAGCCTCTGACGACTCTCCACCCCGCGCCCCGCACCGTCCACAGCAGCTGGCCGGCCTGAGCACGGGGGTCTCCGCTCTGACCTCGGCCAGGTCCCGCCTGTTTGTGGCCAGTCCGTGACCTAAGAACCATTTTCACGCTTACAAACGGTTGGGGGAAGAAAACCAGTGTTTCGTGACACGGGAAAATGACCTAAAATCCAAACGTCGGTGCCGTTAAATGAGGTGCTGCCCCGCCGCGGCGGTCTGCTTCTCCCCGACTCCAGCAGATGTGTGCACGCCCACAGAAGGGGGACGCTGGCTCTCCAGCTCTTCTCAGAGGAAGTGTGCTCACGCCCGTTCTAGAGCACACCGAGGGGCTGAGACGGGGTCTTCAGGCCGCAGAACTGGGGTGAGGGATCCCCATCATCCTGCTGTTTGCTGCTCGTCTGAAAACAGTGAATCGAGGACCCGATTGAGACGAGATTCCCGTCTTCTGGAACGACCGGTGCGCGAGTCACACGCCGCTCCCGTGGGGGTGACACTGCAGGTGCACGAAGCCTCGCCGGCTTCCGGAAACCCTAGCGGAGGAACCGGTTCTGTCCGGCACGGCTGGGCTCACCATCAGCTTCCTCTGCCTCCCGACCCTCAGAACCCACACGGGGGACCCTTGGTGGCCACGGGGACTTTGCAGCGTGGTTAGTTAAGGATGGCAACGTGGGAGCGTCCCAGATGGAGGGTGGGCACTAGATCCAATGACCAGCGCCCCTGTGGGAGGAGAGATGGGTGAGGGCAGAGGCTGGAGGGGCACCGGGGCCACCGGGAGCTGGAAGAGCAGGAAGGACCCTCCCCTGGAGCCTCCGGAAGGAGCGCAGCCTTGCGACACCGGGATTTCTGACTTGAGGTCTGCAGAACTGGGAGAGAATATGGTCCTGTTGTTTCAGGACTTCTGGTTTGGGGTCATAGGTCACGGACACCAGTGCAGTGACCATCCCACCATCTGCTGGCTCTGGTCCAGCTGGGCTGGTGCTGGCCTAGTGTGGACTGGAGAGGGCAGCAGGTGGAGTGGTGGTGAGGAGTTTGGTGAGGGAAGTGGGGCCAGGGCCTCACCCGGGGCCTTGGGTGCCATGCTGGGGAGTGGGTGGTGCGGGGACCCCCAAGTCAGGGCCTGTGGGTGCTTCAAACAACCCGCCCAACCCTGGTAGGGAGCAGCGGCCTGGGCCAAGTGGCAGGAGAGCGGCAGCAGGGGCCCCACGACTGAGGTCCCCGGGGAAGACCAGACTTGGACAGGCTGGGCTTGGAAGTATCCGGGACCCCCGGTCTGTTGGCTGGAGCCAGAAGCATGCGCAGGAGTCACGAGCGAAGGAAAGGCATCAGCGGGGAGGCGCCTGGCTAGGTTCTTTGGGAGCTATAATAAAGTCAAAACGCATTAGCCACTAAAGTCCCGTAAAGCCTGGAAACCAAGCGTCCTCTGTGGTTGTAGGGCCAAGTGGGAGCTGATGGACTACAGGGCGCTCAGCAAACAGTCTGAGCCTCAGAGAAATCGCGACACTCCTGGAAGCAACGTGCAGCCAGTCGGGCCCTGCACGCCCTCCCTGCAGCCAGCGAGCGGCCCAGGGGGCCCCCTCTCTGAGGCCCGAGAGGCCCCCTCCAGCTATCTGTCCCAGCAGCCTGGTGGGCGCACAGAGCTCCGCCCCGGCTGCTCGCGCTGCAGGCCTAGAGCACCAGCCGGGGCCCGGGAGGCTCCTCCGCGACGGAGCGGGGAAGTGACAGCACCGCTCAAGGCTACATGGCGGGGCCCTGCAGCCACACAGACGGCAACACGGACACCCATGCTGACCCAGGAAGCTGTCCCGACGCTCAGAACCAGAGAGGGCCAACGAGATACGGCGTTGTGTGCAGAAGGTCACGAATGCCTCTGAACCATGGTTCACAGGCACGCGTGCTCTGAGTGATGCTGAAACACAGAGGGAAAGTTCTGGAAGGGTGTCCCTCTGGGAAGGAGCTGGGCGGTTAGCCTCCACGTCTCCACACCACACAGTTTTACAAGAAAACCTTCATGCGCTTCTCGAGGAGGCTGCACACGAACGCTAAAACAAGCCACAGAGGATGCCCCCCACCCCCCCGACCCCCTGGAGGCCCTACCTGCTCCGGACGTCCTTGGCACGGATGGGCGCCAGGAGGCTGAAGGATTTGGCATCACAGGCCAGGGGGCTTGGGGGCCGGCCGGGGCCCAGGCTGCTGTGGGCCCGGAACAGTCTGCTCTGCAGGCGGGACTTGCAGTCGGTCGGAACTGAGTCCACCCTGTCTGCTGACCGCAGGGAATTGGAGGCCACCTTCTGGCCCACAGCCGGCAGCCTGCTGGGGCTCCCAGCCAAGGCCCCGTCCCGGTGCAGGAGGTCCAGGGAAGTGCCGATCATTCCGGAGATACAGTGACCCCACGAGTTCGGGCTCCCTCCGGCACTGCCCTGGGCCCTGCGGGATGTGGGGATTTCCTGCAAGGAGGTGCTCAGGCAGGGTGGGGAGTCAGTGTGGGTGGGCGGCCTGGGGACCTCGTCCTGCAAGGAGCCCCTAGAGGGGCTGGCCCCACTGCGCGCGGCCAGGTCCTCGTGGCTGGTTTGAAAACGCCGCCTCCTCCATGCCTTCTCGTCCAGTGACAGAGCTCGCTCCAGCCGGGGCCTCGTCGGTGGCTTTGGGGTGAAGGGTGTGGCCTTGGCTTGTGGGTCCTCATTGCTGATTTGTGCTGGAAGGTTCAGAGGGAGCACCGGGCTCTTCTCAGGGCCCTGACCGTTGTTGGTAGGCGGGGACCCTGGGTGGGCTGCGAGGTCTCTGCCCGTGTTTGGAAGCTGTCCCTTGAGCATTCTGTCTTCCGGCTGCAGATGCCCCTAAGCGGCAGGCTGCGGGGGAGATGCCTCTGAACGGCCCAGGCCCGCTAACTTGGGACAGTCTAGGGGCCAGAGCGCAGGTGATGGCAGCCCAGCGCCCCCGCCCGGGGGAGGCCCCAGGAGACAACTCCCGCTGGGCGCTGCCGGTGAAGCCCAGGGTCAGGGATGCACGGTCAGACGTCGGCAGGCAGTCACTGAGGAGAGAAGGCACAGGGGCTCCCCTTCAGGCCCGGGCCGGCCGGTAGGGGCAGGGCCCGTTGCTGCATGGCTAGGAGCCCTGAAGTCCCGCTGTCTCCCACAGGAACCTATAGGAAAACCGAGCTATTGGCCTCCCACAGCCACAGCCCCCATGCCAGGTGAATGCCCCCACGGGACCGCTGTGGTACAGGGTGACAGAGGGACAGGCCAGCAGCAGTCTAGCAAGAACACACACTGAGACGTTCGCCCGTTGCCTCCTCCTGGGAGGTGGGTGCAAGCCGGCTCTCTCAGGATGGGAAGCCACCAGGCCGACCGGCCTGCCCCTCCGTGGGGTGCTAAGGGTGACCAGGGGAGAACCATAACCCCAAGGTCAAGGACAGTGCCTGTAGCCTCCGATGGGGATGGGGGGGTCCCTGCGCCCTCACTCACCTGCGTGCCCACCCCCATCGCTCCTCCCGCAGACCCCGCCCCAAGAGAGGTACCCTCTGCAGGTTGGAGGCCAAGCCACCGCCGCCACCACCAAAGGCCCCAGGCTCAGAACCTGGGAGCCAGTGAGGCCACCGTGGGGTCCCCAGGGCAACGACGCAGCGCAGTCGGACCCCGCCCCCGGCCCCCGCCGCCGCCCAAGGGTCAACTTGAACTCCGGACTCCTGCTCCTGTCCCCGCCCGGGGGTCACCCCCACGCCCTGGACCCGCGCACCCGCCCCGTCCAGGGTCGCCTCGCGCTTCGGACTCATGCCCCCGCCCAGGGGTCACTCCGTGCCCCGGATCCGCGCCCCCGCCCCGCCCCGGGGTCACCCCGCGCTTCGGACCCGCGCCCCGCATCCCCGCCCAGGAGTCACCCCGCGCCCCGGACCCGCACCCCTGCCCGGGGTCGCCCCGCGCCCACCTCTCTGCGCCGCCCGCTCCCCGGCCCTGCGGGCCCGGCCGCCGCTCCCCGGCAACGGGCGTCTGGCGCATCCCGGGCTTGGTCCCCGCAGCGGCCCCTAGCGGCCGGAGGACCCAGCGCGCCCGCGAGCGTGAGGGACGCCCCTCCCCCGCCCTGCGGCTTCCCAGGCTCCAGGGGTGGGTGGGCCACAACTGGGCCAGGCCGGCCCAAGGGACGCACCTCACTTGCTGCCAAGGCGGGGGGGTGGGTGTGGGTGTGGGTTCCCCAGCAGACCCACCCGCACCCTGTGGAGAAGCCCCTCCTGCCCGCACCCGCAGGCAGGGGCCTTGTCCCACCCCCCCCCCCCACACCACCCCCGGTGACCCACAGACAAAAGGAAACACATGACCGCGCTTGCGAGCGCAAAATACTTTATTTACCAATTTGCAGTGTAACAATTTGCATCTAGGAAAAATAGCAGCTCCCGCCTGGCCTGGGAGGGAGCTTCTTGAATCAAAAGTTGCTGGCAGTCGGCGCAGGCAACGGTGGGCAGGCCAGGTGGAGGAAGCTGGGGGGTGCCAGGAGGGTCTGGGGTCCCAGGACCCCACTGAGTGCGGACCAAGGGACACAGAGGCTGCTGCCCGGTCAACCAGCCCTGGCCTCTCTCAAAGTGACAGGAGTAATGTACCCAGACGTGCACGTGGGTGACCCTTCCTAGATGACCCAGGGCCCCAGGGAAACGGGAGGCCTGCGCGAATTCCACAGTTATACCATTTCTGCACTTAGATTTAAAATACCAAGCAAACTACGTTCCCCAGCAGAACCTACAGAAATTATTTTCTAATGATTCTCATAAATATTTAAATCTTTTCTGCAGTTTCTTCAGAGCTAACAAGAATGTGAGTAATTTTCAGAACAGTCGATGAAGCCGTAAAGCTTGGAGTCCGGGGGGAGGGCTCTCCCTTTGTGGTTTCAGGTGGCTGGTGGTCGGCACACGACCTGCGGAAGAGCTGGTGTGGGAAAACGGAGGCAGAGCCTCAGACTCGGAGCACGTGTCAACAAAGTCGTCTCCGCCCTCTCTTCAAGATGTCACCAACCCGAGAGGACGTCAACCAGGCGAGAGAAAGCAAGGCAAGTGGATGGCGCCGTGAAGACCAGTCACGACCGAGCACAGGGTCGATGATCCCACAAAGGTCGTGGCAGCCCCTCACGGCTCTCTGACGAGGAGTCTGATCAGGCTATTCACAGCCTGGAAAAACCCAAATCCAATCTGTTACAGTGACAGTTTTAGTACTGGTGGATCCATGGGGACCAGTCCCATGTGGGATGCAGCTGTCAGAGGCAGGACCACCTCTCGTGGACGGGCAAAGCCAGGCCCCTGGGTTGCATGGGACACAAAGAAGCAGCTGGAGATGTCTCTGCTACGGACAGAGATGCACTTCAGTGACTCGGGCCTCTCTCAAAAGCTAACCAAATTCTTGCTAAACCGAGTCCACAGTTCCTTGAGGACTTTGATGCAGAAAGGACCTCCCAGGGCCGCCAGGCAGGCAGTGGGGCCTCTCCTGGCCCCAAGGCTCGCTCTTCACTCAGCGTTTTAAAGAACCCTTGGCGGGGGGGGGGGGGCCAATAAAGCACGGTTAGGTTTGCAGAGACACCTGGGTTCCTCAAGGGCAAAGTCTTTCCTGCAGCAAAGATGCCTCCAGCCTCGCCCAGCACAACGCTCTTCCACAACTGAGACTGTTTTACCCTTAAATCACTGTTAGGTGAACGAAGGAGCAAAGAGCTCCCCGTTTTGGGCAGCCTCGTACAGGAGCTGTGCACCTGACCCTGGCCACCCTTCACAGACGGTGGGGGTGGGGGAAGAGCAGGTACGGTCATGGTGGAATCACTCGTGTGCCCACTCGGGAACACAGGGATGTTGCAGGTGACCCGTCGGAGTTCTTGGGGGAGCATAATAATGATTTCAGGGTTCCAGATGCTAACTCCAGGATGGGGACCCTTCTAGCTCAACGCCGGGTATTTTCTCTGCCCAATCCTCCCCATCCTTGAGCCTCCCGAGGGGGCCGAGACCTGGAAAGACAAGGAAGAGCGCTGACTTCCACACGCCCAGCCTCCGAGGCCAGCAGCATCCCGGGAACACCCGCGAGGCTCGGGTGTGCGGGACCGTCTACACCGACCCACAGGCAGCCCCCGGTAACTGACCAGGTGGGGACCAAATCGGGCGGTCTCTTTAAAGGTGTCTGCGGTTTTGTCGGGTGGTGGGAGGGGAGGCCGATGCCGGCGGCCGCCCCAGGAGAACCCGTGGGCAGCACATAGGCATTTACCTCTGCCCCCTTGCAAATCCTAGCGGCAATGAACATCAAAGAATTTGTGTAAAGCACAGGCTACAAGATGGAGGTAACAGGATAGGAAAAAAAAAAATCTTGGAGCAGAAAAGCAGATGCGCGGCGGCCAGGTTGTAACTTGAGTGGGACGTGGTAGCCCTGAGGTCGGGGTGGCGAGGTGCCGAGGGAGCAGGTCTGGCCACCCCAGGCAGTGAGGGCAGGGGCCGCACCAGGACACCTGGGCTCAGGTGAGAGTTTACATCCTGAATGCCAGGACGACCCTTCCCCCCTCCTCGGCTCTCCCCAAACTGGCAGCCAGTCTGTACACTACAGGCAAGAACTGGGAATGGAAGAGGGAGAAGGCAGAGGGAGAGAACCACAAGGGAACATTCAAGAACATTCCCCAACTGCAGGACATGGGCTGGCAGGTGAAGGGCGGCCAAGGCCAGCACGTGGGAGTCAGACCCAGGCCCACGGCGCAGTGTGTCAGCAGGAAAGTGCAGGAGCCCCCGCTAGGCCAGGAGCAGGGGAGGGGCAGACCAGGGAGAAGGGGCACGGGCGCGGTGGGTCACGGCACGGGCTGGGGGACAGGAGGGCACTGACCTGTGCAAACTGAGCAGGGCTGTAGAAGGGCACGGCTGCCCCGGGAGTGGCCCCTGCAGGGGGGTGGTCACTGGAAGCCTGAGAACCACAGAGAGCCCGTGTCAACACAGTGCTGTGACAGCAGTTTACTCCCTTCGTGAACACAGACACTACTCCTGGGGGACTGTTTACAGTGCTCTAAGTAAGCCACCGAAGCAGGTCGAAGACACTTCTCGCAACACTGGATTTAATTACGTCAGGTTCACGGGAAAATGGTTAAGACGTAAGGCAGCATGCAGAGAGAAACGCCTTAAAACCAGAACATGCAAGAACGAGGAGTGCACGGCACCAAGACGTCCCATTAGCGTCGACTTTAAGCAGTTAGTAAGCATTTTTGATTACTTCAGACCTCCGGTATCCAGCTATCAAATCCAGTGTTTTAGTATGCAAATAAAAAGGTCACACGAAGCCTTCTATTGAGCCAATGGAAACGCGTTGTTCCACGATACACAGAAAAGATGAGGCATTCCTTTATCTCCCGCCCAGACTGGCCAAAGGACAGCTTCCCGCCGCCCTCGGCCTGGCCTACGAGACGCTGTCTCGCACTCAGTCAGAGAACCGGAAGTCCCTCCTGCCCCCGGCGGGCTTCTGAGACCCACTCACACACGGCGAGCCGACGCCGGAGGCCGGCCATGTGGAAAAACCAATCCAGAAAGAACACAATTACAAGACTGCAATCATTCACTAGGACCATTTTGGGGTCCAAATGCTTGTCAGTGCATCTGGACGGCTCCCGACTCCCCGAGGGCCCTGGGAGAAAGGAACACTGCATCGTCTGACGTGCGGCGGACGGGGAGGCAGTGGGGTGCGTTAGCGACAAGGGCACGGCGGCCGGCCAGCACAGCGCTCTCAGAGGGAACACAAAGGCGACCCAGTTCAACTCGTGTTCAGTGAGAACCGCCAGCCACAGGTACCTGATAAAAATGCTGGCTTACTTCACGTGATAATGAACTCATTGAACTACAGCGTGAAAGCTACAAAACAGCAAGAACACACACAAAACACAGACAAATAAAAAATCAACATGCATGTTGCTGCTCCAAGCAGTCAGTTTAACCCCAGAGAGCTTCATGACGCTGTTAGAATCAGTACAGTCCAAATGGGAGAAAAGCCAGAGTTAGCTTAAAACGCCTACTTTTGTGGACAGTTTTTATGAAGAACACGCCACTAGCTGGGGGCCTTCGGCGGCCCTGCCGTGTGAGCAGAGCCTGGGGTGTGTGTGCTCCAGCTCTGCTCGACGTGGGGCTCCCGGGCAATTCTGCACAGACAACTGGGACTGTCTGTTGTGTGAACACGACACCTTGCAGGTTCTAAAAAGCTGCTAAACCGCCTTTTCCGACTCGTCAACACTCGCTTTTAAAAGAAGCCACTTGGACAATACACACGAGTGAAGTGCCGGGTCTGGCTTCGGGGAAGGTCCTCTCCTACGGGGAGCGCCTTACCTCTCCTCCCTGGGAGCTGTCCTCACGGGTGGGTGGGAGCTCAGGGCCGGAGAGCGACACCGAGGAGCCGAACGCCTATCAGAGGAAGAAGACATGCAGTCCTCCTCACTGGGCGGAACGACACGGCCCCCCTCTGGCCCTGGCGCCGAGGCGCTCCACTCCGTGTAAAGCATCCCTCTGAACAGCTGCAGGGCCCACGGGCTCCACTGCGGACGGACGGCCCATCTCTAGGGAACACGGACCCTGGGCCCTGCGAAGGCATTATCACCCCATCCTCGAGCAGGGAACAGGCTTTGAGGAGTTACATAACCCCTTACTTAAGTGTTAAGCAGCTCATCAAATGGGGAACCAGGCTTGCAATCCACTGTGTCCACCTCAGACACCAGACTCTGAATGATCCTATTTCACGTGCAAGTTCCCAAATTTAAAAAAACATCTCTATGACACAGATTTCAGTAACCATGTGCACATGGTTATACTCTGCTGCTCTTGAGGACCTCTGTTCAGGGGAGAGAGACTTCCGACAGACACAGACTCGGCCCCTGGGTGCACAGCGGGCCTGATGCAAAGGTCGGGGCCAACTTTCCTGGGCAGGGTGCAGGGCAAACCCTCACCGACCTCCTGCCTGTCCTGTGTCCCCGCTCACCTGGGGCTCCGAGGCCGGCTCTAGGTTGGCCGGACCCCCTGCGGGCGCCTGCCCTTCCCTGCTGGCCCCCTCTGCAGGTGGGGCTTCCTCTGCGTCTGTGAAGGGGACAGTGCGGGAAGCTGTCATTCCATCTAAAACACTGCTGGCCTTACATTTCCCACAGTCCCACTCGTGGGGGACAGGGAAAGAAGCCCGTGAACAAGCAGATGAACCCAGGCTCCCTGCACATCGGCCCGGTCACTCTTCCTATGGGAGATGAAAGCCGGAGGCTCTCAGAAAAAGGGTCAGAGGTCAGAAGGTCCTATAGTGCCTACCTGGGTTTGGTCCGAACAAGTGAGCAGGAATTGGGAGCGGGGCAAGAGGAGCAAAAAACTCAGCAGGAGCAAGAGCTGGTTCACTCCGCTGGGGCCCCCCCGGGTTTAAAACATCCACGTAGCGTGCTCTGGCTCCAGCTGGGCCGGGAGAAGCGGCAGATTCAGGTCAGCGCCCCACATGACCCCGCTCCCCGGGGCCCCCCCTTCCCTGAGCGGGAAAAGCATGCAGGGATGCGACTTTCCACACAGCACAGCCCGGCTGCCACCTGGGGGAGGTGCCCGTCCAGCACTTCGAAGCCACCAGCTCGGGGGCTACTGAGCAGGGCTCTCACGCTCTAGAGAAGGGGAGCTCTCCCTACGGACTCGCCCGCAGAGAACCAGGATGCCCCTGCAGACAGATGGACCGCCATCTGACCCATATACTTACGGTCCCTAAGCTCTGGTATCTCTGGAGAACAAGCAAGTTCTCAAACCAACTCTGATCTCCAGCTTGACTTTGTTACCTGCTTTCCTAGAAAACATGTTCACAGCGGCCCTCGGGGGCCCTCCAGGACCGGGGGGTGCAGCGAGCGGAGCCTTGGGGAGCGAGGTTGGTGGTGGGGGTGGAGCCTTCTTCTGCGGAGGGAAAGCGGCTCAGAGACCCTCCTGCGGACCCGAAGCCGCCGAGACGGCATGGGGAGCCGGGGCCCAGGGAAGCGCAAGGAATTCTGACTTACCTCCTCCTCTGGCTCATTTACATCCACCCATCGGTTCTTCTTTTCATCCCAGACGATCTACCACGATTGTGAAAAGTAACGGAAGACGTCAGGAGGCAGAGCTGAGCAGAAGCAGCACCTGCTTCCTCCCGACACGGCAGCCTCTGGGAGACGAGACCCTGGCCTGCTTGGCGACCACTGTGCACAGGAGCCTGCGCGCCCCTCAGGGCCGCCCTCCACGACACTCACCGATTTGTTCTTGTCATCTGGCAAGTAAGCTTCGGTCCTTTTTTTCCCAGGAAGCCAACGAGAGAACCAGGATTCACTACTCTAAATGTAAAAACCAGCAGAGCCACCTTGAGGACACGGTGCTGGGTGAGGTGAGCCCGGCACAGAAAGACAGACCCTGAGGATCCACTCCCGGAGGCCCCAGAGGAGTCAGACCCACAGAGGCGGGAGGGGATGGTGTGCAACGGGGACTGAGGTCCAGTCTGAGAAGACAGGTCCTGGAGAAGGGCGGAGAGGGCGGCTACAGAGTAGCGTGCGTCGAACGCCACAAAACCATGCCCTTAAAAATGGTTAAAATGGTAAGTTTTATGTTATGTGTATTTTACAATTAAAACATCTGAACAGTGTGCCTTTTGGAGCTTTTCCTGTCTAAATGGCAACGAATGGCAGCCTCTGGCGTTCTCCTGGACTGAGCAGTGGCCAACAGACTCGGAATGTCCTCATGGGCCCCCCCTCAAACACAGTCCCCCGCCCCGTGTCCTATACTGGGAGCAGTTAGGTGTCAGGGACGTTTACTTCAATCCCTGAAGGCCATACTTCAACTAAAACACAGACCAACGAGGAAGCAGCAGGTGCGTGTGCTCTCAAACCCGCCACCCTGAGTTCCCCAGCGGAGGGTGACACGGGTCTGCACGCTCACGACCGGTCAGCGACTCATATTCCGGCTCAGGCTCACACACGCTCTGAATTAAATTTGTGTTTCCTTACGATGCTCATCATTAAGGGGCGCCTGGGTGTCTCAGTCGCTTAAGTGACTCTTGGTTTCGGCTCAGGTTGTGATCTCAGGGTCATGGGATCGAGCCCCACGTCGGGCTCTGTGGGGAATCTGCTTGGGTGTCCCTTTCCCTCTGCGCTCCTCCCCCACCCCATGCTTGCTCACTCTCTCTCTAAAATGAATGGATAAATCTTTAAAAAAGAAAAGACGCAGGGCGCCTGGGTGGCTCAGTCGTTAAGTGTCTGCCTTCAGCTCAGGTCCATGATCCCAGGGTCCTGGGAGGGAGCCTGGCGTGGGGCTCTCTGCTTGTTAGGGAGCCTGCATCTCCCTCTCCTGCTCCCCCTGCTTGTGCTCTCTCTCTCACACTCTCTCCCTCTCTCTGTCAAATAAATAAATAAAGTCTTAAAAAAAAAGACACTAACGGTTAAATAAAATTTGATACACCAAACTGTATGAAAATTAAGAATGTGTCCTGCATAAACGAACATTAAGAGAGTAAAAAGGCAGTCCGCAGACTGGGGGAAGAAGATACTGGTGAAGCACACATTTCACAGAGGACGTGTGGCACAACAGTCAAGTGGGAGAAGACGCAAGCCAGCACCACACAGGGAGACACACAGGTGGTAACAGGTACACGAGAAGGGTGCTTGGCGCACTAGCTTGTGAAGCAAAGCGACACCAGGAAGGGCCACAAACCCCCGCCGTGGAGAGGCCCGACCCTGTGTGTGCGGGGCCAAGGACCTCCAGGCCAGTGACGAGCAATGACTGGGCCTCTCTGGCTCTGCTGGGGGGAGGTCGCCTGGCACAACCACCCAGGAAAACTGGTGGCACCTTCGCACACCGGACGCACAGTGTCCTGGGCCCTAGGCACACCCCATGAGAAACAAGTGCTTTCACCAACAAAAGACAGAGAAGAACGCACATACGGCTTTTACAGAACAACCCCAAACTGAAAGAAAGGCCAATGTCCGCTACTGAGAAAAAAAGGATAAATAAAATGGTAGCATCTGCATACAAGAGATACTAGGACACAATGGTTTTTAAAGATTAACCCCCTTTATAAGAAGTTCTGGGACAGGTCCCAAAGTCAGAAGAGGCCACCCTCTAGGGGGGGTTCTGACAGGCCACGGACACACGGGGCCTCCTGGTCCCGCTCCAACTGTGCTCTGGCCGGTGGTCATATGGGGACACGGACACTTGAACGCTCATGAAGCTCTGCACGCTCCACTGGACGCTCAGGACATTCGGAAAGCCTTTGCCCCGCTGCCAGTGTAGGAGGAAAGCTGTCTGTGGGAGCTGCACCCCCTCCCCGGGCCCCGGGCCCCCACCCTGCTGGAGCTGGGCCATGCGTCACCTTCTTGGGCTCCTTGGCCTCTCTCCTGGCAGCTGGCGCAGGTCTCTTCACTTCAGGAGCGGCTGTCGGCGGCTGCATGGCACTGGAGCTGGCACGCTCCCAACCCGGGGGGGCCTCAGAGCCCTGCGACATCCTGGAGGAGCCCTGTCCCAAGGCAACATGGGGGCAGGCTCGCCGGGGCACCTCCCCAGGAGCCTTTAAGACATTGGCGAGTGACGCGAGCAGAGTGAGGAGGGGTGGGGGACAGCTCCCCCTGCTTCCCGCCTGCTCTCACAAGCAACCGAATCAGGGCGCACAGCAGGACTCCACACGGGGGGGGGGGGGGTCCACTGGGCACTACGGGGCTAGAAGAAGGGGTGTACATGAGTGCACCAAGGTGACGCTGGGCAGAGAAGGGGAGGGGGCGTTTTAAGACACAGACTTGTTTTTTTTCCAAAATACGTATGGCTGAGCGAAAACCCTGTTTTCCATAAACTCTCATTTTACATAAGAATAAAGTATTGTCATGGGAGAACGCCCAAGGGAGTCTAAGGTATAGCAAGTGCCTATGATGGCATGGCCACGAAGGCCCAGTTTGTCAAGAAGGCTTCGGGACACCCTGCGCAGAAAAGCACATGTCCCTCCCTGGGACAGCAACAGAAGGAGGCGCTCTTTCTAGCAGACGTCTGTGAGAATGGCAACGAGGACTTCAAGAGGAGCAGTGAAGTTTCAGGGGTCCTGCTGCAGAGAGACGGCTGCAGGACTGGGGAAGCCTCTCCGTGCCGGAGAAGTCGCCATCAGCAACCAACACGGCCTCCCGGGAGGGGACTGTCTGCACCTTGAAGCGCCCCTCCCCCCTCATCAGTGCTTTGCACTGACCCCTCTCGCTGCCAGGTCTGCACTACACCTTACGCGTGCTCTCCTGCTGAAGAGCAGCTTAAAAGAATTTCGTGGTTTTCACTGTTCTTCTCTTACCACAACTGGAGAACGACAAGTTCGGGCTACTAATTAATGCAACTTATGGAAAACAAAGAGCTTGGGGGGAAAAAAGTGGGAGAGTACCAGATGAGCAAAATTTCCACCAAAACCCTCTTCTCTCAGCTCCAGAAGCGAGTTTCTCCCAAGAGCCTCCGGTGGCATCACCCCTGTCAACAGAAGAGAGGCCCACTGCGGTCTCCGTGTCGCCAACACAGGACAGGAACTGACATGACGCGCTCGTGACACAGTGCAGCTTCTCACAGGGCCACCGCGGTGCTCAGAGTCCGGCGGGGTGTACATTTGGCTTTGTTCAAGGGCACAGAGCCGGACCGGCACACAACAGGCATGAGAAACCCCACGAGGGACTGCGGAGCAGGCTCTGGCCCGGGCACACCTCATGGCCAGCCCACCACACCCCGACACCCAGCTGAGTCCCGGAAGAAAGCAGCACTGATATCAACGAGCCCTCCAGCCTACGGCTTCCAGAACGCTTTGTATGCACTGACAAACAGAACCTGTCTCAAGTTCAAATGACTGAAGGCTCTTCCACCAATCACCTCCTTCAACACGAAACCCAACAGAGCTCTGCTCTCAGGACGGCACTGCAGCAGGCCTACCTGGGTCCTGGCTCCTGGCCTCCTGGGGCGTGTGCTCACTTTCCTGTAGAGATGGTGCAACAGGTGGCAGGCCAGGCCCCGCGTACGGAGCTACAGGGTCAGGCCCAGAGGGCTCTGGAAAGCCAAGGGCAGCCCCTGGGGATCCACAGCCAGGCCCCAGCTCAACAGGGCCTGGGGGTGGGGGCACCGGGAACAATGGCACCCTGGCGGGGAGGGCCGGCTGGCTGTCGGGGTGGGCCGGCGGAGCTGCACCAAGAGAGCGAAGAACAGAAGCCTGAGGTACTGGCGCTAACTCCGGGCACTCGAAGAAGCTAAATGGCAGTCACTCAACAGTTTATCACATGTCCCTTCGTGTGGCCACGTTTCTTTCGTTACGGGATAAGAGAACCAATCATCAAAGCAGAGAGTGCTGACGATGCCAGGGCATCGATGGTTTGGGGAAAAGCAGAATATACACTTTTTAGGGACAAGGGGAGGACATCATTAAATGTCATGTGTGGCCTGGACCCTGACCCCCAGCGAGACCCCAACACAACCTGGGGAGCAGTGGCCTGAAAGAGAGTTCGGTGTTCACTGAGCCCTCCCCGTCCCCCTCCTCCCCCTCCAGGGCTCAGCAGGCCACGCACCCACTCAGACGAACGTTTTAAGGCCGTGAGACCCGACAGGCTCACCGAGGGAGCAAGCATGGGGAGAGGGAAGGCTGACGTGCTGGGAGGACACGTCCCCTCCACTCTCCTGCGGGCAGAACGGCAGTGTTCCATGTTCGGAAGCAGTGGCTGCGAGGGGAAGGTGGGGAGGCCCGCTGCTTCTCCAGCTGTACGGGGCTCACCTGAAGGCAGCAGCCGCACCCCCTGGCCCAAGTGCTCAGCACTGGGCCCAGGCGGTGCCAGCAGCGGATTGCCGGTGCCCGGGCCCCCTGGCTGGGTGGGCGCTGGCCCGTTGTACTGCCCCGCCTCGGAGCTCGGGGTGCTGGGACAGCGCTGGGGGAAAGTCCCGTCCCGACTCCACGCCATGGCGCCCTCCTGACGGAGAAGAAATGGCAGGCATTTCTAAGAGCCTGACACGGCGCCGCCTGGCCCCGCCGACCCGCTCACTGTGTCCGGGCTTCAGGAGGAGCGTGAGCGCTCTGACCAGCGTGCACACTCCTAAAATCGTACCCTTCACACCGAACACGCTCGGTGTGAAAACGACGGGGGCGCGAACCACACTTGTCAGCATGTCTCTGACATCCTGTCCCCTGAGACTGAGGGCACACTTCACACCTTGACCTGCTTGTCCACACACTGCAGCTGGACCAACCAGGCGGGCTCAACAAAGGCCTCCTCCTCCGGCTTCTCTCTCAGCTGCGGGTCGAAGAGCCGCAGCTGGGACGCGATCTGGACACACAGGGAGGAAAGAGTCCTGTTACTATCCGGCATGACAAGGAAGACCGTGTTTTCGAAACCTACCATCATCCGGAACAAAAAGCATCCTCAGGGTCCAGTGAGATAGTTCCCATCACATAGGGTTTCTGAAGCATGTGATGACCTGCCCTGAAACCTCGCACATACTGCCGAGTCATTGGAAAGGGTGCGTGGGACCTAGAATTCGCTCTAGCGAGTCCAGCAGCCCGTGTGCACAGAGGCCGCCACCAGCACCTGGGCCCCCCGGAGCAGACTTTGCTGCCCTCATCATCGACTACACAGACTTGGCTTTACTGATCAAAATGCTGAATGGATCCAGAACCGCACACACTCTGATGGGCGGTGGCGGGTGTGGGGACAGTGCAGGATGGCAGTACGATGAAACCAGGTGGCCTTAGGTAGACAGCTCCTGAAGCTGCGGGAAGGAGGACTTGCTAATTATTCTATTTCCTTAGACGTCTGAAACTTCCCACAGTAACACTTTCTCAGGTTATCATGTGAGCGTGTTTCCTAGAATGAAGCTCCTCGGGGGAGGGGAACAGAGGCATCCTTGCGCCCTGGGCGCCGGCCGGCCCTGTCCTGTTTGCACCTCACTCACTCCTGCAGGCTGCTCGTGCGGTGTGTGTTTTACAGAGCAAGAAACCGAGGCTGGCACTGGAACAGCGTGGACCCCAACCCAGGCTGCTGGACTCCGGAAGCTCATGCTGTTAACCGCTAGATTCAACCGCTCCACAGTGAGTTTCCTGGAGATGGGGTCCTTCTTCCTTCAAAGCTTATGGCCCAGCTTCTGTAGTGGGGTAAGGTCTCTGAAAACTTCCTAAGCTGACAGGCAAAACACCCACTACCTGCCCAAGAGCACCTGAATTTCTAAGCTGTTGAAGAAGGAAGCCCCGAGTGTCTACATGGTCAACAGCTCAGTCCCCAAGTCCAGTGATACTGACTCGCCCATGGGGTAAATGCTGCTGGAAGGACATTCAAGCAGACGTTACCTGAACCAGCTGGCTGATGAGCACGGGCGAGTGCTTGTGCGGCTGCAGCAGGATGCTCTTGGCAATCACCTCGCAGTAGTGGAAGGCCTGTGTGGCCAGCCCCATTTCAGCCAGGCGGCAGGAGTAGATAAACTTGAACACCTGGGACAAGGGAGCACAGCACAGTCGTCCCAGCACGCCTCCCCAGCCCCTGCGTCACCCGACAGCCCCCCAAGCTGGAGCTCCTCTGGCACCTTGTGTGCCTCACGTGTGCCCCGAGCCCCGCCACAGCACTGAGCTCCAACCCCAGAGGGCTTTTAGATGAAAGTTGCAACCAAGCTTCTTAGAAACTCACTTTTCCTGTTCAACACACTTACTAGGCTGGTCACGAGGGGCTTGTCACCACGAGCGCCCGGGCCAGCCAGCATGGCAGGACGGCTGTCCCCACTAACACTGCGCTACACAATGTTTACACCACACGCCCCCAGACCAGATAACACTCTGCCCGAGACGCTAAAAACCGTGGACAGAAACTACTGGAAACCATATCCTCAAGAAACATTTTAAATGCAAAGGAAATCCTCAATTCAATAGAGCTTACTTCTCAAGCATTACAGATGTCTCCCTAAGATTTCCAAAAACACTAACACTTTTTGTGTAAGAGCTCAAAAGCCCTCAACAACCAAAGATTTGCTAGCACTGACCACCCCACTCGTAAAAACCACGGACCAGCGTGGCTCCAGCTTACCTGGAAATTGGGGAAGGAGCAGGTCTGTGCCCCAAGAGACTGGGCATATTCATAGGCTTCTGTCCTCTGAATAGCTTCATTGGATGCAAACTTTGAAAACGGCAAACTGTTGAGGGAAGAATTTTAATCCTTGAGCAAGGCACCCAGAAGCACATCATGCCATGTGATCAACACCTCGTGATCAAGATGGGAGGCTGTTGCCGCCGGGTGCACATGCGCCGTTTCTGGGTTAGCTGATGGAGAGATGCTTCCTTTCTAAAGAAAAACAAATACCTTGACGTTCCTCACCTGTGGTTCGATCCAATTAAGACGAGTTTTGTGGTTTTCTTTGTATAAACCCCCAACCCGACCTGGGCCATGAGGTAGCAAAAGTGTGCAGCATCTAAGAGACCTTTTGAAGCTGAGGAGACATAAAGCAGACCAAGACTCAGTGACTGCAAGTTCTACCAGAAATCTTAACACGTGGACAGCAAACACCAGAGAGGCCATACAAATGGAAAAGCCCCGTGGCCCTCCACACCCCGACAGCGGCCCTCACGCCTAGGCGTGCTGGGTGCCCCCACCTGCACCCGGCCTACCCAGAGTGTCACCCATGGTGGCCATCGCCCGGGACTCCACATCCACGTTGCTGCTCAGGTTGGACAAAACCATAGCAAGATGCGGCCTCCAGTCTCCCCACTTCTCATCTCCGCAACACTGAGGTCAGAAAAAAGCAAAACAAAATAAACCCTTAGGCTTGGAAGAGATCGTCACTTCCATCTCGTCATGGGTGAGTTCACAGAGCACAACGCAGAAGCTGGAACAAGAGAAAGTGCAGACCATGCGGCCCAGGAGGCAATCTGTCACAGGATCAAGCCCGAACAGGGAGCGGGGCCGCGGGGACCCTGGGGAGAGCCCTGCACACTGACCGTGGACGCAGCAGGCATCCGCCCCGACATCAGCTGGTACACTGTCTGCAAAGGGTCGTTGATTGGAAGACTGTTGGCGAACCTAGGCAGATACGAGGAGAGAAAGAGCTAAGTCGGCCCTATTTAAAAGACAAGCAGAAACAAGCCCGGTCTCATCTTGGCCCTTTGATGACCGTCGGGTGCCTGACCCAGGCAAAGTGCACAAAGCCCAGTATTTGAACAAAAGAATAAAGGAAATAAAGACTAAGGAATTCGTGGTGGTTTCCCAGAGCATAGAAAACTCTGCAGTTAAAAAAATGTTTACAAAGCCCTCAGCGGTCCAACCGCAGGGAAGAGGGCCCAGCAAGCCCGTGCCGGTGTGACAGCAGCATGGTGCAGAGAACACGCCCCAGCTTTCTGTGACAAGGGCTGCAGGTCACTGTGCTTCCAAGAGCTGCCCAGGCAGCGCAAGTGGGCCAGCAGGACGTGCCCAGAAACAGTCTACACAGTAAGATTCTCTACCTGGTCATGACGCGGGCGTGTGTCCGGCTGTCCATCTTACTTGCAAGTAACAGAGCATGACCCCATAAGGCATTTTTCATGGCAGACTCTAAAGCATCCTGCAAAGCATTTTAGTGGTTACCTGAGTTATCAGAACAACTTCGGTGACATACGTGAGCAGAAGCAACGGCCCGTGTGTCGTTACACACAGTGGGGGGGGGGGGGGCGGGGAGAGGGGCCAGAGTGCACATGAAGGAAGGTGTGAGTCACGGGCCTGCCAACACACGCGCCCGGTTCAGACAAGAAGGAGAAGCCCGCTTCTCCCAATCTGCCCTAGTTGCAAAGTCCCTGTGGCAGTGGGTCTGCGAAGGCTTTGTTGCTTTGTTCTCTGCTAGCAAGCAGCGAGCGTAGGGAAGGAGCACACGGATGAGGAAGAAGGACGAGCGAGCAGCAGTCCTGCCACTTCGGACTGTCCCTTCCACTGTGAGCAATGCCACCGGCAAGCATCCCCAGTTCCAGAACGACACACAAGGCCTCCATGAACACCATCTCAACACGGACAGAGCCTTTACTAACGCGGCCTCCCCTGCGTCCAGAATCATCTGGGGTAGCAGTCAAGAGGACAGCCTCTTCAAGGAGATGGATGTGTCACGGTAGAGGAAACGATAAGCAAACCTGACAGATTCTACAGTTCCGATCCGTCGTACGACGTCCACATGAGGATTGTTTATTTACCAAATACGAGCTTTCTGAGCACATCACGACGTCAAAGTACTAAGAACTCTGGGCCCGTGAGAGCCCAGCCACCAGAGCGCAGGCGCGGCCATCCCTGGGTCTGCACAGTCCCGGGGAGCTTCCCCAGCACACGCGCGCTCCGTGGCCTGCAGGGCTTGGCACCCACCCAGTGCACACCCCGCTGAAGAGACAGTGAACGCACGCCTAACTGCGTGAGGACAGCTGGCTTTCTGTCCCGCGCACGGGTGTGTCCCTGAGAAGTATACGCAGCAGGGGTGCGGCCAAGCACAGGCAAGTCTCCGACCCTGGCGACCCCTGGAAGAGGGCTCTGCTACCGGAAGCAGACACTCCGGACACCAGATGCTCTTCACGGAACGAGCCCGCGGCGCCGGGCCAAGGTGCCACCGCGCCCAAGAGCAGGACCGTGCACGCCAGGGCCCGCCCGGGGCCTCACCTTCTTGCGGCCGTACAGCAACAGCTCCCGGAACCTCTCGGTCTCCCTTTCAAGGGCACTGCTGCCGGCTGCCTGGCTGTCAGTGAGAAACGAGAGCTGGGCCTCCCCGGACTCCTCTTCCTCCGCTTGCTCCACGGCCTCGTTAGTGAAATCAATCAGGTTGGCCTCGTTGGGTGACTTCCCAGGAAGCCACGCGGTTTTGTGGTCTCGTAACAAAAGCTCCGCGAGGTCTGTTCCCACCACGGTCTGCAGGGGCCGCGGGGGCAGGAAGGAGAAGAAAGCGCATCACTACACACGGAACTTACCGCAGGCGTCCCGGGATGGGTGAGGCCCCCAACAGGACTCCTCAAATGAGCACGTTAAAATCCCACGGGCACAAGCCACTGCTCACGACCTGGCCAGGAGCAGGACGGACAGACCACAGATGACCTGACAGGCTGACAGAGGCAGACCCAACCACACGCCCTTGAATTCCACTCCCTGAAATCACCGCTAAGACACTTCCTGAGCGAGCCCCTGGATGGGGACGCTGCTCGCTGCCCACAGCTTGGCACAGAAATCCCGCCCACGTCCGCCGGGGGGGGGAGGGGGCGAGACGGAGGCCAACAAGAAACCTACCCCATTCTGTCTGCACAAGAGAACAATGAAACTCCAAAGGAGACTTGCAGACTCTTTGTCAATTAAATTTTCGTTCTGCAAACATTTTGTAGCTTTGTTCTGTGCAAAATTAATAACATCCACTTTATGGGTGTCATCTCTGAAAAAAGAACACACACTCAATGGACAGCAGCAACTGCATCTGCAAGGCTGGGCGCAGCGGCCGCCTCCGCACGGCCGTCGTGGGCTGCTGGACAGGGCACGTACTTGCCGAGCGGTCCTGGGAACGAGCGCAGCTCCTTCTGCTCTGGCATGTGCTGCAGCAAGGTCTGAGGCACAATGGGGGGGGGGGGGACAGAGAGAGAGCAGCTCACGGGGGGCAGGTGCACATCCACGCCTGCCCGCGTCTGCCGGCTCCACTGGACCCCCACGCCCTCACCGAGTGCCAGCCTGCCTGCTTTACCACCGTGATTTTCAAACTCTACGTCTCCCCTCCAACTGAGGCAGGGCCCTAATACATGCACAGAAGAGGCCTGCCAGGCCCGCAGAACAGGGCCCCCCACCCCACCTGCCACCAGATCACGAAGCTCCTCTACCCGTGACCAAAAGCCACGAGATGAACACGAGCAGGGTCCTCCCTGCTAAACCAGAAACGCGAATGAAGACAAAATGAATATGCAAAGAAACGAAGACTAATGTAACACCTGACGCGAGTACTCAAAGTCCTGACCTCTGAGGGGAGAAACGACCCAGCACGATAAAAAAACCTATGACCTAAAGATTCATGGGAAAAAAACATCTTCCAAGGTCACTTATTCAGAGGGCTGTCTTGCGATGCAGAATTTCTACTCACGCAATTACCTCCATGCTGTGAATTTCAACCAATGCAGGCTGTCCTTCCGAAGGCAGATTTGGAATCACTTTAATGAGCTGACCCCCAGGACCGAACCTGGCACAGACATGAGGCACTGAGAACTTCTCAGGAGAAGTTGGTCTTGATGGAGCTACATTTAAATAAAGTGAGAAAGAAACAACCAGCTTGTCATTTTTTAATGCTTCTGGACCAGGGGCGCCTGGGTGGCTCAGATGGTTGGGCGTCTGCCTTCGGCTCAGGTCATGGTCCCAGGGTCCTGGGATCGAGCCCCACATCGGGCTCCCGGCTCAGCGAGGAGCCTGCTTCTCCCTCTCCCTCTGCTTATACTGTGTGTGTGTCTCTCTCTCTCAAAATAAATAAATAAAGATCATAAAAAAAAAAAAAAAAATGCTTCTGGACCAGATCAACAGTACGGATTTTCAAGGTACCCATATGGCTGGAATCCTAGGTTAGACTGGTCACGATGACCTGGCTTTCAACTGGAAGGTAATAATTATTAAATATCCCATCAAAAAGGAGAACTTAGGCATGTGTCAGAAGAATGTTTCAGGGGCGCCTGGGTGGCTCAGTCGTTAAGCGTCTGCCTTTGGCTCACGTCATGATCCCGGGGTCCTGGGATCGAGCCCCACATCGGGCTCCCTGCTCAACAAGGAGCCTGCTTCTCCCTCTCCCACTCCCCCTGCTTGTGTTCCCTTTCTTGCTGTCTCTCTCTCTAATAAAATCTTTAAAAAAAAAAAAAAAGAAGAAGAATGTTTCGATTGTTAAGAACGAGAACCACTCTCTTCTGAAAACAAAACTTCTTTAAAACAGCCCCGTGCACTGAGCACAGGCTACTCGGAAGCAGCGTCTGGCCACCGGCTGCTCGGAGGCCCCACCAGAGCATCCGTGTCCCCAGCTCTCCTCAGAGGCCGGCTCCTGGCAGTGACAAGCACGGGGCACCCACAAGGACGACAATGGCAGGATGCCTGAAGTGCAGAGAGATTTTCGCAGGACGTGACACACACTGTTGCACTTCTCTAAGGAAAAGCATTTGATGGAACAGCTCCGAGAGGAGCTGAGAACGTGGCACAGGTGCCAAGTCCACGCACAGGAGCTTTTCAAGGGGAATTAGGAATGTCCCCACACAAACTGCTTACCCAAGTGGCCAGCACTGGGGAACACAGTGCAGCTGCACCCAGGAAGCTGGCAGGGAGCCTGTCCTTGGAGCCACACTGACGTGGCCACTATGGACAGGCCAGGCAGCTCTCAGCCGCTGTGACAAGCTCTGTGATTCACAGCAGCCCGTATTCTGCACAGAAGACCAGGCCAGGCCATTGCCGACTCCCATGCGAGCGGAAATCCACTCCCTCCATCACCCCAGGCTTGGGAGGCTGCCCCAGCAGTATGCCTCGACATCCCTTTGTACCTACGAGAGCACAGGGCCCCAACCAACACACACACACACCTCGCTCCGCAGTAGGCCAGCCAGCTTCGGCAGGGTAACCGTACTCTGGGAAGCCCTGGGCACTGCCGAAATTGCTGCCGTAGGCGCCGTAGGCATACTGGCCAGGCAAGGAGCCGGGGGGGTGTGGGGCCTCATAGGGAACAGCAGTCACACTGTGATTTCTGTAAATCTGACTCTGAGAAAACATAGAGCAAACGGGAAAAATCAACTCCCGGAAATGCGGGGGCTCGGGCGTGCAGTCATGCGGGAAGGGAGGGGGAGAGCGCTCCCACCTGATGCGAGTGGGAGCTGAAGCTGCTGCGCAGGCTCTGGGCTGAGCGCTCGCTGTGCACGCTGCGCCTGTCCACCTCCTCCCCGTAAGGGTCCCTGTGGGGCTCGGGGTCGTCATCAAAACTGCCAGTGAAGCGAGGGTCGTACCTCCAGGGGTCATCGTACCTCTCCGGCCTGGTGGAAGCAGGGACAGAGGCGAGGAAAGGGGAGTGTGGGTGGGTGACTCCAGGACGACAGCCTTTTGCTACCCAACAGTGAGGCCCCACCACCAGAGTCGTGACCCTCAGACCAGTCAGAGCCTACCCTTGGAAGAGTGGCCACATCCCAAGCCCAAGGTCAAATCCCTGCCTTCAGATCTGGAGAAACATCCTTCAAGTTCATGCTGCGTGCGGCCACGCCTCTCCCAGACCCAAGAAGAGGAGGAGCCGACTTCCAGCACCTGTGCTGAGGCCAGTTCCCCTCCAACAGCCCAAGTGGGAACTGCCAGGAGGGCCTGGTTCATCCTTCTCTTTCAGACAGTGACCCCAGTGTCAGCTGCTCACCAGGATCCCAAACACAAGTGCAGCTCGGGTAAATGACAAACCCGAGGCCAGAGACGCAGGAGCGAAGCTCTGGTTACGAGCAACCCTTCTTATCAAAGTGCACTGTACCAACCTGTCGCCATAAGCATAGTTTTCTTTCCTGTATGCATCGTATTCAGCATCATACCAATACCTCCGGTCACAGGTGCGGGGATCCCTGAATCTGGAACCATAGTGGTACCGGTCCCAGCGACCTGGGTCTGTAAGCAGGGGATTTGTGGTTGATTACAACAGGCAAGGGAAGACACTCCTCTGGCCCTTGCTAGAGAGACCACACCACCCCAGGACTGAAGAATGCCTCCAGGCTCTTAGACGAACCAAACTCTCCTCCCACAAATCAGCATGACCTTGGAGAGTGTTAACTGTGAGGCAGAGGGACCAGGTGGTGTCCCGCCTATTACAGGTAACACCTAATGGCCACCAGCTGTTCTCTCAACACACGTGATTAAAAAGAACCAAAAACATGCTAGAAGACATCTTTGTTAAAATTTCGTTCGTAGTCACGACCTTTTAACACTTAATCCTGTGACTACAAATTTCCCTCGTATGTCTTCTAACATAAGCCAGAAAGTTTTAAAGAAATATTCCAAAACTAAAATATTAAAAAAAATTACATTAACATTATAAACTAGAAGTCCCACTTTTGGCAGGTGTGAGCAGAATTTACGTCTACACCAGTACAAACGTAGAAAGGAAAGAGGCCTGTGGGAAGAAGCAGACGGGGTGGCTGTGCCGGGGTGCCTGAGAGGCTGTGGGCCTGGGACCCTGCCCGGCACCAGACAGCAGGGAGTGGCAGGGCCGCCGACGGGCACGCACTGCCCAGCAGGAGCACGTCAAGACCAGCAGGCAGCACCTGGCACAGTGGGGACATCTGACATCTCCACCACGCAAGTCGGGGGCCCCCAGCCACAGGAGGCCACTGGTACACCAGACGTGGCCAGTGCGACCCAGAAGCTGATGTTCCACTTTATTTATTTTAATCAATTTAAGTAGTCACATATGGACAAGGCCACTCTGAAACTACGCACAACGCTTTGCTAAAAAGTCAAAGGAAACTACTGATGTGATAAAGACACATTAACGCTAGAACTAAATCGTAATTTCCTAATGAAAAATAGCAATGTAATTATTTCCAGGCACAGATTATTTTCAACTACTTCGGCTCTTAGATTAAAAACATACGAGGACTAACAAACGGGACAGTCTCCTAAGAAATGATCACAGAGCGCAGCTGCGCACCAGGACGCACCAGTGGTTGGCCATGCAGAATCCTGAACGTACCTCCGTAGTCGAACTGGCCGGAGTAATAATCTGCATAGTGGTCACTCTGACTGCTCCATCCACTTTTGGAATTGTAGTAACCTTCGGGGTACCCTTGCCTGAAAGCACACACCGCACTGTTAAAAACAACTCACCTACTCGCTTCTTAGACTGGGACAAGACGTCAGTCCGTATACACGATTGCCAGAGCATCAAACGTTCAGCAAAACGCTCTGGTCGTGAAAAAACGCTCATCGGTAGATCCGAAACAGTAACGAGGAGATGACGGGACCCCCTCCCACACAGCTAATTAAAATTCATCTCTTGGGGCGCCTGGGTGGCTCAGTCGCTGAAGCGTCTGCCTTCGATTCAGGTCATGATCCCAGGGTCCTGGGATCGAGCCCCGCGTTGGGCTCCCTGCTTAGTGGGGGGCCTGCTTCTCCCTCTGCCTGCAGCTCCCCCGCTCGTGCTCTTTCTCTGACAAATAAATAAAATCTTTAAAATCCATCTCTTAAGTACCTATTTAAGTGCCATGCAGAATCAACGAGCTGGCCGCCCTCTGTGTGCTCAGCACTATGTCCTGCATGGCAAGGCTCAAATGGGTTCTCGAGTTTCTGGTATCACGCTTAGCAGGAGCAAAACGCACTGAGCTGTCAAACCCATCCACACAGACCACGTGCTGTGTCCTTTGGACACGTGATGGTGTGTGCCCAGGTGCAGGACTGCAGCTGGCTCAGCCCCCGGTGTCGGCCTCTTGAATGTGACCAGTATGAGACCTGAGGCGCGCCTGATGGAGACCAGCCTCAAAGACCAAGCAAGCTACAAGTCTGACTCTCAGTGCACAGAAAGCAGAACTCAGCAAGGTCAGCTGTCAGACCTTCTGGGCAGTAAGATTCTTGTTTTTTCCCTCCAACAGAGTGAGTGCAAGTGAGAGAGTGAGCGTGTGCACGTGGTGAATGGGGGGGAGAGGGGTAGGGGCAGAGGGAGAGAACGTCAAGCAGACTCCACGCCCAGCCTAGAGCTCTGTGTGGGGCTCAATCTCACGACCCCGATATCAAGACCTGAGCTGAAATCAAGAGTTGGATGCTTAACCAACTAAGCCACCCAAGCGCCCCTGAGGCAGTAAGATTCTTAGAAGAACTTACTAGCATTTTTGTTTCTTAATAACAAGTTTTAGACAATATTTGACTTTTAAAATATAACTTTTCTCATGTCCCTTCAGGAATGTCACCCAGCTGAGCCTGGGGGCTTGGCTGGCACAGCTCCTAGGGCAGAGGCGGCCTATGAGGAGCACCCACTCCCATGGCTCAGCTATAGGAACAAGGCCCCTTCTGAGGGCTTTGGAGGAGAAGCCTTAGACCCCACCTATCTGCAGAGTGGGGGCCCCTGAGCACACCAGCAGTGGGCTCATAACAACGATCTGACACAGGGCAGAACCAAGAGCATGCCACCTCCTTGCTGCCCTCACCAACCAGGCCCATTCATCCATCAGCAAAGACACAGCCACACAAATGAAAGACATGTTCCCACCGCAGGCAGTCCCCGCAGGGATGCGCTCACACCAGGCACAAGCGCACACCTCCCCCCAACTGAAGCAGGGCAGGAAGAAGAACAGGCTGTTCTCCAGAGGTGTCACAAATGAGCGGTGAAGACAGCAGGAGGACAGAACCACTGCAAGACGGGACAGAACCACTCCCATGTGGCCCGGCCTAGCCTCTGGTTGGATGACTTTTCAACAGCACAGGGCCACCTTTGGCCTCTTAGAGTGAAGTACCATGTTAACTTGCAGGTGGGCAAGCAGACAGAAAACTGGAATGGCAAGCTGTGCGCTGGCTGCACCCTCCCCCGTGCTTACAGGGTTCTAGAAATCACTTGCCCGTTGCTTTCCCTGAGTCAGAACACTTAACTTTAAACCTCACCTTCTAGGTGCTATACAGGAGCTAAACCCTTGGGAACTTTCTTACACAAAGCTCCTAGAAGTATGGGCCACGTGTAGGTCAGCGATGCACAGAGAGGCCAGCTCAACAGGCAAAGGCTCAGAGACACAGAGCCTTGTCTCCAGACAAGCTATCAAAGCCTTGAAGGACCAGCAACAGGACCCCAAGATTTTGAAAGGCAATGCATGCACAAAGTCTCCATCGGCAATCAGACCTCCCCTATTACGAGTTCAAGAAGCCATGTACTCTTGCAACAAAACCTACACCCATGACCCGTCCTTCCTCCAAGCGGACAACGAGCAAGTATAGGTGAAGGCTCTGGAAGGCAGGCAAGGTCACACCCTGGAACAGGCCGCACACCCTGTGGCTCCAAGTGGGGGGGCTGGGACCCGCCTCAGTTCCTAGTTGGCTGAAGGCATGATACCCGTGATCTTCCAAAATCCCTCATCCAGGGGCGCCTGGGTGGCTCAGCTGGTTAAATGTCCGACTCTTGATCTCAACTTAGGTCATGATCTCAGGGTTAGGAGATCAAGCCCCGCGTCAGGACTCTTGTGCTCATCAGGGAGTCTGCTTGAGATTCTCTCTCCCTCTGCCCTCCCTCTGCGTTCTCTCTCTAAAATAAGTAAATCTTAAAAAAAGAATCCCTCATCTGTAATCACAGAACGAGACGGGCTTGGTCAGCGAAAGAGAGCAGCAGACCAGGGGTGTGCCGGGGCCTTCCAGCACAGGGACAGTGCTGCAAAAGGGACGTGGCAGGTGTTCTGGCCCAAGACTGCCTGGCCTAAGAATCAAGCACCTCTGTGGTTAGTAGCAGGGAAGAGTCTGTGCAAGGGCAAAGCTGCCACGGTTTAAGGGCCCTGAACACCCAGTCAGCCGAATGCCAGAGCCGTGTGCGCGCCTCGGCCGTAGGATGAGCAGCTAGCCCCAAGAGGATCCCGCCAAAGGTCTGGCCTGACCCAGCGCTGGCTGACAGCACAAGGTGGCTTCGGGGGTGGGGTGGGGGTGGGGCTTCGTTCAGTTTCAAAGTGCTCCTGTGCTCTGCCCGTGCCGAGTAAACACAAACACGGGATAGGCTGGTATAACTCTTCACAAGCACAGTCTTTCTCAGATCACTAAGTTACCACCACAGCCAGCAACACGGACGCCCATCACCTGGCAGGTGGCCGGTCTGAGCAGTGACTTGCTCGGGAGCTGGGTCGCTCAGGGCCGGCGTAGCGGTAGCTCTCAGCGTAGGCAGACGCCGCACTGTCGTGGGGCCTGAACCTGGGTTCGTACAGGCCATAGACGTCCTGCCGGAAGAAGGGTTGGTGCGACATTAGAGACCGGTAGAGACACAACATGTCGAGCAGCCGGCACTAGCTCTGAACGGCACTGACGATGGCCCTCTGGGAGCAGCACTGGACGTGGGCCTTCTTCCTTCATGCACAACAGAAAACCTACAATCTGAAATCCACAGCCACAGGCAGGGGGCAGGATCTTCCTCAAACGGACTGCCCTGCTCCTGCTCAGGAGATGGCCAGTGTCTCAGCAGGCAACCCCTACGGAGCCGTGGAGACTCTCGAGGGCTCCACCAGGCTTCTAGTCCCTGAAGTCTCTAATGTGGAGGTGCGATGACCCCACAAGTTTGTGTTCTGTTTCAGACACCATCCCAGGTAAGCAAAATAACCAGGGTTTCATCTCAGTGGGTCCTGGAGCTACAGGAAGCCTCAAAGAGAGGATCACATTTTACTCTCATGAGGCTTTCGGCTCCATTAACGGACCGATGAATGGCCGCGGCTGTCTCTAAGAAGCGGCCGTGTGCAGACCCGAAGCAGAGATGAGGTGATCCAGGCATGAGACAGAATCAGCCCTTTGGTCTACGAGCCTGACTCTCTGCTATCACCTGGCAGAAGAGGAGAAATCACATCAAACGGACTTATTCTTGACCACTGCTGCAGGCTGTGGCGACAAGGCTAAAGAGCAGCAGGGAGCGGGCTCCCACAAAAGTGTGCTGGGCTCTGGCTGGAATTCCTGGGAGGCACACGTAGTTGCTACACAAAGGACCCAAAGCAGGTGCACTGCTCCCCTCACACTCTGCCAGCCCCGGTGGGCTCTGGGCGCATCGAAAATCAATTTCAGTGTGTGGCAACAGGAGTCCTTGGGGCTCCTTCCAGAATCTAGAATTTGCTGGTCTCAGTGCTTAGTTGTGCACTATTCATACATTCCCAAAGAGGCTCAAAGCCTACGAAGGAGACCCAAGCCTCCTGTCAATGGGGGCTGCCGCCTGGCCCAACCCCACCAGCCCTGCACGCCCAGCCGCCTCTGACTGTGAGGCTCCCAGGATGGCCACCTGCCCCTGCCCAGTAGGACCGTGCTTTTCAAACTTGCGGTCCACGCTCCTGTGAATTCAGCTAACTTGGGTGATGCTGGGCTGGGGCTACAAGTGATGAGAAGCAGACAGTGTTCCAATGTGTACACCTGAACCATATGGTTTCAAAGTAACAGGATTGAACAGAACCCAATTTAAACAACATTCGTGCACAGCGGCCGCCCCCACCCCGCTGCTGGGACCACCGTGTCCCTCAAGAAGGTTATGGAATTTCATCCCCCTTGGCTGTTTCGCTAGGATTACATTCCAAAACTTTTTTCTCTAAATATTTTTATTCTCAAGGAGGGACTTCAAATACTAGAGTTTCCTGTTACCCGTCAGGTAGATTTTTCACATCAAAACCACACCGAAGCTTCCAGAGGCTATCCCAGTTTCCCGAAGTGTGCAACCCACAACTTAAGTTCTATAGAGAAGCCACCAGCGGGACAGGAAGCAGGTGGCTTCTCAGCCATGTAAGTTGGGGGATGCCATGTGAAAAAATTAATCAGGTATTGCATCCAATGCAATACACAGGTGTGCAGAGTAAACTTCCAAGAGATGGGCCGCACTGGGCAGGGCAAGCCTCATGCAGCAGCGCCTGGAACCGGCACTCTGCACGGTGATGGCACTACTTACTTCTGCACTAAGCAACAAAAGCCTGCCAAGGAGCACAGCTCGAGGGAAAGGAACCACTGGTCACACAAGAGCTTGACCATACCTGGTAATAGAGGGGGGCTGTGCCAGGCTCCAGCGGGTATGGCGAGGGGTAATGGGACTGGTAGCCGTCGTACAGGGGTCTGTAATAGTAGTAAGATGCCAAATCCGGAGGCGGCGGCTGCGGCCAGTGCTGGTCCGACTGCATGGCTGCCTGGCTCGAGCTGGTGGACACGACCGATGCGCTGGAGGACCGAGGTGGCCGGGCCGGCAGTGGCTGACCTGTGTCACCTGGCGCTGGGCTTGCAGGTGGTGGGACCAAGTTTTGGGACTGTCCCTGCAAGGGTGGACTTCCTGGGTTTGAAGGTTCTGAACACGTTGCTTTGGGCCCTTGTGGAAGAGGTGGTGCTGGCTCCTGCTGGGCTCTCTCTAGGCCACGCTGGTCCTGAGCGTCTTTTGTCACCTGTTGGTAGAAATGGTCTGAGTTACGTGGCCCGGGCCCAGGTTGTCTCGGGTGACTGCTGACGGTGTGCTGACCCGCAGAGCTGTCAGAATGGGATGGGCTATACATTCGTAGAGGATTTTCCAAAGTCCTATTTAGTGTGAAGTCTAGGGCTCCAGAAGTTTCTTCCCGATGACCGGAGTAATCTGCCTTATTACCAGCAGGTACTGAGGTAGCGTTTGCAGGGGGCACTAACAACACGCCTGCGCTTCCAGCAGGGCTACTAACCAACTCGGGAAGAACGTTCTCTGCATTATCAATCTTTTGGCTTTCTGAAAGCAAATTCTTTGGAACTGGATGAGGTGGTGGCTGAACCAGCAAATTAGCAGGCTGATTAGAAACTATTTCCGAAGTACCAGGAACTTGTGGAAAACTACTGTGCATGAGACTGTTAGGCAGAGGCGAGCGGGTGAGAGAGCCGGCCGTGATCCCAGACACAGCAGCACCATCTCCAGAGTCCCCCCCCACAGCCCGGCTGCTTGCCGAGGGCTTATCCCCGACCATAGCATCTCTCCAGGGCTGATTCTTCTCATTAAGACTAGATAAGGACACAGAAAAATTAACGGGCTGAGCCAAATTATAGCTTTGATCAGGCTGGGCAATCAAGACTGGTTGATTCTGCAAAGATTCAGTGGGCGGTGAGGACAATAGACTGGCATAGCCGGAACTTGCCTGTGACGGGAGGGCCTCCTCTTCTCCCATCTTGGGAGGATTCTCAAGGTTCTCAGAAGCACAGATGCTGTCCCCACTCGGCAGAGAGAGGCCGGAGCCCGGCTGCTGGGACTGCAGAGTGGACACGCCCTCATCTGGAGGCTGAATCACTTCCGACGGCTGGGGTTTCACAGGCATGTGCAACGCAGGAGCAGCTGGGGCTAGAAGGACATTGCCTCCAAAATCTGGCAACTCATTCTGTGCCCACAACGTCGTCACTGGGCTCTCACACTTCACAGCTCCCTGGGCTCTGGCCAAAGGCCCTTTCTCCGCTGCCAGGAGCACAGTTTCCAAGGGCAGTCCCCCGGTGTGCACGAGCCCGTGCCCAGGCTCCACAGGTACGGAAAAGGGTGGAGAACAGGCCTGGAGTGTGAACAGGGTCTCCATGTTGTCCGGCGGCTGCTCCAGGTTGCCGGGGGAGGTGTCGGGTGGGGCAGCAACGGCTCTGTGCTGCTTCTGGTGGGCAGTGGCCCCTCTCACCTCACCCACCACGTTGGCACGATCGGCCTCGACGGGTTTTACTCCAACTAAGTGGGATTTCACTGGTTCAAAAGAACTATTTGCACTTGTCTGAAATATTCCAGTGGGTTTTGGGGGGCTTGGGGTTGAGGGCTGGGACAGGCTGCTGTGGTGATTCTGACTCACGGTGGTCTCGTTTGTCTCTCCTCCCACAGGAGAAGAATCAATTTGCTTAAAAAAACTCCCCGAAGACTCATCTTCAGGTTTTCCAACTTCCTGCTGAATGAAAGTGCCTACGTCTTGGGGTCTGGCGGCACTCGGGAGACTCCTGTGGTTCTTGCTACTGTAACCGGATGACACACCATCAGACCGCACAGGGTGCAGCGATGAATCCGGAGCCTCGAGATTTGGACCCCCACCTCCAGTGTGGCCCACACCACCAAGCCTGGGGACGGCTGGCCCGGGCAGGGGCCCGTATCTGACCGGATCGCTTGGGGAGGAAGGGTCCAAACTCAGGGGCTCACTTGGCAGAACTTCCTGATTCTGAATGAATTCTAGGTCTTCCACATTCTCAGACTGTGAGCTGCTGGCCGCGTGCACCCCTGCACTTGCTGTGCTACCCCACACAGCGGTGGTGCTTGCTGCCGGGGGCCGGTCAGGCTGGGCGCCTGCAGACTGAGAAAAATAAGGTTGTGGGAGTCCTCCCTGCTGCATGGCCTCATTGTTGGAACCTTTGGGAAAGGCCTGGTAAATGCCACCTGCTCCCACATGTGCAGGAGGATGACCAAGTGCGGGGCTGGGGGAGAAGCCGTCGAAGTCAGACTGACCAGCAGAGCCTGTTTTTTCAGAGGAGAGATTCTCCTCATTTTCTGTTTCCCCACCTTGGAAAAACATGGAGAGAGCCCCAGAGTCCATTTCTGACAGGGCTCGGCTGGTCCCGGCCCCTGGGGGGTAGTGCAAATGGCTTTCTGGGCTATTTCCCTGAGCGCGGGGATTAACGAGAGCGAGGTCTGGCAACTGCTCTTTATTCACTCCTGGATTTGGCCTGAGCTCCTGGCTCGCCCGAGTATTCCCAGCTCTAGAATTTTGCCTGAATGCATTTTCAGGATCAAAGTTTGTTGAATGGTTTCCACTCTGTAGGTAGGCCGCCTCGTTGCTTCCATCACTGGCTAAGGGTCCTGGCAAACACACCAGTGGGTTGAGCTGCTCGTGGCCAGGACCATGATGCGGGTTGGACGGAGCAGGGAAGTGAGAAACGCTGGAGGTGTGAGGCACCGCGTTCTGAACAGGTCCTTCTGGGCGGGGCCAATAATGTTGACCTGAGGGTTGTGGGCCTCCCTGCCCTGGTCCCCACTGCCCTGGCATTTGCTGACGAGGCTGAGGGAAGGAAGGGGATGGTGCTAATGCTGTAGCACCGTCATGCGGGTTCTGCCTACTCAGGGGCCTATCAGGCCCAAGCACGTTCGTGTGAGGATGGCCCCCATGAGAACTGTCAACACCCGCTGCTGGAATGTACTGAGGATATGGCAGAGTCTGAACTTCAGGTTCTGAGCCGGGAGCAACCTCGGCACTCCTGTTCACCTCAGGCTCCGATGGAGTTGAAGGGGTCAACACACTGGAAAACAGACTGCCATCTGCTCTGGGCTGTGACACCGGTCCCTGGAGGGTATCCCCAGCATTTGTGTGAGGCACAGGCAGACCGGTGCGCTGAAGGAATGCTGGTAGAGGGGCCGGGCCTTGCAGAATGGGTGGGCTGCTTTTGGACGAACTGCCCAACGATGTATTTTGTAGCGCCTGTCTACTAAAAGCAAATGGATCCGTCACCGGCTGCAGTGGGCAAGTTATAGGAGTCACGGATGCGTTATTATTTGCCTGTCTCCTATACGGTCTGTTGGACCAGAACATGCTCTGAGGAGTCCCAGCTGGAGGTGGCCCAACCACACCGGATGGGGCTGCCTGGGGGGGCGGCTGCATGACTGATCTTTTGCACAATTAGATGCTGCTTACAGAATGAAGGATATAGGTTTTCCTTAATTTGAACTGAAAAAGAAAAAGAAGAAATTAGCATAAAATCCATATATTCAAACTCCCAGCCAGAATCAGGAAAACTAAAAAAACAGAAAAAGGCTGGAAACTATTCTTAAGAGTTTGCATCTTCAGTCCCTCAGCTCCTGCTCTCACCCCCCTCCCGCCCAGAACTACGCCCCAGAGGGGCTGCTGTGTGCACAGGCAAGAACAGGGAGAACACCGGATCGGGATGCAAACGCGGGCTGTGCCCGGAGCTCACTGACTGACTTTACGCAAGTCACTGCCTTCTCTGCAGTTCAGTTTTGTAGCCCAGCTGAATACCCATGTGGAATGCCTGCTGCCTCCATGATGCCCTCACCCAGAGGGCAGAGATGAAGCTCAGCTAAACTGCTGGTCTGACTTACTACCAGGTACGCTGATATCTCCCCATAAATTATCTCCAGATCCCGAAAGAGCCAACTCCTCATATTAAGACTGCATATCATACTTCTCACACAGGTTAATATTAAATCTTGAAATGAAAACAAAAGTTTAAAATTTGTATTTCCATTCTAATGAAAGAGCGTTATAAAGTACAGAGTAATACAAGCTGCAATATCTAAAATATATTAAAATGCCTTTTATGCTCCCATGCAAAAGCCCTCGTTTTCTGTGTGATGACTGCCTGAGTAGCATTAGCAAAACAAGTTGCCTCTGACTGCCAGAGCTGTAACAACTATCCCTGGAATGAAAACCCCAAGTAAACTTAAGGCAGCTTTAAAACTGACCAACTCAGGGCGCCTGGGTGGCTCATCTGCCTTCGGCTCAGGTCATGATCCCAGGGTCCTGGGATCGAGCCCCGCATGGGGCTCCCTGCTCGGCGGGGAGCCTGCTTCTCCCTCTCCCACTCCCCTCTGCTTGTGTTCCCTCTCTCACTGTCTCTGTCAAATAAATAAAATCTTTAAAAAAATAATAAATAAATAAATAAAACTGACCAACCGACTTCCTTCAAAAGTTTTCAATAATAGAATGCCAAAAAAACTTTTATAGAAAACAAAAGCGCAAAATCGTCTTTACAGTGTTTTTTCCTGCTGGTGCTAGTGGTGGGTTTTTTCCTAAATAAAATACATTAAGTATAATCTTGAACAGTTAACCTGTACTTTTAAGGCAAAAACCCAGGTACTGTCTCTTTAGAAAGTCTTTTTCTATGTGTAAGTCCTTCCCCCTAGTACCACCCTCACAAACAGGGTAAGTTTAGCCAATCACGGGGATAAGTAAACACCAGAGGGAGAAATCGTGGAAGGACTCCAGAGTGTAACCCACACATTTCTGCAGATGTACAAAATTTTTGCTCTTGGAACTCTCTTCTGATAGCCAGATACAAGAACACACTTATGAATGTGTTTTAAGTAAAGCTATTTACAAAGGAAAGCTCCTATGCCTCTCTGGAAACTAGTCCTAGGAATCTATTACTTCACTACCATTACTGCCCACACATGCTCTGTCCTAGGCCAACAGGGAACCCCTTCTGACTGAGGAGCACTCCGAAACTCACTCAAATTTAACGGACTATATTACGAACAGCATTGGAGACCTCACTGGGTTATAAGGAGCCATTTCAAAACAAAGAACGTTTACAGCTCAGCTTTCTATGGACTGAGAGTAGAACAAGCAGAGCCTCTTCTTATTATCTGTGCAAGAGAGGCACCCAGGACACCCTCCAAGACACGACTTCCTCCTTTTGAGGCTTCAGCAGAGGACCCTCACCATTCTAAGCAGCTTTAAAAAAGAAAAACCACATGTGGCAGAGGCCCAGAGGATTACACAGCAGAGGCGTAACTGGGAGAGCACGGCTGGGTGTCCAGCTGAATGGCTCCAGGCACACCCCTTGTCTTTCTGTGACCCTGTCACTTCATCTGTAAAGTGAGAGAAGCAATATGACAATTTCTAAGGTCTCTTCTGGGTTTCATCTTACAAAGTTCTACTCACAGAGGATTCTGGGATGCCTTAATCCCTACTGCTATTTAATAGGGAAATGTTATCAAAACGTAAATTTCACAGGTTTATACTTACATGCTTTCCTTGAAGAAACTTCCCTTAAAAAGTATTTTCTCAACTCTCAGACTAAGAACCATTTTATAAGCAAACACTATCACTTTCCTGTAACGTAGAATCCCCTACTCTCCCCCCCACCCATAATTGAGAGCTTTTTACCAACATGCCAATTTCATTTGGCACAATCTTGAACATTACCCTTTCAATCTTTTTTCTCTATTCAGAAACAGAAAAACTGACTATCGTTTCTCTCCTGACCCCAGGGAACTTAATTCCAGCCAGGAAGTCATCCTGCACCCTCAAGTCATCTAACTTTTTAAAAAAGCACTACTTCAGAGACACCAGCTGCTGTTCGTAAAGATGCATTACTCATAAACCCAGTCCTTCACGTAGACTGCCTTGTGTCTCTGGGGAACACTTAAGCACAACCTATTTCCAATATAGATTCCTGACTGTGGACCAAGACACTTAAAGCCCACTCCTTGTGCTCAGAGCTGCGGCCTCAAACTAGGAGTGTGTAAACCAACAGGAGTGCCAGAAAGAACGTGGCAGTCTACCATTTGCCTTCAATCTCCCTCGCGGCAACCGTGAGTGTGATGTCCCTGTCAGACTATGAGACACTCCACTCAAAGACACCATAAACTCCAACTTTCCTAAATACAGAATCAAACACATTTACAGAAAAGGGAATCTAAACACTGCTAAAAATGACAAAGACCCTAAAGGATGCACTGACATTCAGGAAAGAGCTTTACAAAAGCAAGAAGGAATCATTAAAATCGACACACTACCATAAAGAAAACTTTCTGGACGATTTTGGGACCTACTGCTATTTAGGGTGAATGAATCACAGGAACATGCCTCTTGCCTTATCTTTGCAAGATAACAGCACCCAGAACCCTAAGAACGGCATGGGGGGAAAAAAACCTGCAGGGAGCCTGGTTCTGCTGAAACTTGCAAAAGTATCAATGTTAGAAACAACCGTGTGTGACCTGGTTTGCTCTCTGCCGTATCTGGGGTGGGAAATACCACTCAGGTTAACATCTGCACACACGGGTTTAACACACAATCTTAAGCAGCTCATGCCCAATCTCCAAGCTATTTAAAAGTGTTTTCAGGTGAAGCAGCAAAAACTCATTTTAAATGGCTGTGATGTGCCCAGACACTCGACCGTAATTCTTCTGCCACGAGAACTGTAATAATTTTATTCTGTATCCTTCTAACCCTTAATGTAAAACACAAGGGACAGACCTCCGCTGCAACACCTGTCACTTTGCCACGAAATTCCCAACAGACAACAGCGATGCTAATCTGTCTCTTCACCAGCGTGGCTCGGGAGAAATCTCTCAGCCAATGGAGACAAAACTTCAGAAGCTTCCAAGCAAAGGACACGCAAAACTGCTACAGTTTTAAAGAGTACACGTTTGTACTCTTTAAAAAGTTGCAGGTCTGGTCTTCCAGCCATTCCAACACAACCCTCCATCCAGGCCACCAGAGCTAAGCCAAGTGTCAACACAGCTGAGCCCGACAGGCACTTGCCACAGTGCAGGCCATACCTGCGAGGTCCCCGTCAGTCTGACGAGGCGGCCAACACAGGGGCAGAAGGCGGCAGGAGGGCCGCGCACCTGGCCCAGCCGGACCCACCCCGGGCCCGCAGGTCCCCACCCGCCCCCGGGGCCCCTGCCCGACCCCTGGCGGTACCCGGAGAGGCGCCGTCCGCTTGGGGCTGGGCCCGGCCCGGCCGCTACCCTCCGCCCGATCCCGGCCCTCACCGGCGCGCCACAGGGCGGCCGAGGCTCCCGCCCGGCCCCTCCGCGACCCCTGGGCCAACCCCTCAGGAGCAGCCGGCGAAAGCCGGCCCGGCTGCGGCGACGAGCGCAGACACGACAACCGCAGCAGCCATCTTGGCACATCCGGCTCCGGCCGCCGCGCCGCCGACGTGTCCGACCGCGACGTCAGCGCGCGCCACGCCTGCCCACCACGCCCATCAGCCCCGCCCATCGCAGCTGCTCCCGAGCCGCTACGCCCCGTACGTTAGCTCCGCCCCCTCCCTCGCCGGCCATCCATTCGTCCGCCCCGTTGGCCCCGCCCTCGCCTGAGACCAATCTTTCGGCGTTCATCCCTTCGTCCCGCCCCCTTGGCCTCGCCCCTGCGACCCGCCCTTCGCCCCCCTGCCGGGCCGGGCGCTCGGAGGGCCGCTGGGAGACGTCGCCCTGGTTACGCCAGCTCTTTCTCCCAGTCTTTTCTCGTCTTAGGATGGGAGAAGAGTCGGGGCTCTTCAGTCAGACCGAAGTGAAGAACCAGTCTTGAACGACCGAGGCCAGCGGGCGCACCCGCCGAGAACGGCTACTCGGCGGCGCGGAGAAGCCGAGCGGCACCCTAGCGCAGGCGCGACCCTCCCCTTCTGCCGTTGGACTTCCTCCAAGGCTGGAGACAGGCGGAAGGCGACCGCGCTTGCGCCGGCCGCCGTAGCGGGCTGCGCCTGCGCACCTCGCGGCGGCTCGCCGGTTGCCTGGTTACGGCCACTGGTGGCTCAGGGTTCCAGTTCTGCCCGGGAAGTTCGTTTCTCTCCGCGCCCCGCTCTCGGGAAGCGGAGCCCTGGGAGTCGTCCTGTAGGCAGCCCCCCCCCCGCACGGGCCCCGGCCACGCCGCCCCTACGCGGCGCGGCCGCCACTCCCGCGCACGCCCCGCTGCTCCTGTCCTTTTCCTCCGTCCGCCCGAGCCCCTCCGAGGCCCCTGCTCTTCCCCCGGCAGGCAGCGCGGTCGCGGCCCCGAAGCCGCGTGGACAAGCCAGGGCTCCGTTCGGCGTTCCGCAGCCGTTGAGCGGGTACTTGTGTGCAATGACAGGCCGGGCCGCCGCGCCTGGCCTCCTGCTCCTCCCGGCGGATGGCACCATCGGAGCCCTCCCGTGG